ACCGTCGCCAATTTTAGCGCTAACAATAATGTTTTTTTGAAATCAACAATAGCGGGCCACGCCCCCATTAGACCGCCCCTTTGTTGCTGCACTTAGCCGTAGTTATTTGTGGTGTGGTGTGGTGTGGTGTGTGTGTTTTTGCATACATTTTTCCACTCGTTTCTGCCGTTTGCTACACTTCATTATGGCCTTTTTCTCCCCGATTTTTTCCCGCCCTTTGCTGCATGGCATGCATAATGACAACGTGTAATTTGGCCTTTCTTTTCTCCTCCTGCATATTTCTTTGCACGTCTGTGGCACTCACATTTATCCCCCGTCGTCCACCATTATACTCTATAGTATTTCCCCGGCCCGATCGAGAGACCTCACGGCATCTCGTGGGTTGTTAACGGCCTGATTGCGAATTATGGCCAACTCTTTCAGAAAACCTCAGAAAAGCGCGACTGGGATGAAAAACTCTGGCGGAAAGCTCCCTGCCAATGGCACAAAGGAATCGGTTTGCATGTCTCGGGGGCGTGGCGCATCACAAAACTTTATATGATCGCATTTTATGCTAATTTACGAGTATTTTTCTCTTTTCAATTAATTTCTTCTCAGAGGAGTGGCGGCGCTGATTTCATTACAATATGCATATGATATATATGGTACATACATATATAGTATGGTCGGGGGATCATCATCGGATCGCCATTTCTATGCAGGCAGCGTTTGCTTTTCCGACTCGCAACCAAGAAGGGATTCGCTAATTGATAATTCAAATGAGTGCGTGATTCGTAATCGAAATGTATACCAAAATAAATAAGTAGGCATTCGCAAGTAAATAGGAAAATCATCTTTGAATAAATTGTTCAGCTACATAATGATTGCTTTTTACAATGATAAAGCTTATCTTAATTTAATAACTTGAAATGTGGTTTGTGCACATAATCTTGAGGACAGCTTGCATTTAAAAAGTGCAAGTAACGTTTTCATGTGTCTTAAATAATAAATTAATTGGCTCTGTTATGGCAAAAAAAACTTTTTCCCATCGCTACTTATATCAATTAAAATAATCATGAAATAAATAAGCTTTCGACGACTTCGGCTTACTTTTAATTTGGCAAATGAATGAATGAATAAATCAATCAATGAATGGATGAATGAACTCGTTCCACATAATGAACAATTCCGCTTGAATGGAAATGTTAATGAATGAGTCAGGCAGGTGTATTTCCACCCCCCTTTGACCTTCAAAAGACCGTGCGAATTACTATACCAGTGGATCGTGTTCGACTCTCAATTTCTTACTGTGTAGATTAAACCAGTGAATTCCAAAAGTTTATTTCATTTCTGCACTCGACTTGGGTTTTATTTTCGGCTTAAGCAAATATTGGCTCGGCCTGGAAAAATGTTTATGCGAACTCCAGGGTCTATATAAACACACATTTATACATATATGTATATATATTTATGTGTATGTATATACTGATAGTGTCTGTGTGTACGTACAGTCGCCTTTGGCTGTGTCTAAAATTTCTAGTAAGCAAATAAATCGCATTTGCGAGCGGGGGATGGTGGATATGGGAGATATATCTTGTCATGCTTCAGCGCGTTGTTGGCGCTTCAAAACTGTGGCCCATTGTTGTTGTTGTTGTTGCTGTTGTTGCTGCTGTTCGCTGCGAACCGAACGTCGCATTTATTACAGGTGTGTCTATCCATCCCTCTCTTTCGCTCCCACAGCATTCGCCGCTCAGGTGCATAATCAAAGCGAATTTGTGTGCGAAATGAGTTCAACCTGCCGCTGCTTTAGCTGCTGCCACTGCATTTTGCATTTTGCTGTTGCAACTGTCCGCTGTCAGTTGATTTATCTATATATTAATGCATTATATGTGTATATTACAAATATAAAAACTATAAAATATACATACATATATACACCTGATCACGAACAGTGAGGAGTCGAGTCGTATGTAAAGGGGGAAATAATATGGTGGCCGTGCAAGCCGGAAAATTGCCTGGGAAAGGCCTTTGCCAGCCAAGACTCTCAGAACCGGAAAACTAGTTTGTAAAATAATTGTAAGCCCAGTTGAAAAATGGGGTTACATTTTCGGTGAATGTGCAAAGTGGTAAATCTGGTTATTGTCTTTTATTGTGGTCTTAAAAAGAATCATTACCTTAAAACTGGGTTTCGATTTCTACTTGTTTGGTATTAATTCGATAAGTCACTTTTTTTTGGCAGCTCGTTTCCCTTTCTTTTCTGGCGCCATGCCCTCTATCTTGTCAAGAGTCACCTGAATAACACCCATGACTCCCAATGTCGTAGACTTGAGTTCTGTTTTTGAGTGTGCCGAAGATAGCATTTCCGTGTGCCCCCGATAAGGCAGCCAATTCACACTGCATTTTGATAGCTGTTGCGATAGGGCGGCTCTTAACAATTGCCGCATTGCATCACCGATAAGACCAAACAATAAATCGCGAACAATAAACAAAACAATAACAATGGCACAACACGGTGACTAACCGTTCGTTGAATCACAATTAAAATAAATAGCTTTTTTAATGTCGTGCAGCGGTGAAATGTTCCTCAAATCCCAACTAATTGGCAGTGACAAAGAAAAGCCAACGAAAAGCGAACAATAAAACGGAAAAGTGAATCGATATATAGAAAATAATAAATATAATACCAATAAGCAAATACCAAAGATCGGGTTCGGATTCGGATTTGGATCGAGCGACAGTATGTTCGACGTGCCGCCAAAATGCCCGGCGCTGGCCAACAAGTTGGGCGGCCTCTTTGGCTGGCGACACACCTACAAGGTGGCCGCGAAGCACGAGGGGATTCCCCACGGGCAGCTCCACAAGTCCTACTCCCTCACGCTGCCCAAGCGACCGCCCTCGCCCTCGGCCTACTCGTGTGTAAAGGTAAAGATCGCCAGATATCTGATATGCTATGGCAGTACGCAGAATCGAAATGAGAAATGAGTGCACGACTCCAAGTTTTAGTTACAATTAATTTTATATTATACCATAATAATATATATTAGTATTTTTGTAGGTTTTTTATATAATACTATACATTAAGTTCTTTCTTTTTTTATTTTACTTCAGTTTTATTTAATATTTTTTTATTTATTTCTTTATTTGTTCAATTTTTCTACGTGCTGATTTATCCACATGACAAATCCAATCACAATCTCTTTTGGCATTCCTCTATCTCCATTCGACACTTGTTTGCCCCGCGCCACGCCCACATTGCATTTTCAATCTGTTTATGATATATGAGAACGAGATCGCGTTGTCTGCTCGCTGCCGCATAATTTCCATTGACAAATGACCATAAAGAAATATAATCGACCAGTCACCGTGGGGCAAAACAGAGATGAAATGTAAACAGAGTTGTAAACAAATATATATACCAAACACTTGACTTAAAGTGGAGTTTTTCCACTTGAACCCACTGTGCACCAACTGCATTCTTAGCGCTCCATTATCCGCAGCGAATCGCTGTTCGGAATCCCTAAAATCGGTGCTGCATTCGATAGATAGAATGCCTGAATGCGCGCTCTTTGACCCACAAAAACACCGAACGAGCCATGTGAAGAAACAAAACCAAAAACAAAGGCGAACAAAAAACGAAAAACGACAAAAAAAAAAAAGAAATATAAAGAAAAAGACGCGAAAAATAGCCGAAATTATTGCGCCAAGTTGATGTTCGACGTTCCAGTTCTGCAGCTCGTCTCAGTCGCTGAGCCTCCAACGCTTTTGACTGGTTTTGCAGCCATGATGCAATTGTTTTGTTTCTTGTGCACATAAAAAAAATATAATAAAAAAAACATTATAAATGATTTGAGTTTAAATCACTCCAATCTGTTGAAGAAAATATCCTAAATAGACATCTCTTATATTGATTTAAAAACTTAAATTAAAACAGGAATGAAAGAGATTTGATTACATTTAACATAACTTATTATACACTTCAGCTACTATTTAAAATGTGAACTAAGCTATTTTATTTATTTATTTATTTTAAAAATATAATAAATATGTTATGAGCATACTAATAAAAAAAAAACATTATAAATGATTTAAGTTTAAATCACTCCAATCTGTTGAAGAAAATATCCCAAATAGACATCTCTTATATTGATTTACAAACTTAATAAATTAATTAAGAAGGATATTTGATTACTTTTAACAGAAGTTAGGATACAATTCAGCTACTATTTAAAATGCGAACAAAGCTATTTTTCTGAGTGTTCCTGTTGTTGGTGGCCGGCATTTGGCATTTGTTGTGGAATCCATCGGAATGCCAAAAGCAACGCCAGTTCGTTCAGTTCGGTTAAGTTCCTTGGCTCAACGAGAAGATTGCAATTTGGGGCGCTGGAGGTCGCCGTGGTTTCGGCTTATTAGGCGTCGCTCAGGGAGTTCAAGTTGGGCCCACGTGAGCCGAGATTCGAGACTCTGAGTGACTCAACACGTAAAGTGGTTGCTTGGTTGCTTGGTTGCTCCATGCGGAAGCACAGATGTGCAGATGGTGCAAATGGTGCAAATGGGTTGGGTGTGAGAAGCTCCACCACGCGAGAGGATGCGTCTCCATTGCCTACTCCAGATTGTTGCTTGCAGATTGCAGATTTGCAGATTTGGCGGAGATTTCGTGGAGATTTGGGGGAGGGCTTGGATGTTGGGAAAGACTTCCGCGACTTCCATGGCCTGCAGTTTAATGGGAATAACAGATGCAAGAGCTGCAGGTCGAAATTATACAACAAACTAAAGAAAACCAATGGGGTTTATTTGCTGGATTTCATTTGCTGCAATCATTTAGAGAAAATAATACAAATTTAAATTGTAAAATCTTCTACATTAAGAATAAACTAATTCTAAAACATTTTCAAGATACAATTTCATATTTAATATGTTGTAAATGTTTTTAAGGCAAAGTATTTTTTGCATATAACATCTTAAACCAAAATTCAAGTAAATCCAAAAAATTAATGAAGTGTTTTATCTTTTCGGACTTGCAGCCCGATTCGTGGGTGACCGTGACGCATCTGCAGACCCAGTCGGGCATCCTCGATCCGGATGACTGTGTGCGCGACGTGGCCGACGACCGGGAGCAGATATTGGCGCACTTCGACGACCCGGGACCGGATCCGGGAGTGCCCCAAGGCGGCGGCGATGGGGCATCGGGCAGCTCGTCGGTGGGCACCGGATCGCCGGACATCTTCCGCGATCCCACCAACACGGAGGCGCCGACCTGTCCGCGCGATCTCTCCACGCCGCACATCGAGGTGACCAGCACGACCTCGGGTCCGATGGCCGGACTGGGAGTGGGCCTCATGGTGCGCCGCAGCAGCGATCCCAATCTGCTGGCCTCCCTGAAGGCGGAGGGCAGCAACAAGCGCTGGTCGGCGGCGGCTCCCCACTACGCTGGCGGGGATTCCCCCGAACGCCTGCTGCTCGACAAGGCGGGTGGCCAGCTATCGCCGCAGTGGGAGGAGGACGACGATCCCAGTCAGCAGCTGAAGGAGCAGCTGCTCCACCAATCACAGCCACACGGAGGAGGAGGCGGAGCAGGAGGAGCCTCCTCCAATCACCAGCCGTTCGCCCGCTCCGGCCGCCTGTCCATGCAGTTCCTGGGCGATGGCAACGGCTACAAGTGGATGGAGGCCGCCGAGAAGCTGCAGAGCCAGCCAACCGCCCAGCAGCAGAGCTACCCATCCCAGGCAGCTGGGATGCATCATCCCGCCGGCCAGAATGGCGCCAGTGGTGCCTACTCGAGCAAATCCCTGCCGCGGGAGAGCAAGCGCAAGGAGCCGCTCGGCCAGGCGTACGAATCCATACGCGAGAAGGACGGCGAAATGCTGCTGATCATCAACGAGTATGGGAGTCCGCTGGGACTGACTGCTCTGCCGGACAAGGAGCACGGCGGCGGACTGCTGGTGCAGCACGTGGAGCCCGGCAGTCGGGCGGAGAGGGGGCGGCTGCGTCGCGACGATCGCATCCTGGAGATCAACGGCATCAAGCTGATCGGACTCACCGAATCGCAGGTGCAGGAGCAACTGCGTCGCGCCCTAGAGAGCTCCGAGCTGAGGGTTCGCGTCCTGCGCGGCGATCGCCAGCAGCGTCGCCAGCAGCAGCAGCGCGACTCCAAGGTGGCCGAGATGGTGGAGGTGGCCACGGTGTCGCCCACCCGAAAGCCACATGCTGCTCCCGTGGGCACCTCGCTGCAGGTGGCCAACACCCGCAAGCTGGGCAGGAAAATCGAGATCCTGCTCAAGAAGGGTCCGAATGGCCTGGGCTTTTCGGTGACCACTCGCGATAATCCCGCCGGCGGGCACTGTCCCATCTACATCAAGAACATTCTGCCCCGCGGAGCTGCCATCGAGGATGGACGTCTGAAGCCGGGCGATCGCCTGCTCGAGGTGGACGGCACCCCGATGACGGGCAAGACCCAAACCGATGTGGTGGCCATTTTGCGGGGAATGCCAGCGGGCGCCACGGTGCGGATTGTGGTCTCCCGCCAGCAGGAATTGGCGGAGCAGGCCGACCAGCCGGTGGACAAGAGTGCTGGCGTGCCGGTGGCGATAGCTCCTCCTGCAGCAGCTGCTTCTGCTCCCGTGGCTCCCAATCCCGTCCAGAAGTCCAGCAGTGCCAGATCTCTGTTCACACACCAGCAACAGCAGCAGCAGCAGCAGCTCAACGAATCTCAGCATTTCATCGATGCGGGCAGCGAGTCAGCGGCCTCCAATGTAAGTTGATGGAATTCCCAATCTAGTCCAGGGAAATATTAATTATTTCTTGATTTAACAAACCCACAGGACAGCCTCCCGCCGAGCAGCAACAGCTGGCACTCGCGCGAGGAGCTGACGCTCCACATTCCCGTTCACGACACCGAAAAAGCCGGACTGGGCGTCAGTGTGAAGGGCAAGACGTGCTCCAACCTGAACGCCTCCGGATCGAGTGCCTCCAGCGGCAGCAATGGCCTGATGAAGCACGACGGCGACCTGGGCATCTTCGTGAAGAACGTGATCCATGGAGGGGCTGCTTCGCGCGACGGTCGCCTCCGGATGAACGATCAGCTGCTGAGTGTGAACGGAGTGTCGCTGCGGGGCCAGAACAATGCCGAGGCGATGGAGACACTGCGTCGCGCGATGGTCAACACGCCGGGCAAGCATCCGGGCACCATAACCCTGCTCGTCGGCCGCAAGATCCTGCGATCGGCCAGCTCCAGCGACATCCTCGATCACAGTCACAGTCAAAGCCATAGCAATAGCAATAGCAACAGCAACAGCAGCGGCGGCAGCAACTCCAATGGGAGCGGCAGCAACAGCAACAGCAACAGTAACAACAACAACAGCAGCTCAAATGCCAGCGATAATTCCGGAGCGACGGTGATCTACTTGAGTCCCGAGAAGCGGGAGCAGCGCTGCAATGGCAACGGAGCTGGTGGCAGTGCCGGCAACGAGATGAATAGGTTCGTAATCCCTTGATTGATAAATATTGTATTTGTTTTAACCACTTTGCCTTTGCTTGGCAGATGGAGCAATCCCGTTTTGGATCGCCTAACCGGTGGCATTTGCTCCTCGAACTCAGCACAGTCGGCCACATCCTCGCAGCAGCCACATCCCTCGCAGCAGCCGCATTCTTCTGCGCAGCAGGCACATTCCTCTGCGCAGCAGCGTCGTCTGCCGGCAGCGCCAATGGGCAGCAGCAGTGCGGCCCTGCGAAACGAGAGCTACTACATGGCCACCAACGACAACTGGTCGCCGGCGCAGCTGCACTTGCTCACGGGCCACGGCAACCAGGCGCTGCTCATCGAAGACGATTCCGAGCCCATGTCACCGTAGGTTTAGCTGACATTATCTCTTGAATGATGCCTTCTAAAGCAATGCTTTTCTATTGTACAGAACTTTGCCAGCGCGCAACCACGATGGTCCGCACTGCAACGCGAGCAGTGCCAACAATCCATCACAGAACTTGAACGCCGGCAATCAGCAGGGAGGTGGAGCAGGTGGCTCATCCAACAATACCGCGGTGCCGGGCACTCCCTCGACAACCAGCAACTTCGATGCCACCTACTCCTCGCAGTTGAGCCTGGAGACGAACTCCGGTGTGGAGCACTTTTCGCGCGATGCTTTGGGGCGTCGCAGCATCTCGGAGAAGCATCATGCGGCGCTGGATGCCCGTGAGACGGGAACGTATCAGCGCAACAAGAAGCTGCGCGAGGAGCGGGAGCGCGAGCGTCGCATTCAGCTGACCAAGTCGGCCGTCTATGGCGGTTCCATCGAGTCGCTAACGGCCCGCATTGCCAGTGCCAATGCCCAGTTTTCGGGCTATAAGCACGCCAAGACTGCCTCGAGCATCGAGCAAAGGGAGACGCAACAGCAGTTGGCCGCTGCCGCCGAGGCGGAGGCCAGGGATCAACTTGGCGATTTGGGCCCCTCGCTGGGCATGAAGAAGTCCTCGTCGCTGGAGTCGCTCCAGACGATGGTGCAGGAGCTGCAAATGTCCGACGAGCCGCGTGGCCATCAGGCTTTGCGGGCGCCGCGTGGACGGGGACGCGAGGATAGCTTGCGGGCGGCGGTGGTCAGTGAACCAGATGCGAACAGTGAGTTTGGCTTAATTATGGATTATAATTGATGCAGATTTTAATGGAATCCCCATTTTGTTTTTTAGAGCCCCGCAAGACCTGGCTTTTAGAGGAGGGCGATCACGAGGGCGGCTTCGCCTCGCAGCGCAACGGACCCTTCCAGAGTTCCCTGAACGATGGCAAGCATGGCAGCAAATCGTCGCGGGCCAAGAAGCCGAGCATTCTGCGCGGCATTGGGCACATGTTCCGCTTCGGCAAGAATCGCAAGGATGGCGTCGTCCCGGTGGACAACTATGCCATGACCATTTCGCCACCCAGCTCGGTGGTTTCCACAGCCGCATCAGCGCAGCTGCAACAGCAGCAACAGCAGCAGTTGCAGCAACACCAGCAGCAGCAGCAGCAACAGATACCCGCCGCTGCATTGGCAGCTCTCGAGAGGAATGGCAAGCCGCCGGCGTATCAGCCACCACCGCCGCTGCCCGCTCCAAATGGCTCGGGAAGCGGTGGACAGCTGAATGGGGGCATTCACCAGAACGATATCTTCAATCATCGCTACCAGCATTACGCCAACTACGAGGATCTGCACCAGCAGCATCAACAGCATCAGATTAGGTGAGATCAGGGTCCATCTACCATGCAGAGCACCTCATTATTTCCACATGGTTTCGGGTTACTCAATCACTAAATCAATCACCTGTTTAACTAACTAATTAGCCATTTAATCAATCATATTGTATGTGTCCGTATCTCTCTCTTTTTTTCGCCCGTTTTTTCTCTCTCTGTTCCGCGCGTGGTGTCCGTATCTCTATGTTTTTGTCTATGTGTTAACCAACCAACCAACCATCCATCCACCCACACACACGCACACTCACGCACACTCACCCACACACACACTACTACTACTACCACCACCATAACAAATACACTGGGAAAAACGAATGACCGAAAACGAAGCAGTGGAGGCGATTCCACATCATCCATTTCGGAAACGCTCTCGGAGTCGACGCTCGAGTGCATGCGACAGCAGGTCATCCGGCAGCGGATCAAGGTGGAGGCGGAAAGGTAACCCACCCACAACCCACAACCACAAACCAACACCACACACTCACTCACACACACACACACGCACACACTCACTCACACACACACACACGCACACAGATAAACTGCAGTGCAGTGCGGTTCGTAGTTATTGGGAGTTTTTGTTTTGGTTTTTAGCATGGTAAACCTGAGTAGAAGTTGAGATAATATCTAATTTATATAATATAAATTAAATTTATCTAATATAATTAGATAAATTAGATAAATTAGATTATAAATTTAAAGTCAGTTAACAAAGGGATTTTGCCTTCGTTAACACTTAAAATAATAATTAATCAGTGGATATTCTCTTTTTGGAGCTATAGTTTGCAATAACTTGGTACAACATAAAGGTTTTAAGCATGTACCAATATAAATCCAAGTTGTATGTAGATTTGATCATTTTTATTTGGCTTTTCAAATTAACCACCGCATTGCACTGCACTCCACCACCAAATCAAGGGTTTTCGGCTGCTTGTAAATGCTTTTAAATGCTTGTAAAATTTTCATTTCGTTGACAAACACGTAGTGAACCACATGTTCTCAGCACTTTGTAAATTACTCATGGCCATTTCCCGCTTGCTTCCGCAGTCGCCGCCATCAGCATTACCATTCGCAGCGCAGTGCCCGGTCGCAGGACGTGAGCATGCACTCGACGAGCTCCGGATCGGGATTGGGATCCTCGGCGCAGCCGCAGTCGCAGGTGAACGGCGGAGGAGTGCGTCCCATGAGCAGCTACTACGAGTACGAGACGGTGCAGCAGCAGCGGGTGGGCAGCATCAAGCACAGCCACAGCAGCAGTGCCGCCTCCTCGTCCTCGTCCCCCATAAATGTGCCGCACTGGAAGGCGGCGGCCATGAATGGCTACTCCCCAGCCAGCCTGAATAGCAGTGCCCGCAGTCGCGGTCCGTTCGTCACCCAGGTGACCATTCGGGAGCAGAGCAGCGGCATACCCACGCACCTGCTTCTCCAGCAGCAGCAACAGCAGCAGCAGCAGCAGCAACAGCAGCCCACCTACCAGACCGTCCAGAAGATGTCCGGACAATCGCAGTACGGCAGTGCCGCCGGCTCGCAGCCACACGCCTCCAAGGTGTGACTATAGGTGTTGGCGCAGGCGCGCGCCACCCGCGATGTGCTGGCCGATGACAACCACCGGGTCATTCTCAGCGAGGTCAACGACGAGGTGGAGGTCTTCTACTTTGCCACCGAGTGCTGATTGCTGAGTGCTAAGCACATTGCAAATTCAAGGAGTTAACCATAGTTATTTAATTCGAGGGAAATCAGTTTCCACACACATTTTGGGGTGGGTTAATCTTGAGAATCAAACATAAGTTGTAAGCCTGGAATCAAGGCAGTCAAGTGAAAGGATATATATTTTTTATAATTTGAGTATAATCCCCCATTAAAACTACCGGTCTACCTAATTTATTTCATATCCTGAATAAACAATATATGTATTTATCCGTGATATTTGATTAAGCAAACGAAACCAAGACGTTTTCTTGCTAAACGGAGAGAACCAGGATTACAATGCTTACTTATTGCTATTTCGAAGGTCCGCTAGGAAGGGATTAACTTGATTTTACGTTTGTAAATTGCCAAGAATATTGCTTTGATTAGTTTTCGAACCAGTTGACCCACCCTGACACGCATCTAAGCTAAGTTCACAATTTCACAGTATACACATATAAATATAGATGATATTCAAACCAAGAGAGTAACGTGTAAGGAAAGTATTCCCCAATAAAGCGCTAATCATGCGAGTGCTTAGATATAATGCTCTAAAATAAACCCAAACGATTTCCGATTGTATTAAGCTTTAGCTCTAAGTCCAAGTCAAACGCCTTTGTACATAATTAGTTTACGCAGAAGCCAACAAGAAAAAAAGAAAACCACAAAAACGAAAACGAAAACGAACATCAAATTCCAAAACTACGAAAGGTCTTAAGAATTTCCATTGTCATTTAACTATTTTTTTTTTTTTTTAACATACGCATATTTTTTGATTTGTACATAGAAGTTGTTTGTTTGTTTTGTTTAGCTTTAAAGCGGACGCCATTTTTTGTGTGCAAACGTGAGGATTTGCAAGAAGCGAAAAGTAAAACTTATAGCCACCCCCATATACATATAGCTATATGAGTAAGTGAACTAATATAGAGTATATATATATTTTTTTTCCTAACGAATATCGAGAGAATTTCGAGAAGAAGACGTTTTGTGCAGCCGACCGCGGCCCAGGTCTCTAAAAAAGACAAGCAGCTTAGCCTAGTTATAGGAACCAGTACGATAGAGCCGATCTAGTGGGTAAGCCTACCATCCATGTATAGCGAATAAACGATACTTTAATTTTGTCTACTCCATAAGCAATAAGTAATAAGTACTAAGTAATTTGTGCGATACCGATACCGAACATGCCGAGTTGCGAATTAAAAGCTACAAATTTCCATAAACAACCAGTGCAGCCACGATTTGATTTCCATTTGACAAACATCTCCTCCAAACATCTCAGTACATCTCCTCATCGCTTTTCCTTGCACTTCTTCATCACCTTGGGCTGTCCTTCTGCTGGAGGAGGATGTGTGGAGGATGAGCCGGCGGCAGCAGCGCTGCACTTCGAATTGCGCTTCTTGTGCGACCTGACCTTCCGTCGGATTGGCTCCTTCGCCGGCGTCTTAGTCACTGGAATGGGTTTCAGCACAGTGAAGTTCTTCAGCAGCTCCGGATTGGGCGTCTTATCCCAGTGCTCACTGGGGATTTGGATGGAGTAATTACAGATCGGTTGGGGGGTTACAATGGGTTATAATACTCTGGGAAGCTGTTTGGCGGCACCACAACATCCAGGACGTTGTCGATGAGCCGCGACTTCAGCATGCGATCGTTCGTGGTGGTCGAGTGCATCGACGGCGACGTGTTGATCTCGATCAGCCAGGGCTTCAGGGTATTATCGATGATGATGTCGTAGCCGTAGACCTCGAAACAGTGACGATCGTTGGCCATCACCGGAGCCACTGCGTCCAGGGAGTGGCGAATTGTGTCGGTTATGCGGCTCCACAGCATCTCCGAAACGCCCTCGCCTCGCAGGCTGTCCAAGTAGAGCCACAGATTCTGGAGAGGCCACTTGCCACCGTGGATTGCATTGTATTCTTCCTGCAGTTTTTACAAATAAACATATTTGGTAAATCATGAATACAACTTAAGACTACTGGGCGTATGAACAATATTCAAAAATATATATTACTCATTCGCAATGTTGGCCGAGGTTCAGATTTAAAAAAGAGTTATTTAAATAGTATTTTCTTCCGAACTCACGTTGCTGTTCTGGTGTTTTTATAAATATATAAATCATGAATACAACTTAAGTCTACTTTGCGTATGAACAATATTCAAAAATATATATTACTCATTCGCAATGTTGCCCGAGGTTCTTATTTAAATGGAAGTTATTTAAATGTTGTTTTCTTTGTAACTCACGTTGGTTTTCTGGATGCTGACATTGGTCAAGTGCATGAAGACGTTGTCGATCTCGGCCTGGTCGTACTTCTCGGTGCAGAAGCGGCAGAAGCCCTCCTTGTAGAGATACGCCTTCAGGGGATTGAACGTGGTCACCAGAACGAAGAGTCGCAGGTCGAACTTCTTGCCACCGATGAGCAGGGGATTGTCGATGTACTTCGAGATGACGCAGGTGTCCCGGTTGATTTGAGGATAGAAGGTTTTGGCATCGTAGGCGTACTTCTTCAGCTTGGACAGCTTGTTCACCAGATAAATGCCGACGCCCTGCGATTTGCTGCACGGCTTCACGATCCACGTGCTGGCCGGATTGCGATGGAAGACCTCCACGAACAGCTGATAGTCGGAGGGCAGGACAAAGGTCATGGGAATGATGTCCAGGTGCTTGTAGCGAGTGCCACCAATGCCCAGTTTGGTGTCCGGTGAATGGGTTTGCGCCAAAGGATCACCCCGTCGCTCTAGATCCTTGCGATACCGCTTGATGTTCTTGATCAACAGATCTTTCCGCGAAAGCTCCACGGAGTTGGGAAAGTGATTGATGACTCTGCAAGGAGATACAAAGTGTTTTATACTTATAGTATGATATACATATAACTTACTGATCGGATCGCATGCGATACGGATGATCGATGCCAAAGATGTAACGACAATTCTGAGTGCAGGCCCAGTAGAAGTTCCATTCGCCATTGAAGGAGGGCACCTGGAGCCATCCCCTCTTCTGGAAATTGCTGACCAACGCGGACTTCTCCCAATCGGTGCTGTAGCACATGATCTTCTGGTATTTGGGGGCCTTCCGACGACTCTGAATGAAGTTGAATTCCGTTGGCGGCGAGTTGATTAGCTTGACCTCCGGCGTGTCATCGTCGCTGGTGCAACCGCCTCCGCATTTCTGGCGGAGATTCCTCAGAGCACTCGTCCGGCTCCTCATGCTCGCTGGACGGTCCCGCTTTACTACGGTTACTGCCTCTGCTTAACTACAATACTCAATAACGCTAATACTGAGAATTTTTCCCCAACTTTGAGGCAATCGTACCTTAAATAATGACAATCTAATTTTGGCCTGGCTGATGCCCTCTTTAAATGAGTTTCAAGAATGGTTAACAAATAGTTTCTTAACTTATAATTATCCGTGATTTTGCGACCTTCAAATGTATGAATTTTTGATTCTCAATCCATTTACTTCTAGTAATTGACTTGTTCCCACGATTAATGACAAAATCTTACTGTTTCCGCCAGAAAAATCGATCCGCTTGCATAATTCCCCCGTTGAGGAAATCGAAAGTGTTAATTCCCTTGAAGCTGCAATATTTGCCCAAATATTGCTTTATTTTCGTTGGGTTCTAGATAAACGCCAACCTTCTGCGGAATCCCAAGACCGCAAACGAGTGAAAAACTGACTTTGACACGAATATCTGTGACTTTTGTTCACGTTCACCTGTCCCTCGAAGCCCTCGAAAGTCCATTGAGTAATTTCACACATTGCGTTGCCTTTTCTGCTCTTCTGTACAGAACAATCACCGACTATTGTCGCCGAATCGCACTTGGCTGGGTATAAAGGCGGTGGTCTGGTCACCAGAGTTCATCAGTCGACGCGACGAAGTCAAGAGTGGATTTTGTGGATTAGCTGGGACCACTCATCGAACCATTACATCACCATGAAGTTCTACGTGGGATTGGCGGCGATCTTAGTGATTTCCCTGGCCAAACCAGGAGAGGCGACCTTTGGCAAGCTGAATCTTCTGCTGGGCGGAGCCACCACCTCGGGCTACGGATCCGGATATGGCTATGGCTCCGGCTATGGCACTGGCTACGGCTACGGATCGGGATACGGCGCAGGCTATGGTACTGGCTATGGTTCCGGCTATGGATATGCGCCCGAGAACGTGGTGAAGGTCATCAAGGTGTCGGTGGTGCCGGGCGGCGGTGGTTATGGCGGTGGTTATGGCGGTGGCTATGGCGGTGGCTACGGCGGTGGCTACTCCGGTGGATTTGTGGGTGCTGCTCCTGCCATTTCCACATCCGCCGTGGTCACCCCGGTGGTCACCTCCGTTTCCACTCCGGTGGCTGCTCCCGTTTTGGCCGGTGGTGCCGGCTATGTGGGTGGCTTCGGCGGTGGCCTCGCCGGCGGATTGGGTGGCTATGGCGGCTCCTTTGGCGGTGGTGCCGCCCTTCCCGCCTCCTACGGATTCGGAGCGGGCTATGGCGCTGGCGGTGGCTTTGGACTGGGATTCGGAGCACCAGTGCCACCGCCACTGGGTCTCGCCGGTGGACTTTGCTAGAGAACGGGAGAACCACTCGAGGAAGTGGTGCCTTTTTTTTTGATATTTTTAAACAACGATTTGTAATTAAAAGTTAACGATTTGTAATAAAATGTATAAAAAACGATTTAAAGTCTGCCCTTTCTGCATTTGTATGTTTCTTCCACACTAAAAATCTAGTAAGTTTTTAATTGTTGGTAAGAATATTTGTTAGACGATCTTAAACACCAACTTATAAATAAGACAAATGCGATTTTTATGAATGTATATACATGTTCTATAATAATTAAAAAAAATAAACCAAGTATCCATTCTTAAAATAGAGAGGGAACGCATAGAGTGCAAACAATGAGTTTCGCTGCCCAAAAGTGTGCTCAATAAAAGGCTTTCATTTGTGAACAATTCTTGGTTGGGCAAGCTTAGTTCTCATGGTTCTGTTGGTTTATTCATAGATACTCGCTCTCTAGTTGTCGGCTGTTGCAATTCAATGCCAGAAAATTACAAAACCATATATTTCGCACCCAATTGAAGAAGCCAACTCCCCCGACAAACGACAAACAAAAAAATGGAGGAGCACCCAACCCCAGTGACCTTCGGTTGGGCCTCTGAATGAAAACGAGAGTTGGGTGCTGTTTGCCCACTCAGTTAGCCGGCTTTAACCCTTTTGTGTCGCCTCCCCTTAACCCTCAGCTGCCGATCGTGAGCCCGGCGAAGCTGTTAATGGTAATCAAGTGCCAAAAACCAAAAGCAAAGCCAAAGTCAAAGTCACAAGAGCCAAGCCCAAAAAAGCAAAAAATGTTCGGCCGAGAATGCTGTACGCCCCATGGGTGCAAATTGGTTGAGCTGGACCAGCTCCATCTCCATCTCCATCGGCATCTCGATTTTTATTTCCAGGCACATATGTCGCAGCCACTTCAACCACTTCGAGCCACTGAAACCACAAAAGGCCAAAGAAATACACCACACAACAAATGCCGGTAGAAAAAAAAGCAACCAACAACTAAACAATCTGTAAATGGGAATGTGTAAATTGGCTATGATTTAATATTTGCCATGCTCAGGCATTTAAAAAAAAATAAAATAAAAGTAGAGAAGTAGTTAACACAGTTCGATTGTTAACTATAAGGCTAATTAAAAAATGGAAAAAAATTGAAAGGATACAATAGTTGAATTGTTATCAAAATTTATTTAAAAGATTTCCTGTATACTTTATTTGTGGACTTAAAGTTTTTAAGAAGAACTATAGTTTCGAAACGCACTGTAGAAAGAGAACTGTGAAGCTATGAAACAAAAAATCACGCATCTTGATCGAAAATCAAAAAGAAGTGTTTATATTGCAAATTTGTATGCCTAAATTCCACGCATCTTCCCCTAAAATCGGATTTTACGATACTCTCGTGCTCAGCGAAAAACCAGTTGTAAAATTATCGGAACATTAAATATGACTGGATGGAACACCTTAGGTTGGTTCTACTTTTTTCGTTTTTTTTTGGTGACCCAATTTGCATAACAGTCTAGATCAATACGAGGAAAAAAAAAAAAAAGATCGTCAGCGACATTTACATATATGTAATATTTGATCTGAGATCGGTGGGGGAATACGGCTGGAAAAAAAGTGGACGTGGCCGAGGGAAACGTGTACAGGTTTTCGGGTCGAGATCCGAGATGAGCGAAGATTTCTGGGCGTGCTTGGGATATTTGGATTTTGCCTATTTGGATATTGGCGAGGCTTCAACCCGTCGAAACCCTTGACTACGTGAAATCATGCATACGATATCGGGGGCTGAATGAGTGACAACGCCAATACGTTGGCCACGCACATGTGCCTGAATGCACTTCGAGAAACGGGAGGTACATATAACTTTATTTTAAGTAGAATTTATTATTTTACTTTATTAATTTTCTTTTTATTTCCATATTACTTTATTTTGCCATTTACTTATTTTTATCAAATACTAATTTATTAATTTTCTCTTTATTCCATATTACTTTATTTTCCCATTTACTTATTTTTTTCAAATACTAATTTATTAATTTTTTCTTTCCTTCAATATTACTTTATTTTCCCATTTACTTATTTTTATTAATTTATTAATTTTCTCTTTATTTCCATATTACTTTATTTTCCCATTTACTGATTTTTATTAATTATCAATTTAATAATTTTTACTTTCTTTCAATAATTCTTTATTTTCCCATTTACTTATTTTTATATATTGTAAAATAATATAATAAATTAAAGGGAGACCAATTAATGTTTTTTCCTTTGTTACAACGCCTATAAACAGTCTCTCATTCAAATTGGGACAATTTATATTTATAATGAGTCAATAAATATGCAACTCACATTGATTCGACCAGTTGAATTTCCCAATCGTTTGCTGAAATTCTTAAGCCAATATGTCACAAGTGAACAATATATATCATTCCCATAAAATCTATATGGAATGAATACACCTTGCGGGTGCAAACATTTCCCCCAGTGCAGATTTTAGTGTTTTGTGGGGAATTACCTGAGCTTCTTGCGAATCCGTAACGCTCTTGTGCCGGCGGATTTATTTAACTATTTTATTTTTGTATTTTTTTTTTTTAACCGGGAGATGCGAGAAAATATCTCACTTGATGGTTAAGTAGTTGAGGTGACAGACAGACAGCCGGTGGCTCAGTGCCCCGCCCAGATTGGTCGTCGTCTCTTTTGGCCCATAAGTAACCATTTATGAATTAAGCAAACACCGATTTTCGGGCGGGAGTCTCATCTCATCTCGTTGGAGCCGTTGTACCCGTTGGAGCATAGATTAGAACCACACAAACGCACACACATCTCTGTGGGTTAACTCACTAGCCGAGTGGATGAGTGGATGAGTGGACGGGTGGGTATAAATTAGTGCCCCATCTCGAATTGGGACATCAGTTGAGTTGCGTTCAGGTTGCCAGCAGCATCAGTTCCATCAGTTCCAAATCAGTTTAGCCATGAAGCTCTACGTTTGCGTTTCGCTGGCCCTTTTGGCCATGGCAGCCCCCGTGCCCTCGGATGCGCTCCTGGGCGCCAAGCTGGCCCTGCTGAAGGCCATCGGCGGTGGCTTGGGAGGCTCCTCCGGCGGTGGTGGTGGTGGTGGCTACGGTGCCAGTGGCTATGGCGGCGGCTACGGCAGCGGCGGATACTCCGGTGGCTACAACCAGGGATACTACAGCCAGCCCAGCCGACCGGTGTACAGCTCCGGCTACGGCAGCTCCTCATCCTCCTCCTCCTCCGCCTCCTCGTACGGCGGTGGCTACGGTGGTGGCTATGGCGGTGGATATGGCGGTGGCTATGGCGGTGGCGAGCAGGTCATCAAGGTCATCAAGGTGGTGGAGCAGCCCTCCTACGATTACGGTCGCTCCTCTGGCTACGGTGGCTCCAACTACGGAGGTTACTCCTCGAGTTCCGCGAGTGCCTCTTCCAGTTCGAGTGCCAGCTCCTATTCCGCTCCTGCTCCCGCGGTCACCTACTCCGCACCTGCTCCCGCGGTTACCTACTCCGCTCCTGCTCCCGCTGTGACTTACTCTGCTCCCGCTCCCGCAGTGACCTACTCCGCTCCTGCTCCGGTGGTGCGTGTCCAGGCTGCTCCCGCGGTTACCTACTCCGCTCCTGCTCCAGCTCCAGCTGTTACCTACTCCGCTCCTGCTCCCGCGGTTACCTACTCCGCTCCCGCTCCCGCTGTTACCTATTCCGCTCCCGCTCCCGCGGTTACCTACTCCGCTCCCGCTCCCGCTGTTACCTATTCCGCTCCCGCTCCCGCAGTGACCTACTCTGCTCCTGCTCCCGCTCCAGTGGTGCGTGTCCAGGCTGCTCCAGCTGTGAGCTACTCCGCTCCCGCTCCTGCGCCAGTGGTGCGCTATGCCGCCCCAGTGGCCCCGGCGCCCATCAGCTACGCACCCGCACCCGCACCCGCTCCTGTTTCCTACGTTCCTGCGCAGCCGCAGAGCCAGCAGGTGGTGAAGACCATCAAGCTGATTGTGGATGAGGACCATGTGCCCGCTCCCGTTTACGGACCCCCAGCCGTGGAGTCCAGCTACTCCAGCGCCTCCTCGTCGGCATCCGCCGCTTCCAGCGGTGGTTACAATGGTGGCTACAACACCGGTTACAACGGTGGTTACAATGGTGGCTACAACACCGGTTACAACGGTGGCTACAATGGCGGCTCCAATGGCGGCGGATTCTCCGGCGGATTCAACGGCGGCTGGAAGCGCGGCGGCATCTTCGAGAAGCTGGTGGGCTGCTAATCCCTGGAATCTTCGATCCGAGCTGCTGTCTCTGTTGAAAGTCCAAAAATCCATCCTAACCTAACCGTACTCAACTATTTTTTTTCTAGTTCTAAAGCGAATTATTGTATTTTATTTTGTTCGATCGATGTGTACATAAAATCAATCAATATACCCGAAACCAGGTCTTTATGTCTTTATAGCGTTATGTAATCGCCAGAATCTGAGACGACTTTGTCTGTCTGCTGATGTATAATTTTTTTTTTTCGGGGTTTTTTTCATGGCTCTCCACCGAGAGGGTTCATTGTGTTATTGATTCTAAGCGAAATTAGCACCCAGTTGCTAACTCCCAGCGAATCGGTGGCTATTCATGTTCCGATTCCGGATCTAAAGAGATCGAATAGCAGACCCTGAGACCGAGGCTAACCTGTGTACAAAACATAACCATTAGGGTTCTTTTCTTGGTTTATAATTCTAAAACTAAAACAAATAAAGGAAATGATAAGGCCGAATGCCTCGACTATCGGACATCCGTAACAATGGGCAAAATTTTGATAATCTGGATCAGGGCAATCGTTCTTAATCAAAATTTTGGAAAACTAAATTTTTTTTGATTGAATGCCAATTGATCAAAAATATTATTACGAGTTAAACGAGGTAAAGCATTTCATATTCTTATTTTATGGTCAAAATACTGATTTTTTAGGGCGGAAAATGACGATCAGCCAATTTTACATTTTTGGTAAGGGGTAGACTGACATTTTATTTTTTTTTTATTGAATTAAGGATTAAGGATTTTAATACGAATAATGTTAGTGTTAAAACGTAACATGCAATATGCGATTTTTAACAATCAACTGCAATTTGAAAATTGCAAATTTAATACCTGAAAATGTTAGATAACATTAAGTTAACATTATATTCATTTTTAATGTTAACTTAATGTTAATTACATTAACATTGCCACGTCATCGACAATAATTATTAAAAATTTTTAACGTTTCGTTGCACTTATAATTCCCAACTGGTTCTGGTTGATTCTTAGTGGGATACCAGTAGCTTTTGGGTCAATTTCTCAGTTCTCCGGGATGACCGGCAGTTTCTCAGAGGAACTGTTTCCGATTTTTGAAAGTGTGTTTGTGAAGTGGTTCCTCCTACTGGACTGCACTCTAGAATGCAGTGCATCGTCACCTGACTTGGTATGGACTGTTGTTGCAGGTGATGCCAATCTCTTCCTGCTTTTAGGATGCAGTGCCTCCAAACCCGGTAAGGTAAGTACCATTTTTACCGTGTAAAAGCTAGTAAAATATTCAAGACACCTTGTTCGGCTATGCATTTGTATACAATTGCAGAGGGTATTAAAGTAGTTGTAGTCAATTAGCCTTATTTGTATCCCCTTTCAGGTCGACTGTAAGTTGTGTATAGATTCCACGATGCTTATCTAGCGGGTGTCATGCGATTAGTGTCCGATTCGGTGTGCAGTCATCCAAAATTGTCACCGATGGGCGTTCAGCCAAGACCAAGAACTTCCGTTTGCGGGGGAATATAAACGCCGGGAGCCCCCGAAGAGTTCGCTGAACAAAATGCAAGTGCTTGCTGTCCAATTGTTTATTCTGTCGGTGGTTGTTGTGGCTTTGGTCGGTGGTCATGCGGTGGAGCAAGATCACCCCTCCAGCCACGGTGCGTATGAGTAATGTTGTTTGAAGAGAGTCACTAAGATGTGTTTGTACTATTCATAGGCTATGGACCGGCTATACACATCAGTTCGGGTGTTCTTCAACTGGCTTCGGATACGGAGCAACCTCACTTGCTGCTGGTGCCCAATGTTCACTCCTCCTCGCCGCTGGGAAATCCCTGGCCGCATTTCTACGTGGACACCTCGACGTCTTCGCACCTGCCCCACGCATCGATACCATCGACCCCTGTGATCCACGAACCCCATCTTGTGGTCAGCGACAATGTGGACTTTTCGCAGCTCAAATTGCCCCAACATCAGGTGGTCCACTCCCAGGGCCGCTAAATGGATGGATTCGTCGATTTTAAAACTGTCATAAATGATTATGTTTACAACTGGCCTGGTTTATTGTCTAAGGTTTTTTTTTTTTTTGCATGTTTTATTGTTTTCATTTTTTATTTTTGACATTGAATAAACTGTTTTTATACCCAAAAACATAATACTTTTAGCTTTAGAAAATATAAATGACAGTTTTATTGGAGGAGAAATGTTTTTTATAATATTTTACTCGTGTTTGGTGTTTTTTAAATTCGTCGTAACTTATTTTTATTTCGATGATCGATTAAAAAAAAAACAGTTTTAGGCATAGGAGTGAGTATTAATAATCTTTGAGCACTTTGCTAGGTTTTTTGGTGGCGACTATCACAGTCTTAGTAGAGATGCTCCTCCAGCGAGTGGTGGTCCAGCTGATGATCCAACTGGTGGTCCAACTGGTGCTCCAAATGGTGGTCGTGCTCCGCCGCCAACTGGTGCTCCACCTGCTGCTCGAGTGCCTGGTGCTGGAGGTGCTGCTGCTCGTGCTCGTCGCGATCCTTGAACTCGTACAGTGTGCTGTAGCTAAAGGCGCCCTTGCCGTGATCGATGCCCGGCACCGCCTTGTGCTCCTCGTAGTGCGAGTGCAACTCACTCGCTTCGGCGTACTCCTCGCCGTGATCGCTGCTGCCGTAGTCCGCCGGGAAGTGATCCTCGCTGAGGTGATCCCCCAGCGAGCCCAGGTGATCCTCATCCACCGATGAGGATCCACCAAATTCGTGGTCGGGCGGACTGAAGTCCAGCTTGGAAACGGCTTCGCCACCGGTCAAGCCACCAGCATAGTGACCCAGCAATCCCGCCGAGTGAACCACATTGGCGGCGAGATCCTCGCCCAGCGGATAGCTCTGGACTCCCAGCAGCAGTTGTCCCAGCAGGATCATCAACTTCAGGCGGTAGGTGAACATTCTGCTTCTGTTTCAATGCGAAAGCCACAAACAAAAAAATAGCAAAAACGATTTGGTTGAGCCTTTAACCGACGCGGCGAAATGTCTCGAGTTAACTAATTTACTGCTAGCAACTCCATTTGGTTTTATATGCTTCGGGCGCTCATATTCAACTGCAAATACATGCCGCATTTTCCTGCATTTTCCACCGTCTTTTGTTTGGCGAAAAAGCCAAGGAGAAATAGAAAAAGACGAAAAACCGAACCGAAAAACAAAATAAAATGTTGCAACGGACATCTGCCTGCTGCCTGCTGCCTGCTGGCGGCTCATTCGGCTGGAGCTGATAATTTGCTGCACTTACTCCGCATTACGTCGTCGTCTAAGTGGCGGGGCCATTGAAAAGCCTCTTGCCTCTTGCCTGTTGCAACGGTGCGTATACGTAATAATTTTCGTCTTCTCTGTTATTTTCACTAGGCCGATTCTCGATATTTGGCTATTCGATTGCGTCACCGGCCTCATCCCTGTGGGCCTTAACCCTCCACTCCGCAATATTCGCACTCGAGGCGGAAGCTCGCCACATTTGGCGCAGGCCAACTAATTGGGTTTATCCACAGCAAACAGTGGAAGTAGAATGGCAAATATGAAGAGCCATTCACATATCATATATATATCTATATAGTGGAGGTATCCATTCCTCAACTCCGAACAATGCAGTGAGATATGGTCATTGTGCAAAGCGGCCAAAAAGTGCAATTAACTCCTTGCCAATTTCTGTACAAACTACAAATATATAATATAATATATGTAGCATATATAGTGCTTATATTAAGTTCTTAATTAATTATATAAAATACCTTTACAACATTACATAAACCTATGGTATATCTTGGCCACTCACTAAGCCGCTTGAAGGAATACCGCCTAATGGATATAGAGCAATCTGAATTGATTTCGATTTAATGAGACTCTTGACTGCAATTAAAAGTACAACCAGCCAGCAGAGCGAGAAGTCCGCGCTCGATCGCCATCATTTACCAAAAACCCACTGCTCCGTGCGTCTGACACACTCACCCATATATTCCCAACCAGATATCGTTTGCTATATACCCCAGGTATACCACACACATACAATATATGGAGCACGAGTTTCTGGAAGATTGCAAAAGGTGGAAAAGCGAAACAAAACAGCAACATTTGTCGATTGTGCCTGCTATCAATAATACAACTCGAAATGTGCGAATAAGTTGCCGAAAACTAAGAGCAAGGAGCCAAGCAACGAAGTTTTGCTGCTCTAAGCCGTATTGAATAATACAAAATAAATTAAAAATATATATTATCATGCAATTTATATAACAATAATGAATTGTTTGGGCGCGTATTGCATTTATGTTTGCTGATATCTGATATATTGAACTTAAAAGTTTAAGCAATATAAGTTTCTCAGATTGAAATGCAACTAAGTTCTGTATTTTGTTTTTTATTTTTGATATCTTATAATCATTTTTTCTTGGCTGTTCCACCAGTTAGTTCTTCATTCCAGTTAGTATTTTTTGAATTCGCTTAGTGTGATTAATTCGGCTGCATTCATTTTTTGGATGGCCAACTAGAGGCACTCGCACTTGCGCTCTTTGGCGCTTCTGATTGCCACCGTTGCCGGCGATCGGCGATGTTGCTGCTGGTGGATTGCGTGCCGGCATCAACAAAATCAACAAAATCAACAGAAACAATAACAACAACAATAATAACAACAACAACAGAAGCAGCAACACCACCGGTGTGGCACACAAATTGCCAATGTAATAGCAGCGCTTGTTTTGTGTTTCATTTTGCTGCTGGCTGCTTTTTTTCAGCTATTTCTACTACTTTGCCACTGATGGCGGGGGCGTTGAGTAGAGGATGGGAGGTAATTGGGAGCGAGGCAAGGCGGTTATTAGGTGGCTCACTTTTTGGCAGCCGGAGCAAGCGTTTCCTAACGCAAAATATTCGCTTGGAAATTATGCGATCGCTACCTGGATTTTCGGATTTTGCAAGACCACGGTAAAGTTTCGTGAGGTTCATGCACGTGTATCGTGGCCGATATGGAGAAGTCGTGTCGATATCTAAAAGGGTCGTAAGTGTCACATAAAAATAGCTGAAATGAAAGGTACCACACACCACTGGGCCAACGTATAAAAAGAGAGTCATGACTGGGGTTTTTTCCAGTGCTTCTCGGATAACCATGACTTTTTCAGTTCTAATTGTTTTGCTGGCGGTGCTAGCTGAAATAACAGAGCCCATTGGAGCAGACTTTTTGAAAGATTCCGCTTCTCAGAGTGAAAACCTAAACCAATCCGGTTCGCAAAATGTAGAAAACTTGGATGTACAAATAAAAATACCCAGTGAAACGCAAATTGAAATGGGGAATCTTAGTTCTCAATCTTTAGAACAACTTTCAGATGTGTTAAGTAGTATTAGCTCGGAAATCTTAATTAGTTGGGAAAACAAAAGTGCAAATAATTCCGATGTCGAAGAGGAGGTTCTCCTGGACTTCCTAAGGAGCAGAAACACCAGCTTTTGTAAGAGTTTTAATGAATGGGAACTCACAAGAACTGCGGAATCTGAGGAACTCAACTTGCGCCAGTTGCCAGTTTCGTACCAGGAACTAATCCTGGATCGCCTGCAGGATCAGTTGCGCCAACTGTGGATCGGCCTTCCTCTGGATATAGCCTTCTCCACCCTGAACTATATATGCAGCACTATTGTCGATCTTGGGATAGTGAGGTCCAAAATAGTTCCCGACGTTTCCCGGATGAACTTCCTCCTTCGCACCGAACACGAGTGCCAGAATGCCAGCATTCCTCTAGCGCACGCTGAGCAGCTGTGGGACAATCCATTCTTCTACCAGGATCGACCGACGGTCCTCTTTATTACCGGCTGGACAACGAGCATCAACGATTCGAACAGCGGTCCCGTGGCGAAGGCCTATGCCTGTCGCAATGACACCAATGTTGTGGTGAGTTTGAATCAGGGAATGTCATATAAATATTATATACATAAGTATTTGAGAAAAAAATATATATAAAGAAAGGAAATATATCTAAAGATTTACGATTGTTGCAAAAGTGAAAGAGAGAATCACATAACCTTTGTATTATACAACATTTATTTTAAAAATTTGTTATATTATTCTTTAGATACTCGATGCTGCTGACTTTGTGGACACCCTGTACACCTGGTCAGCTCTGAACACCGAGGTTATAGGCGAATACTTGGCCAAGGCACTCATCCGATTGAATGCGAGCTATGTGACCAACCAGTTCCATTTGGTGGGTCACAGCTTGGGTGCCCAGATCGCAGGATCCGCCGGCAGGAACTATCGGCAGATGTCTGGGGGATTGATCCTCAAGAGAATCACCGGCTTGGATCCGGCCAATCCCTGTTTCTATGACGGCAACGATCTGGAGGGACTGCGGAGTGGAGACGCTCGATTCGTGGACATTATCCACACGAATCCCGGCATCCTGGGCTCCCCGAAGCGGGCCGGCGATGCGGACTTCTTTGTCCAGGGAAGGATTCCCTTCAAGGAGGGCTGCGAGGGACTGAACTCCATTGGCTGTTCGCATCAGAGGGCCGTGGACTACTGGACGGAGACGGTGTATCCCTCGAATGCGAACGACTTTCTGGCCAAGCGATGCCATCACTACTCGGATCTGCTGCTGGGGAACTACTGCCAGGACACGAGGACCGTGATGGGCTATGCTGCCAAGCCCACGGCACTGGGACTCTTCTACGTGGGCGCCAATGGAAAGGAGCCCTTTGGCCAAAATGCCAGTCCGCAGACCTTCACTTCCTCCGCCACTCAATGCGGAGCTTGTGAATAATTGATATGATTACTTAAGAATTTATCTTTAAGATAAAAATAACTTTGTTTTTCGCTGCACCTTACTGAACCCTTTTACCTAAGTTTTATTTAACTAATCAAAATATTTATTGCCTACAAAATAAGAACGTAAATTATTTAAAATAATATATATTTTCGGTTTGTATTTGCCTACCTTATACAGCAACTATATATGCAACAAGTTATTTTCATTCGGAAGCGATGCTAGATAAGATCTTACGCGAGATAACTCACAATACTTCTGCTCTGTCAGATATATCTTTATTCTCAGGCAGCTCAGATATCAAAGGGCTCAACCCGATATCTTCAAGGACAAGTCGCAGCCGAGCCCCTCTTCCCACCCCATCCCTCCCACTCTTCCGAAGAATTCGAGTGGCCCGTGATTTGTGTGGGGAATCAACGAACGCTGATGTCAGTCCGAGTTAATTCTATTGTGACGTCGTCTTTTTGTTTTGGATCCACAAAAAGTGACCGGGGCACGTTGCCTGAATGACAATGGATTCAAGATGGGGCCCAGCGATCGGGGCATACAAAGCGGGAAATGAGTGGTGGGCAATGGAGCCGCATTAATATGACCCTGTTGTCGTAACCGACAGCAGCATTTGATGTTAACTACGTGAGAAGTTACTTATCACAGGGTACAAAAATCTATTACCAAATTCAATTTAAAGAAACTATATATTAAAAAAAAAAAATTTATTTAAATTACTGAAGTTTGGGAAAAAAAGTTACACAAATACGTTTGTTGAAATTTAAAAATAAAATGTTGCTTTATTTAAGGTAACTTAGTTGGTAAGACAATTTCTAATATGCTGCAGAATCCAGCATTAAAATATATTTCAAGTGTATATTCCACAATACCTGCGGCACGAGTTCTGCAGTCGTCTGATGATTTTCGACTATTGTTCCGACCAGTGCGACATTATCGGTTTTAGACGACACGCGGCGGCGATTGGAGGGATCAGAAAATTGGGGAATTCCAAGACCTCCCAGTTTGTTTGCCGAGATTAAAGTGGAATCTATTTTCGGTGCGTAAGAACGGATGAATTAGCGGTCAAATTTTGTGGCTGATAATGCCTGTTAAAGGGTGTACGCCCGATCCATTATCTTGCCATGCAATACGAATGAATGCCCAGCGGTTTGACTCGGTTTTCGATTAGAATTCAAATAGATGCAGATGAGCTCGGGAAATGCAACTGCATTTCAGAGAGTTCTGATTCTGAGCCCGCTTTCGATTTCCCGGCGAGATGCGACAAAGGCGAAGGCGAAGGCGACGAATCGAAATGGAAACTAATTAGGTGACAAGTGCACCTTATCTGATCGGAACGGAACACACATCGATATGGTCACAGTTGAGTGGAATTATATATGTGTATATATATATTTATAAGGCGATATGCCGCTTGCTCGGGCCCCGCCTCTCAGTTGGCTATAAATACTATTGCCACTTGGCTTCCGGCACTCAGTTCTCGGCGAATTCTCGTCCAGGATGGTACAAATCGCCTCCAAGATGCTTCCTCCTCTGCGGCCCCTTCTCCTCCTCCTCCTCCTCCTCCTCCAGTTCTTGGCTCCCTCGAGCTCGCTCGAGTTCACACTGCCGGATGTTCTCAACTCCATCGGGAGCATTGGCAGCAGCATCGTGGATCCCAAGTTGCTGCCCACGCCGGAAGCTCTCCTCGATGGCAGCAAACAGCTCTTGGCGGGATATCCCTTTGAGTTTGTCTCTTCTTCCCTGAATTTCATATGTGAGTATTGACTGGGGAGCAAAGTGGAGTTCGGTATAAGAAAATCAGAAAATGTAGTATCTACATTACCATATACGAAATAACGAATTCAGCTTAAAATAAAAACTTTATACTGAGCAGGTTCGCAGGCGATTTCGTCCAACAAAGTCAAGTCGAAATACACGCCGGACATAAAGCTGATGAACTTCCAGCTGCAGACGGCCTGCCAAAAGGTCAACTTTCCGCTCACGAGTCCGGAGGAGATGTGGAAGAGTCCGCTGTTCGATCCCAAGAAGAAGGTGATCATCCTGGCCACCGGATGGACGACCACCGTCAACGGATCGGATACCATCGATGTCTTCTCAAAGGCCTACAGTTGCCGCGGCGATGTCAACTTTGTGGTAAGTACTTAATCACTTAAAATTAATTTAAATTTATTAAAGGCTTTCAAAATGCCTTTAAAAAATATTACCTGGGAAGCTTGGAATATAAATATTTATTGATTTTACGTATTCCACTGATAAGCGTTTAAATAGATTCGTTTTGTTCGCTAACAGGTTCGACCTTCTGACCCTGAACTTAATCTGAATGATTTCCGTATTCTGTAAATGTAATAATATTTAAATATGATTGGAATTAGATTGGGAAAGTGATTAAAAATTATATATTTATAAATGGATTAGAGAATAATTTACAAAGAAAGATAACAAGCTTAGCGTTATTGCACTTTTACATTTGTAAATTAAATATATAAATATGAATTCAGTTACTGAGTCATTAATTGAATGAAATTGAATCAGTCTGTGTACAAACTAAATTTTTGATGAATTTGAAAATATTAAATATTAATAACAAAGAAAATATGCCATAAAAAAGTATAAGAAGCGTAAAGTGTAATAATGTTTTTATCATTACCCACTAGAAAATGTAACCAACTCGAGCTGTGCAATAATTTCGAATCTCGTAATTGCAGGCGGTGGACGCAGCCCGATTTGTGGACACGCTGTACACCTGGTCGGCGTTCAACACGCAGGCGATTGGCGAGAGCATTGCCCAGGCACTGGAGAAGGTGCTCCACGTGGTCCCCGTGGACAATATCCACCTGATCGGGCACAGCCTGGGTGCCCACATAGTGGGTGCCGCCGGTCGGAGTCTGCAGAACCTGACCGGCAAGGTGCTGCCCAGGATCACCGCCCTGGATCCGGCCAAGCCGTGCTTCAACGAGGGCGAAGTCCTCTCGGGACTGATGCGCGGCGATGCCCGCTTCATCGACGTCATCCACAGCAATTCGGGAGTGCTGGGCAAGCGGGATCCGCTGGGCGATGTCGACTTCTATCCGGATGGCGAGGGTCCCCTGCCCACGGGCTGCTTCTCGGTGACCTGCGCCCATGCCCGAGCCTGGGAGTACTTCGCGGAGACGGTGTTTCCCGGCAACGAGGACAACTTCCCCGCCACGCGCTGCAGTTCGCTGGCCAAGCTGCGCGAGAAACACTGTTCCGGCGGCGAGGTGCCCATGGGCTATGCCGTTCCCAGCAATGTCAAGGGCAAGTACTTCCTGGAGGTCGGCGGATCGTCGCCGTACGGCTTACAGGGCTCCGCCGAGCGTTCCAGCAAGTTGGAGAACTGCGGCAAGTGCCCCGACTCCTCGACGACCAGCACCACTGAGGAAACGACCACGGCGAAATCCTGGCTCAAAGTGCCTGGCCTCGGCTCAATCCTTCCGTAATTCTCAGCAATCTCTCTCCTAAATCTTAGATTAATTATTTATCTTTGTGCTTTCAGCCCGATTGGGTGATTGCGGTCGATATGCAATTCGCCATTTGCCTTCTGAGCGTTGACAATTCAATTAAATTTGTGTCTAGTTTTCTCATGCGACAAGCGAACGCCGAAAGGGGGAGGCTCTCGAATGCGGAATACCCCTTACATGTGATATCGAAGGATTGTGATAGGATAGAGAAGTGCATTGCACATTATTTTTAATAAATTGTTCTTCAAATAAATAAATACATTATTATTATTATTTTATTCATGCAAGTTGAATAGCTAAATATTTCATATTGTAATTAATTTGTGCAAATGTAATAACGATTTAAATGGTGAATATTGGGAAATGCACAGTACCCTTTGATTGACACCCAATGCCGGATGATGAGCCAGGACAGCCGACTTTAAAATGACAAATTTCTGGGTTGAACATAATACCCCGTCGAGGAAAACAGAGAGATAAATAACCTGTGGAAAAGAGGCCACGGTGTCGACATTGCCACAAGCTCATGATTGTTGACTGTCGACTGGAGTTGGCTGTTATTTTTTTTAACTATTTTGTTGACTATTATCCGATTGGCGCCCAAGTACAGTGGGATCGGTGCTTGGCGGAAACCGCCGCTATAATTGGATGTCATCTGGTCACCTGGTTCTGTTACAGATGCGTTTCACAGCCGACTAAGGTCATCTGCCTGGGTTGCTGAATGGTGAATGTTGTCAGGGGAGCGATGATTTCATCTCGGATCGATGATACGGATTTTCTAGGCGCTCTTTAGTCGCCTAAACGTCCCAGATTGGCATCTTTATGGCTGGAAAGTTGACTTTGCAATGCGTTTAATCGCTTTTTAATACTAAGTGCCGGTGCTCCACAAACTAGTTTATAGACCAGCTTTACAGTTGGGCTATATATATGCATATTTATGTGGCTTTAAGCAGCGAGTTGGTCTTGTCAGGGCTTTCTCATGTCCTTCGGCTGACTGTCACGATCAGGAAATGCCATTGCCGGTATCCAGTTACCTTTCCAGCGGATCTCCCCACTGTGCCACTCGGTTTTTGGTTTTTGGTTTTTGGTTTTCTGTTTCTGTTTATGTTTTTGTTTTTAATTTGTTTTCGCAGTTTTTAGGCCCCTTCACCTGGAATCTGCAACTGCATCTGCATCTCCATCTCCATCGCCATAACCATCTGCAAGTGTTTTCGGATGCGGCTTAAGCCGCCGGTTTGACAAATGACTCACTCGACGCCAGCTTCTTGACTTAAATCAAATTACACTGACAGTACAGTACACTAGAAAAAAATAATTGAACAAAACGCCTTAAGCAGCTCAGAATGGGAAATAAAAGAAGGCTTCTTAAATGCTAACTAAAAGGTAAGAGATGTTCCATTCAATGTTTCTTATTTATATGTTTTATGATCATTTATAAATAATTTAATGCAGTAATTAGTATTTTATTTCAAAGGTGTTAAACAATAATTTGTATTTATGATTTATTCCCTAATTCATAAAAATGTAACATAGGTTTAAATGAGTACCGAACAATGTGCTGGAAAATTAAATTAAATTAAATTAAATTAAATTAAATTAAATTAAATTAAATTAAATTAAATTCCAAGTTTAGTTAGCCAATCAAACAGTTTCTCGCAGTGCACCCCTGCTGCAGTTTCCGCCAGCAGCGAGGCGAGGAAATGATCCATCAAGCGTGTGAGTTATGTACGAATTTTGCAACTTGGCCACATGCTTGGCTGACTTGATGGCCACAAAGTAGTGGCTTCTGCTTCTGCTTCTGCTGCGGCTTGTAAAGCGGTTGACCCTGGTCAAGAATCGGACGCTCAAAGTGGTTTAATAAACTGCAATTACCCGACCTGGCCCAGCCACCCGCCGCCGGTTGGGGCGAGAGATTTATTTTGTGGATTCTCGACCAGAGCAACCAGAGTCTGGGCCACGCAGTATTTTCTGTATTTTTTTCCACTTTTTTTCCTCGTTTTTTGCCGTGTTTTTTTGCCATAAATAGCGAGTGGCCATCCAGTGGTTACAGCATTCGAGTGTCACACTCCGAGACGCACAGCTTCAAACCGGGATTAACCAACAGTCAGGACTCCAAGCTAAACAGTCAGAGAAATCAACAGCACAGGATGAAGGTGTTCATTGTACTTTGCGCATTGGTGGCCTGCGTTTCCGCAGGAATCGTGAGATCTTCCGGCTGGGGATCCAATCCCTGGGGCGGCAGCAGCTCGGGATGGAATAGCGGTTGGAGTGTCCAGCGGCCGCAGGTCATCAAGGTCATCAGGGTCGGCGGCGGAGGTGGCGGCGGCTGGGGAGGCGGCCACTCCGGATGGAGCAGCAACTCCGGATGGGGTGGCAACTCTGGCTGGGTAGGCAACTCTGGATGGAGCAGTGGCAACTCCGGATGGGGTGGCAACTCCGGATGGTCCAGTTCGGGATCCAGTGGCTGGTGGTAAAGTTGATGGTGATGAGTGATGAATCCCCTTGGGAATCCTTGGGACACCCAAAACCCGAAACCCGAAACCCCCAATCCCAAATCCCCTCTCTCTGCACCTGGTTCACACTACACTACACGATTTTGTAACATAGCCATTAGGTTCCCCATTTTTTTGTGTAACAATTAATTAAATAAACAATCAAATCGAATGCATAAACTGAACGATGCTGCGATTTAGCATTTTTATGATGCATCTCTGGATTATGGATCTTTAGCAATTAACATTCTAAACTTGAGAAGCGAGTATCGCTAGCTGAGCAATTATTAATATTTTATGCATTTTGCAAATGATTGTGGAACAGCATCGCGGTGGCCAAGGTGGCGATGCGATTTGAGTTCAGCGGCGATCATCGTAGTCATCTCCAGTTGCAGGCACTGTGGTTTTAAATTTGGAACCACATTGAAGTGATGAATATATGTATTTTTGCCATAAATCTGTGGAATAAGCACGTTTACTTCTATATCACTTTTTATAGCGTAAATAAATGCTTAAAGAGGATTGACCTTACTGTTTGTTTTAATAGTAATTTTTTTCTCAAGTTTAATTATAAAAGTAAAGATAAAAATATTTTAACAGCTTCAATTATTTTATCAAATATTTTTTAATGCATGCAACTATTCATTTCATACAAGTAACATATATTTGTTGCATTAAATTTAAATACTTAATATAAATATTTTAAGCTGTTCACCCATCTCCACCTTTAAATACCACTGTACCATACAGATTTTCTTGGGCTCTTGTGGACTTGGCTCTGGGTTGAACCATCTGCAGCACGCGTTGGCAGCCAAGAGAAGCAACCATATATCTCCATATTCATAGACATACGAATCGCACACATCGGAGCGCCTGATGAAATTTATGGTAAGTAATGCACTTGAGCATGCACCCAGCCATGTTTGCACGCCAATTGACATTGAACCAGTGTCTGCGGAGTCGTGTCTCGTACATTTAGTTAGATAGATTCGACTGCGGCTGCTGTATAAATGAAGATTAATTGCCGCAAATATTGCTTGGCAATAGCGAGAAGCGAAGCCGAAAATGAACATAAATACGAATTGAAATTATTGGAAAATTGTTTGTTTATGCCAACCCATTAAATGCTCTGCGGCCTGGGAAAATATGCTCAACTTACTGGGCTAAACTATTATTAAAATAGTAAAAGTATTTTAATTATTTAATTAGAAGGGCTAGAAGCACCAGGAAATACCAATGGATTTATATTCAAGTTGCTTGAAATGTTTCTTAATTAAAAAAGATTCCTATCGGAATCAGAATTTATTTTTTCAATATAAAATAATTCCCACACTCCCCAGCGCCACCAAATGTGCACCATAAATGCCGACACTTCACTTAACTACGCCAAGCGGCAAGGCTTCAAAATTCTTCAAAATAGTAATTAAGAAAAATTCAACAACAAATTGCACGGCCGGCAGGTAGAAAAAAGCGCTTAGAATTTCGCATGGATACAGTAAACTTGTAAGACAAATTGCAAGGCGTTTCGTGGCCGAATGTACTGTGTACTGTGTACTGTCTGCTATGTGCTATGTGCTATGTGTGCTGGCAATTAATGATGCAGCCATGGCTCAGCAGTTTGCAAGTGGTGCGGTGGCGTATGCGCGATGTTCCCAGCCAGCGCACATTGCGTATCCGCCGAGTGCGCCGGCGTACTTGAGACGCTTTGTTTTTATTTTTGTTTTTTTTTTTTTTGTTCTGTGTGGAGCCAGACAAGTTGCTTGCGAAGTCGCATTGTGCCGACGTGAAGTGCAGTTCTCAACCTTCCTTTGGGAGCTCGGATCGCTTGGATCGATTGGATCGTTTGGATCGTTTGGATATGGAGTTGGAGGGACTGCAGGCTGCTGACTCATCGGAAGTTTCCGCCTTTCGGAGCTATAAAAACATGCCACAGTTCTGTGCTGGTTCATCAGTGGTTCTGAGCCTCCGACAGTGATTGCACATCGCTTCTAATCGTTTCGATCGAATTTTTTTGTTGTTTGTTCTTTTTTTTTTGAGTGAGACACAAGGATGCGTCACGCAGTGGTCCTCGTTTTCGTGTGCGGTCTGCTGATCGCCTTTGCCTCCGCCGGCTTGCTGGGCGGCGGAGGAGGTGGTGGCTACGGCGGTGGTGGCGGCGGCGGTGGCGGTGGTTACGGCGGCTCTGGTGGTGGTGGTGGCGGTCAGGGAGGCTGGCAGAAGAATGGAGGCGGCGGGCAAGGAGGCTACGGTGGCGGTAGCCAGGGTAAGTACATTTATTTTGGCATATTCAATTGAAATATATTAAAATAATTTTGGATTTACCCTCACAAAAGAAACCAGAAATAATTGGTTAAACAATAATTTCAATATGGAAAATTAAAGTCATTTTTTATAAGTCCTGTCCATTTTTTTTATTGTATCTGTGGCTTTAAATAATATAGTCAGTGTGAAGCTCTAAATATGGCACATATGAAAATATATGATGTATTTTATAATTTTAAATCTTGCTTAGGTGGACATGGAGGCAGTGGCCAAGGAGGCTGGCAAAAGAACGGAGGAGGCGGTCACGGAGGAGGTGGACAAGGAGGATACGGAGGCGGTGGTCAGGGTAATTATATATATTTTATTATATATATATTTTATTTTAAATATATATTTTATATATTTTATTATATATATATATTATATATATTTTTTATATATTTTATTATAAATATATTTTATTTATTTTATAATATATATATATTTCACAATACAAGAGCAGACACAAAATAAAAAATGTATTGGTCTTGTAGTACTGATTAAATTAAAATGAGCTGATTATTTATAGATATATTTGTAATATTTTTTATTATTTATTCCAGGTGGTCACGGAGGTGGACAAGGAGGCTACGGCGGTGGCCAAGGAGGCCATGGAGGCCATGGAGGTGGTAGCAAGTCCTTGGCCGGAAACCGCGGCAGTTCCGTTTCCTGGCAGAGCGGAAATGGAGGCAACAAGCACGGAGGCGGCGGCGGAGGAGGCGGTGGTGGCCTTTATGGCGGTGGTGGCGGCGGAGGTGGCAAGCACCACGGCGGTGGTTGGTAATCACCACGAGCACCACCAAGAGCAGCTAATCCCACGGCTTGTACCCCCACACCACTTGTGTTCCATGGCATAGAGATAGAGACAACCCCTGGATCTTCCCTTTTTTCAGTCCAATGCCCCTTCTATTTCTGCTGTTACTATTTTTTGTACTAATAAAACTATTTTATGCATTTTGTAAATTACTTGCTCTTCTTCGATTATAAAGAAATCTTTAAATCTGTATTAAGTTTTTTGAGCATATTCGTTGCAAGATTCAATCGAATATATTGTTGGGCTTCTTTGCTCTCAAAACTAAAGTTTGTTCGGCTGTAAGTCGTTTCTTGCCCAAACAACACATAAAAGTCATTTAAAATATGGAAAAAATTGCATAAAATCATTTAAAAAAAAAAATTGTTTTTTGTCTCTATCTCGGCAAGTACTAATCTGAATATATATTGTCATACACTAATGAATTCGTAATAAAACTCTATGTCCGATGGCATTCACACCTAAAATTTTTGAAATTTTGCCATTTTTCGCAAAAAAGTATGCCAAAAATCAATTTCTTTTTAATCGTCCAAAGAGTGATTGGGCTCGTTAACTCTGGTCATAAGTTGCTCAAAACAGTGTTTGGTTCCGCTGTAAGTCACTATTTGGGTTTATTACAAGCGAAAAACTACAATTGGGTTGGCAAGAAAGTCATGTCGTTTTTTTCAATATTTTCAAAGATGATTTATTTATATCAGGACTTATAATTAATCAATTATGTATTGGCCGTTTTGTTCGACCACTTCCGGGCAGCTGCATATTTCCGCGCTCGAAGAACTTTTGGTCTTTTCCAGCAAAGAATCGAGACAAATGGTTTTCGACAGCCTCATCTGAATCAAAGTTTTTAACATTCAAAGAGTTTTGAAGAGAGCGAAACAAATGGTAATCTGAAGATGCTCAGTCCGGACTATAAGGTGGATGTGGTAGCACTTCCCAATTCAGCTCCCTTAATTTTTGCCGAGTGACCAAAGATGTGTGGGGCCTAGCGTTGACATGGTGAAAGACTATACCCTTGCGATTAGCTAGTGCCGGCTCCTTTTCTTTAATTTTTTCCACCAAATTGAATAGCTGGCGACAGTACACATCTGAATTGATGGTTTCATTCCGTCCCAGCAGCTCAAAGTGCACTACACCCTTCCAATTCCACCAAACAGACAGCATAACTTTCCTCTGATGGATATCGGCCTTTGATGTGGCTTGGGCTGGCTCACCTTTCTAGCTCCATGATCTTTTACGTTGGACATTATTGTAAACAACCCACTTTTCGTCGCCAGTAATGATCCGCTTCAAAAAAGGATCGTTTTTAATCCGTTGCAGCAGAGAATAGCAGATGTTGATACGCTTAGTTAGGTGAATTTCCTTTAAGTTATGCGGAACCCAAACATCGAGCTTGCTTACGTAGCCAAGTTTCTTCAAATGGTTTTCAACCGTTGTATGCGACACACTGAGCTTCTCTGACATCTCTCGCGTTGAATAACGCCGGTTTTCATCCAGCAAAGCCTGAATTTGTTCGTCAAAAACGGCCGATGGTCGACCAGAACGTGGGGCGTCTTTAACTCCAAAATCTCCAAGCCTGAATTTGGTAAACCAGCGCTGACATTGGCGATCACTCATGGCATCTTTACCATACACTTCGCACAATTTTTCGCGAGCTTCGACCGCTTTTTTTCCTTTTCAGAAGTAAAAAAGCAAAATATGCCGAAAATGCTCACTTTGGTCCTCCATGTTTAATTTGCTATAGCTTCCACATATGTTATCGAATAATTACCAAATTTTCGTCGATAGTACCTAAGACAATAAGCTTTAAAAAGATACTAAAAAGTGTGACCCTGGTGCTCGATTAGTCGTAAATAAATTAGATTAAAAACGATTACTAAAAAAACGACATTACTTTCTTGCCAAGCCAATATAAACATAGTGTTTTTTTTTGCAACCCGAAAATATTCCAAATTTTGAACATATGCTACTAATGTCTTTTGATGAGATTATTATTAAGAATATTATTCTGAATTAACTTGTAATAAAAATAAAAAACTGTATATTTACGAAAACAAATCACTTTCCCGCATTGCAAAAAACTGTTGTCAAAATTACTTTCTCGAAAGATTTATTCACGTATTTAGATAGACAAAAAAAAAGGTTGTTTAAGTGTAGGGCAGAGAAATGTTATATACAAGTTGATCAGTGAAATCTGGTGTCGCCTCGTCGCCGTTTAGCCTCAGATGGGTGTCGTCTCGTGTCCAGGAATCCAGTTCGTTACCAGCTCCAGCCGCCGCCGCCGCCGCCGGATGACCAACCGCCACTTCCACCGCCGCCGGAGGACCAGTCGCTGCTGATTTTGCTTGGCCAGCCGGAGGATCCTCCGGAGGACCATCCTCCTCCGCCGCCGCTCTTCCAGCCGCCGCCGCCGCCTCCCGATGACCAGCCACCGCCTCCTCCGCCGCCGCTCTTCCAACCGCTGGACAAGCTACTCAAGGCCTGCGACTTCCAGCCAGAGAGACTGGAAAGGGCACTGGAAAGTCCCGAGCTGCCGCCGGACTTCCAACCGGAGCCGCCGGAACTGGGCCAGCCGGAGGATCCACCGGATGACCATCCTCCTCCGCCGCCGCTCTTCCAGCCACCACCACCGCCGCCCGATGGCCAACCTCCTCCTCCGCCGCCGCCGCTCTTCCATCCTGAGGATCCGCCACCGGAGGACCAACCACCTCCCCCGCCGCCAGAAGGCCAGGCACTGATGATGACCTTGCTGCCACCGCCACCGCCAGAGGACCAACCACCATTACCACCGCCGCCGCTGCTCCAACCATGCGGTTTGGCCTGGGCAAGTAGGCAACCACCCAGAACCACCAGCAGGCCGAGAAGGCCGAGTCGTCGCGTTGTTGTCATCGTGGCTTGCATCTTCGCACTCCGCAGCTGCCGTGCACTAACTAATGCCCCACTGCAGCCACTCTCGGGCTTTTATACCCACCCATCAACCACCAGCAAAGATTCTGAGCCACCGCCGAGACAGTGAGCCACTGAGACAGTCGGCGCTTCGCCACAGCCGCTGCCTCGTATAATCAGATGTAATTGCCAAAAGTGCCGGCGACCAGCTCACAATGGCCGGTGGTTGCTTGCCCGCCGCCTTCGGGGTGTTTTGCGGTGGCTCGGAGTGGCTCGGAGTGGGTCGGAGTGGCTCGGGTGGTGCTCCCAGCTCAACTCAGTGCAGCTCAACTCAACTAAAGTCAAGTTAACTCGGCACTTGGGCCTCATTATGCCGACTCCGACTTTCGATTTCGTACGCTTTGTGGGCCCACCACGTATTATGGCTCTGCTGTTCGGCGCCCAGCAAAAATGTCTCAACTTGGAGCACCTGATTTCGGTTATAGGGAGTACACTGTACTACAGTGCAGCCAGCCCTTTCAGGAAATATGGATTTACCGCACAGAACGGGGAACAACAGGCAGTAATTCAAAGTTCTGTAAGCTTATTATTTATGGGAAAAAACTAAACAGCTGTAAGTATGCAAATTATTTCAAATAAATAGTTTTCAATTATTGAAAAGTTTTATAGCCTAAAACGAAGTTAAATATGATCATAAAAATATAATATATGCTTTTCTATTCTGTCATATTTTGAGTAGCTGTTTTACACTTCGCCAATTTGTATATTCTTTTTTTTTTTTGTGGGCCAGTGTAGGCCAAGCCAACTGATACCGCATCATGATCATCGATCTATTGGCTCTCCATTTTAATGCGGCAACCGCAAAGTACTTAATTGAGTTCGCCTGCCGGCGGTTCGATGGCAAAATATGCAGCTCGAGGAGCGAGGGATCGAACTGGCGATCGGTTCTTTATGCCGGCCCATTATTCAGAATGGCGATGGCGATACAGATGGATATTGGATATTGGATTTTGGATTTTGGATTTTGGTATTGGGATTGCAGATTGCAGGTGCAAGTGCAGATAAAGGTGGAGGTGGAGGTGTGCAACTGAGGCAACTGAGGCAGCTGCGTGTTTGTCTTTTGCTACCGTGCTGCGGTTGCACATAACTCGTGCTGTCTGGCAAATCGGGTCGCCGGCAAATCAATCGATCAATCAACGGAGTAGAGTTCAATTGTTCGGGTGCAACTTATGAGTTGACACAGAACCCATCACGCAAGATTGACGGGTCTCGCAAGAAGGTGTCTCACCTTCAATGAGCTGCCTGCTCGAATGTGTGTGCTGAATTTTCATAGCTCCAAAGATGCAGATCATTGAAAAGGCTGAAGATTTTTTACAATTTCGTCACCGAAATAAATAGAAGCACGCAAGGAAGCCAAACTGTAGATACCCTTATCAATTATTTGCTAAGACGAGTGGTAATCATCAGATTTATCCTCGATTCGTTAAGAATTAATTGCCCATTAAAAAGCATAGCTTTAAAATGCCATAAATCATTTCTTCAATCAATGGCTTAATTAGGAATTATAAGCATAGAAAAAGTTCCTAACGAAACTTATTTATTAGGCTATAAACTTGCCACTAAAAATGTTGCCTCCATAAAAAGAAACAAATTTATTCACACAACTAATCCCGTAGAACAAAGGGTAGAGTGAATATTTTCCAAAAATTAAAACCAGCCTATCTTGTGCCAAAATGCTAATTATACACCACGGATCGGCCAATTCTAGAACCGAACCGATCGAACCACTCGAACCTTTCGGCTTTTGCACGTTTGCACCGCTGGCCGCATTTTAATTCATGGGCGGCATAAAACTTAAATCAAATTTGGCTCTTTTGTGCCATCGACTGACAGTCTGTCTGATCGATCGATGGCTGTGGAAAACAATAAAGTGCACTTTGTGGGTTGCGCAAGTGATGGAATAGCCATCGGTGGAGAATAACGAATCGCGACTAAGTACCTAACCCATTAACTTGCCTTCGATTGGCAGGTGATGACCTCAACCGCTGGCCATTGGGTCAGAGCAGGAAACCAAAAACCAAAAACTGAAAACAGAAAACCGGAAAACCAGTTACCCCCTCCCAAAGTCACAAAACTTAAACAAGCCGTGATTAAAAATGGAAATTCTTTTCATTTATATTGCATAAATTCTAACAAACAAATACCGCTAAGAAATATAAAAAAAAATATATTGTTAAAACCTAATCTTGCTGAAGCTGCAACTTCTGCTTGGCATTTTGGTTGGCAGTTTGAACTATTTGTGGTGGTTGATCCTTCTTTAGGTCCAACGTTTACCAGCCCTTGTTCCAGCCGCCACCGGAGGACCAGCCACCGGATTGAGCACCACCGGAGGACCAGCCGCCGCCGCCGTAGCCACCGCCGTTGGAGTAGCCGCCGGAGTAGCCACCCGACTGGCCGCCGGAGTAGCCCTCGTTGATGACCTTCACGATGACCACCTTCTCCACGGGCCTGGGAGCCGGGGCCGAGTATCCACCGCCGCCGGAGTAGCCGCCGCCACCGGAGTAGCCGCCGCCGCCACCACCGGAGGACCAGCCACCGGACTGAGCGCCACCGGAGGACCAGCCACCACCACCACCGCCGCTGCCTCCTCCGAGTCCGCCGCCAAGACCGCCGAGCTTGCTCTGCAGCAGCTGTCCAATGCCGCCAATGCCGCCACCGCCACCTCCACCGCCTCCTCCGAGCAGACCGCCAAGGGAAGCCTGACCAACGGACAGGACGGCGGCGAGGATTACCAGGATGCAGGCAAAGGGCTTCATCTCGAGTGGCTTATGTGTGGTTAGTTACTATCGGTTCCAAACAGCTGACCAAACTAATTCCATCGATCGCCGCACCACGCACATTTATACCCCCCAAAAATCGATCGATTCCGATTCCGATTCCAAATCCGAATGAGATGAGATGAGATGAGATGAGATGAGATGAGAGCTGGGGACGGGGACCAATTAGAAGCCATCGAGCATCGCTTCGGCTGCGATTTCATAATAACCCACATTCGGTTCGGCTATGCTCGCCGGCGGTTCTTTTGTTTGCCTATGCTAATCTGTGCGCATGCGCGGCTTACTTTGGACGAGGAACCGCTTCTCCTCCGCCTGGCACAGTGGGTTTGCACAGTGGGTTGGGAGGTGTTAAGTCCCCCCGGGTGGATTAAGCAATCCATTGACATCTTGCTGGATGGTCAGCGGTGTTGAGAAGGGCACACACTGTTTGATTTGACCAAACATTACACAAATTTTGGGTTATCAATCTGGGCGTGTCAACTAAAAGTCAATACGCGTTCATTGATAATTATTTTCGGAGGTCTAACCAAATATTCTTTACTTTGCCAAGTAATTGTAAGTACGTATATCTATTTGGTATATTGTTCTTATAATAGTTTTTGTTGGAATTTATATTTATGTACAGCTTGCCTTTTTTCCTTTTATTACTTTCAATAAGAACAAATTCCCCTTATTTTGAATAGTTTTAAAGCTAAAACCACTGTGCCAATCGCCGAAAGTCAAACAAATTATCAGCATTTAATCACCGCGGCCGGCGGCGGGCAACAATGGGCCGACAATCAACATTTATATCAATGTTTTGTCAGTTGGCCAGCAGTGGGTTTTGGCCAAAAGCAAAAGCAAAAAGCAAAAAGCAAAAGCAGAAGCAGCCGATGTGTCAAACTGATGAATGGCCCCGGGTGCGGGCCAAAATCGTGAGTTCTGCTCCAAGGTTCGGCACTAGAAGTGGGAAAACTAAGGCATCTTCCTGCTTTGCTCGAGAACTATGGTATCGATAAAGTTGCTCAGAGGCCTATTCAAATTCCTTGGGTATTGTGTGGCCCATACCCATATACCCATACTGATATCCATATCCCATATCCCACATCATCGCCTATTTAAACGTAGAACCGGTTCGGCGATTCTATTTCTATGCTTCAGTTTGGCATATATTTGCATAGTGGCTCGGCGGATATGGCAGATTGCCTGGGAATTTTCGTTAGCCCCTAGTTGTCTGTACTAACCCGAAAGATAAACACACTTTGGAGAACTCTCCCACAAGTCGAAGGGTTCAATGCACCCTTCTCTAGCACACGATCCAAGCTATCAAACAAAAAGAACTAAAATTAAATATACAAAAAAACAGACAGTTTTGGTTTCTGCAAGTTTGTTTCAGTATTTGCCATTAGCATACTCGTTCTGGGGCCTCTAAATATTCATAATCGCATTATTCGATTATACTTGGAGCTGTAAGCTACCGATCCGTCGACAGATCGACAGCATTCGATGGGTGACTTATCAATTGAGTGGAAAACGAGTTGCCGAACCACAAAGAAGTGGCAAATGGAAATCTGTGAAGTGCGTTTCTGGGTTTTAATAGGATAAGTGATGGTCACTTGAAAGAACAGATGTATGGATATATCAATTTGAATGGGATTTCCTCGTTACCCATTTATTGAGAAAATAGTCAGTAGCGATGCTCATATAAATTCTTGGTAATAGCCATCTATTTATATCATTTAATGGTTATATTTGTGGTTGAAAACATTTATTTAAATGAAAATGGCATATAAAAATGTAATGTGAAATATCTATCAGTAAGAAATAATTTTATTAGCATTTAAATGTTCCCGAATAAACGATTACTATTCTCAATTAAAATCTCTATTGTTTTGCATTCCAAAATGAAGTAATTCCAATTTGTTTACATTTCTGTTTTAAGGAAGCGTTCTATTATCATTTGAATAAACATAATAATGATTCCGGTTTCCGGTTTGCTTTTAAGCCAATGAGATCAGATCGGTTGTAATCAAGCCAGTGTTCATCCCTTTGTTAACTCAATATGCGAGATGGGTATATCTAGCTTACAATGGGAGCTATACTACTATAATACTATAAGGTCTGTAATAACCGAACCTACAAAACTGTTTCCCATCGCTTCGCCCTCGGACGGCTGAAGGCTTCCATTAAAAACCAACAGAATTAACATATTTAATTGCGGGCTATGTACCCAAATGAAATTACCAGTGCAATAGTAAACACAAAGGCAAATATGGCTAGAAACCCAAACCGAAACCGAAAACGAAAAGTGAATGGAGCCACTGCCTTTGGAGGAGAACTTTGGGTAGAGTCATCGTCATCCCAGCTGGCAGGGCATTAAGGCTAAAATTGATGACACTCATAAATAAGTTGGTAATATGTAATGATAATAACTAATATTGTAGCGACATTAATTCGATTCCCAGCGAATTTGCAAGCTTGCATAGAAAATTGCATTTGGATTTTTATGAGGAATCCAGCAGCAGACACATAAATAACCATCGCATATGTTCTTTCTACTTATATAATTTTATCATCTCAGATCCGAGATCTCGTACATATGCAAACGGCTAATTGATGGCGGGCCAGCTCAAATAAATATAAGCTAATTACAGTGGCTTGCCAGATCATCGGATCGTCAATGAGGTCGTAAAGCACTGATAGTTAATTGCAGGTTAACCCACAGCACTCGGCCATCAATCTCTGAAATCGGCTAAGGAATCGTGAGATAATGGAGTCATCTCTCTTGAGCTATAAAAATAGGAATGTAAGTATGCTTTCAATATATAAATAAAAATTATTTTATTGCTCACATTCAGGAAGTACTTCATGTGTAACTCGCATAAAGGCAGTTTAATGTCTGGTCTACCGATAAAAGTGCCCAAGGCAATAGAAACACCAAATCCATTGAACAACTGGGTGTTGAAAAAACTTCCAAATCAAAGACATTCCGCACGATAATCTGAAAAATGTGCATCAAGAGTTTATCAAATACGTGACGGCAGGAAGCCGTAAACCAGTTAAGGCAAATGCAAAATCTAAAACAGGTTAGCACACACGAACGCATAATTTGTCCAGATCGGTGTAAATAAACGGTGGGATGCCCATTTGTTTATAAACAAACATGCGAATCGTAATGCGTTTGCCCAAGGCTCCCTGGTAACCGAAAAAAAAATTAAAAACCCAAAAGCCAGAAACGCACATGGCAAACAAATTCAGTCGAGACTCGTCGACGCCGCAACTTCATTATTATCGAATCAAAGACAATGGCAGACAAAGAAAATCGGCGGATTCAAAGCCAAACAGCGATTGCCAGCGGAAGTAAAACAAAACAAAATAAAATAAACAGAAATACCGAAAAGCATCGAAGCTGATTTTCATATAAATCAATGACAGCCAATAAACTGTTTAACTTCATGTTAAGCATACCCACTCGAATTAAGCATTTGCTTTATGGGCTGTGGTCAAGGATTGGCATTAACACCTTAAGTTTCCCCTCCCTGACTCTGCAATCTTGCCATCTTTTTGTTTAAATCTTTTTTTTAAATAAAAATCCTTAAAGGAGACTTTCCTTTCTCCAATTTATTTTTCCTTAATTGACTTTCGCTTTCTGGGGTAACGCAATGGGTCGACCTTGAACTTCAGTGATTCCATCGCAAGGGCGTAAAGAGCAAAGTTGCAAACTGGTTTCATCGTGCCAGAAAAACGAAAGACTTAGGCAACAAACTTTGCGATAGCGCCATCTGGTGCTTAGCTTACAAGCTTTCAGCGGGAAAAGCTCAGTTTGAAACCACTGAATCGTATTCCAAAAGCAGAGTCACGAACCTATTTTGTGGAAACGAAAGACTTGGGAAGCGAACTTCAAGGAAAAATGATTAACGAATAGGAAATACTTGTTTTACGTTGAGAATTTATTGGTCAGGTTCGGTTGCACAGAATTGGTTTCAGATATGATAGGTATCCTTCTTAATCGTTCCACCAGCCAGCACCACCGCGGCTGCCACCGCCGTAGGCACCACCAGCGCCACCAGCTCCATAGGCACCACCAGCACCGTAGGCTCCGCCAGCACCACCACGGGCACTGGAAGCGTGGTTCACGGTGTAGTCGAACTCAGCGGGGTTTCCCCAGGCGCTGCCGCCGGCACCGCCAGCACCCCCCTGCCAGCCACCTGCTCCTCCGGCACCGCCCTGCCAGCCTCCTGCACCTCCAGCACCACCACGACCAGCTCCTGCTCCTTGCCAGCCACCGGCACCGCGGCCGCCGCCATAAGAGGATGCTCCACCTCCATAGGAACCGCCGGCTCCACCGCCGTAGGAGGCAGCACCACCGCCGTAGGAACCTCCAGCACCGCCGCCGAAGCCGCCGCCAGCCGATCCACCGCCAATGTGGACCTTAGTGTTTCCCTGCGACTGCGAGACGTGGGACACCAGACCAGCTCCAATGGCTGGGCGGCCGCCGAAACCACCGAAGCCGCCGGCGCCACCACCGCGTCCTCCGCCGGGCAAGTAGCCACCGCCGGCACCACCGCCAGCACCACCGCGGAAGCCACCAGCATTGGCCAGAGCCAAGGAAGCCAACAAGCAGACGAATACCTGAGAAATATTTGAATTTAAATATTGATTTGTGGAAATCCTGGATCCTTTCCGAATTCTTACCTTCATTTTGATTGAGGAGATTATTAGATTTGAGATTCTAGTCGAAGCTGAGATCCAATGGTTTGTGATGTCTTTGGCTTAGGAAGCAGCTGAATTTATAGTCCAAATCCTATGGATCTTCTTTGGCTAATGATCCAACCAAGAAAACAACAAACAAACAAACCGAGCAATAGATGAAAAAAAAAAAATCACAATTTCAATTTTCGACAAAACCAAAACATTAATTTGCTCCGCTCAATCATTAGATTCTCCAGCCCTCTGAACTCATCTTTATCTTTAGCCTCTTCGGATGCTGCTGATCGGTTTTTGTTTTCCTTGACTTTAATTAAAAGTCACAAATTAATTGTACGTCGGCAGCTTGCCTCCGGGCTTCCGATTGCCCAATCTCCGCCAAGCTCGGTGACTTAAAAGCCCGAAAAGTGGACGCAGTGCGTCCAGTTCATGCCCATGTTGCCGCGTGGGCGCTTAACCCACTCCAATCCTGACTCCCCGAAATGAATTATATTTCTTTTTTGTTTTGTTTTTTGAAAGTGAACAATCTAATAGTTATGCAAGCGGCAATGCAGCAATGCAACTCATCAACTTGACAGAAACAAAGTGGATATCTTGCCGGGCAAAAATGCTGTGAATGGGAAGTATTATATTTGGAATGGGGAAGTCAAACAATTTGGCATCCTACGGCAACAAAGCAAAGAATGCATTTCACTCGAAAAAAAGTGTGCAATGGCATTTTCAATAGCCCACTAACATGGAATTTATTTCAGAAAGATTGAGAAGGTTTTTCTGGCCATAAAGACCTACTGGAAATAAGAAAAATATTTCGATTCACTTCTAAAAATAAATAAGCTCGTATAAAATTATTATACGAGCTTATTTATTTGTTTTGTTTGTATTTAAGTATCGATGCATTGAAACCCTCTATTCAAAAGTGTCCTTAAGAACAGGAATAATAATTTTATAATAACAGCATATATCAGCTGTGAAAATGATTTCTCCATTATTTAAATGAGGCTGACGGGCTTATAAAGTAAGCGATTAATCGCTTTTTAAATGGATTAAATAGATTAGGAAAATCCAGCGAAAGAGTAAGTAGCCGGTGATGAAGTGCGTCTGTCGGCGAGGCATTATCTTTAATGGGACAGCTTGGCTGCCTGACAAATAGGAGCTGGCCATCAGCAAAGGAAATTTATGCGAGGAAACTCGCACAGAAGCCAACCGTTTGGTTCGTAGATCACCTGCCGATGTAGGGTATTCAAAGTGGCAGACAGAGTGATAGCCCGCTCTCTTCTTTCTCAGCCGGAGAAAGCCTCTCTCCCTCCGGACCATTTCTCTCAGCTAGCCATAGCTGGCACTCTCTGTTTGCATTGCCGGCTTTCGCTCTTTGGGATAATTTCGGGCTTCGTTGGTGCCGCTGCGGATTTGGCCAAATCATTCCGTTGCCAACGTTGTAACTGGAAAACGTGTTTGCCGGATCGTCGGCGTCGCGTCGCTGTCTTCGCCGATTTTCCTTCCGATTTTCCTCCGCGACTCGATTCCGTGCACTGCCCCAGTGATTAATGGCCCTTCAACTATCGGGAAAACACATCCTCATCCCCGAACATTCACCTTGATGTGCGTGCCAACCTGTGTTCTTTTGTTTGTTTTTTCCTGTTCATTTGTCATCTCATTGGCAGCCAATCGAAAAAGTTAATTAAAAAGTTTGAAACAAGATTAATATGTTGTGTGTAGGTTGAGGAATATTGCCAAAAGGAATACAGCGACAGCTCGAAGCCAATATATTTAATTATTTTCGCGGTGAGTAAGAAAAGCGAATTAAAACAAAGCAAAAGGAGATTTGACATTGCAAAAAAATTAGCAATAAATGACTCCCATGAAATGCAAATGCAAACATGCAAAACAATGATTTGAAAGGTGAAAAACCATCGTAAAAACATAATTTAATTATTATAATTTTATTTAATATAATTACAAATTCAGCTGGTTAATATTGTTAAATAATACTCGAAAACAAACATTTGCATTTACAGATTTTTATCTAATAACATGCAACATATATTTGAATAACAATCGCTTATTTAAATGATTTTCACGAGTAGTTTGATAACATAATCGTGCTCAGCAAGAATAAGCAATCCGCAAAAAATGATGGAGCACCATCTTCATTAAATGCTTTTATTAATAGACTTTCGTATTTAACTAGTTTGGTTTTTTGGGTCTTGCTTGATAAGTGCGCATTAGTCAAAGTCAAGTTGAGTCTGAATTTAGTGGTGCGCAATTTTCCTTCGTCTAGCAAACTGTTCATGGTCTATTAATTGCCGTAGCAGCTCATTTTCTTTTACACTTCGAGATGCGCACATATATATATATATATACATATATATATAATACGGCTTCTATTTTTTATAGTTTGTGGGCCTTCAATTAAAATCACTCATACAAGTATGTGAAAAAATAGGAGGAGATCCCGTGGCAATGCCCCGCGTGGTGTTGATTAGAAATTTTCCCCGATTACGATTGACGATTGAAACCGAAACCGCGATTAGGGCAATTCCCTACGCAATTTACCATGAACCATGGCATCAAGCCATATGGCAGAACAAAAGACTGAGGCAACAAACTTGACTGCGCTTGCGGTTTCTGTGGGTATGCTATGCTGGGATTTGGATGGGATCGGATCGGATTGGATGGGTTGGATAAGTGGGCGCGGGACGACAGGTGACAGCACAACCTCTCCATGTGCATTCAGCTGGATGACTTTCTCCGCGGCTCCAACTTCTAAGTGGCATTGCTAATAAGCCACGGGGAATTGTTATTTGCTTTTTTGTCGCTGCACTTGTCGTGGGTTCCTATCGCCATCGCCGTTCCAACAGGGTAGCAGCTAACAGGGGGGTATGCCCAGCAGGTGGTTTATGCAACGACCCACCAGCTGATTGCTAAAAATTCCAGGAATTTTGAAGAGCTTCCTCGAGTTTACTGCGCTCGGCAGCAATTAAAACAAAGAATGCAAACTTATGTAAAGCACTGTTGAACCATGTTTTCCATGACGGCATTATTTGCTTAACGAAATCAAGAAGCTCCCTATTAATTAAAAAATAAATGTATTTAAATTTAATTATATTTTATATAATGTCAGAGAGGTCTGTGCTATTTATTTGTGGATATTTCTAATTAATTTTCCTTTGTTTTGACATATGTTTAAGTACTCTTAAAATCGATCAGCTAGCAACGCTTTTTGACCCTAGGCCCTATTAATTACAAAATAAATATATTTAAATGTATTCATATTTTATATAATGTCAGAGAGGTCTGTGCTATGCTAAGCACCCTATTAATTAAAAAATAAATATATTTAAATTTAATTATATTTTATATGATGTCAGAGAGATCTGTGCTATTTATTTGTGGATATTTCTGATTAATTTTCTTTTGTTTTGACATATGTTTAAGTACTCTTAAAATCGATCAGCTAGCAACGCTTTTTGACCCTGGGCATCGAAGGGTCTAACCTGCCGGCGACGGCATCTCCATTTGGGCGACTCGCTCACTCGGAAAACCAACGCGGTGGCTCCCGTCTCTCGTCCCCACAGCCACATTCAAATCCACATGCACAGCTCCACTGAAATGATATTAATTGCCCCGCAAAACTTATTGTGGAGTGGGTACTTAGGTGACTTTCATTGTCTTGACGGCGGCGGCGGTTTATTATGCGGCAGGTGGGTTTTTTTTTTTTTTTTTTGTTTAGTTAGTTGTTGTTTTGTTTCTCTCTTTTTAATGCCGCACACACATGTGTGTGACTTTGACTGCAGCTCCAGTTTAATCACACTTTTAACTCCGTTTCACATAATACTAATTTCATAATTTGCACCAGCAACCACCAACCACCAAGCAGCAAACGCACCACCGCCGCACCACCACAACGGCTGCTGATTTTTTCTTTTAGCGGGCCGCCGCTTAACTGAAAAAAAATTATGCCCTTTTTTTTTTTTCGCCTTTGCGTTTGCTTTCGGGGGGCTCCTCCCCTCCTAAACCTCAATTGCCCCTCGGGTTTTCTCCCAAAGTCTTCCGTTTCCCCCGGAGTCCCCCGTTTTGGGCCTCCCCCCTAACAAAACAAAAACAAGAAGGGCGGGCTTTCTCCCGGACCAGCTTAACCTTCTTTCCCCCTCAATACTTCAAAAAAAAAAATTTAAAAGTTTAAATAACAGCATCGATGCTTTTTTTTTTTTATTATAATCATTAATTTTAAAATTTAGGGTTTTTTTTTTTTATAATAGTATAATAAGACTGATCAAATTATAGAATTAATCTGATTTATCGCATCATATAATTTTTTGGGGGCTCCCCCTGTTTTTGTTATTTATTTTTAAAACGGAACGGATCCTCCCTTCCAAAAAATCCTTATATTTAGAAGGGTTTTTTGTAGAAATTATTTACCTGGTTTTTTTTAATTTTCTTAAAATTACCCAATATTAACAATAGGTATCAGGTGCGCACACCTGCACTTTTTTTACCGCGCAAAAAGCGACCTAATTTACCTAAGACCCTTCTAAAAGGGTTACCAAATCGTAAAATTGCATCATCGACACGCGCACAACCTGTGAGTAAGGAAAAAAAGAAAGGAATAACCAAATAAATGGCAAATTACCAATTTTTGAGGATTTTTTCGCCCGTACCGCTTATCTTCCGGTTTGTTTGGGAGTGGCCGTTTCCCTGTTTATACTTATTGATGGGGTTTATTTTTTTTATAGTGGGTTTTTTTTTAAATTTTTGGGAAAAAGGAAAAAGGTGAAGTGGGTAAAACAACAAAACTCTTCTTGAAATTTTTTTTTTTGAGTGTTTGGTTTTTTAAAAATTTGGAGGGGGGAATTTTTCTACTCAATTAGCCCCAACCCCCCTTCTTTTATCCCTTTTTTTTTTTTGTATTGTTCTCAAACCTTCCATGTGTTTTTTTTTTCAATTTTTTTTAACACCCACCCGAGAGAGCCCCCGAAAACTTTTTTGGGCCGAAAAAAGGGGAGGGAAAAGCTGCGCTTCCTCAGCCGAGATCGATATGCACAAAAATCTCGTCTCAGATAAGGCCAGAAATGCCCAGCATATTGCCTTGACTCGCTCTACGAATATCGATGTGGTAGCAGAAATTCGAGCACGAAAACTGCTGCCCTCGCTCTGAGAAGGCGTAGTGCACGAATTCGAGCTTATTGAACGTGTACGGGACGCCGCAGCTTACGCCAATACCAGGGAAAATTTTGAAGAACGACGACGGCAGCAGGCTCCCTAAATACTGCCAGCCATGCAGCTCGCAGGACTATAGAGGAAAATCGTGAGCCCGAACGCGAACGGGACGCTGCAGCGCGGGCACGAACTCGAGCTATCTCCCGAAAACCGTCGACGAGGAGCAGTTGCGAAACACTGCCGATCATGCTACCTGGAGACTAGCAGAGGAAAACCGAGGACCCGAGCGTACACGGGATGCTGCAGAGCGCGTGCGCGGACCCGAGCGAACTCCGAGGAACGGCAACGGGAGCAGTTGCAAAACACTGCCGATCATGCTACCTGGAGACTAGCAGAGGAAAACCGAGGACCCGAGCGTACACGGGATGCTGCAGCGCGTGCGCGGATCCGAGCGAACTCCCGAGGAACGGCAACAGGAGCAGTTGCAAAACACTGCCGATCATGCTACCTGGAGACTAGCAGAGGAAAACCGAGGACCCGAGCGTACACGGGATGCTGCAGCGCGTGCGCGGACCCGGAGCGAACTCCGAGGAACGGCAACGGGAGCAGTTGCGAGACACTACCGATCGTGCTACCTGGAGACTAGCAGAGGAAAAACCGAGGACCCGAGCGTAGACGGGATGCTGCAGCGCGTGCGCGGACCCGGAGCGAACTCCGAGGAACGGCAACGGGAGCAGTTGCGGGACACTACCAATCGTGCTACCTGGAGACGAGCAGAGGAAAACCGAGGACCCGAGCGTACATGGGATGCTGCAGCGCGTGCGGACCCGAGCGAACTCCGAGGAACGGCGACGAGAGCAGTTGCAAAACACTGCCGATCATGCTACCTGGAGACTAGCAGAGGAAAACCGAGGACCCGAGCGTAGACGGGATGCTGCAGCGCGCGCGGACCCGAGCGAACTCCGAGGAACGGCGACGAGAGCAGTTGCGAAACACTGCCGATCATGCTACCTGGAGAGCGGCAGAGGTTAACCCGAGCACCCGAGCGTACACGGGATGCTGCAGCACATGCAAGGACACGGGCGAACTCCGAGGAACGACGACGGGAGCAGTTGCGAAATACTGCCGATCATGCTACCTGGAGAGCGGCAGAGGTTAACCGAGCACCCGAGCGTACACTGGATGCTGCAGCACACGCAAGGATGCGGGCAATTTCTGAGGAACGACAAAGAGAGCAGTCACAAAACACTGCAAGCCGCGCTGTCTGGAGAGCGAATGATGCAAATCGAGGACCGGAGCGAGAGCGGGACGCGGAAGCTCACAGGATTGCCAGGAACGACCCCATTTCTCGGGAACATCAGATACACAACAGGACATTGCAACAACGGGAAACACGTCTACAGAGGAGGCTTCGGGAGCAACGGATTCGGGAAATGGCTGAGGAACGACTCTTGACGTATAGGACCAGTTCGGAGAATCGACAGGCCACATCCAACAAACCTAGATCACTTCCAAGACAAAGAAGATCAACGAACAACAACCCAAGAGCCAGCTCACAAAGGAGCAGTATCTACAAAACATCAAATACGACCACTGAATGCGGCAGGTGGGTTTTTTTTTGTTTTTTTTTTTTTTTGTTTAGTTAGTTGTTGTTTTGTTTCTCTCTTTTTAATGCCGCACACACATGTGTGTGACTTTGACTGCAGCTCCAGTTTAATCACACTTTTAACTCCGTTTCACATAATACTAATTTCATAATTTGCACCAGCAACCACCAACCACCAAGCAGCAAACGCACCACCGCCGCACCACCACAACGGCTGCTGCATTTTTCACTTTTACAGAGCGCGGCTGAAGTGATTAAAGTAAATCTCGCCCGTTCGTTTTGCATAAGTGGTGCTCGTTTTCGTGGAGTTCCCCTCCACTGGGAAATACTATATGCCCCGGGAAGTGTTTCCGAGAATCCCGTGGATTCCGCGGAGTCCCGCAGATTGGCACCCATCTAAAAGCAAAAACAAAAATGTGAAGACGGCGGTCCTAGGCGTTGACATGGCTGGTAGGCAATCCGCGGCTAGCGGATCATAATTGCAGCTAGATGGGCAGGTAGGCCAACTTAACCGGGGGCGGAGAAGCTGGCGGAGATCGGGATGGAAGTGGAGATGGGAATGGGGATGGGGATGAGGCTCCTCTGCGAAAAGCAACAGCCATCGTGTTTAACAGCGACGACGCCGTGATCATGATCATGATCAAGTTGTTGCTGTTGATGTGGTGCTAACTTCTTGGCGGGTCCAATAACTTCTTCAATAACCAAGTGTGGGTTGAATAAAAGTTTGCAACTTGAAATCAGGAAGCAAGTATGTATTATATAGTAGTATACAAAATTCTAGAATAATTAGAAAAGAATATAAAATATAAGGCAATAAAGAACTAATTAAACTGCTACTAAAAATCAGAAGCAAATATGTCATCTCGAATAATTCAAGTTTTAAAATTTAAATTGATACAAAATTCAACAAAATTCTCAATACCCAAACACAGAGCATTTCCCAATTCGCATAGGCATTAATTTTAATCACCACAACTTCTTATAGCAATAGCGATTCCCCTTGGTGTATATAGTTGCTTGTCTTGCGGTTGGCAGTTGTGCATCTTTGTAACTTGTATCTTGTATCTTGTCGGCGAATGAAATAGCACGTACCATATAATCAGGCAGGCAACCCAAAAACAGTGGAAATGAGACAGACAACAAATAAGAAACGGCAACCGCCACAAATCAACGACTTTGTCGAGGGGCTAAGAATGAAAGTTAGCCTCTGTACTCGAGCACAATACGAAATGTATCCCCGAAAAAAGACGAACAGGTCTTTTGTCAACGGGGGAAATGTATATATACCTACATACCATATATATCTATATCTACTGCCGAACTCATCATTTCCCAGTGAGCGAGGGCCCCAGTTTTGACCCAACAATTATCATAATTATCAATGCACTTTTCACACTTTTCACACTTTTCACACTTTCCATGCTCTCTCGCCGCCGTTTTGTGGCATTTGTCACAGAAATTATGCATAAATTTCCGCGGTTGCTCGCTTTCGAATTGGAATCGCTTAGTCTTGGTCTCGCGGTCTTGGTCTTGTCTTGTTTTTTGTCGGCGGCCCCCATTTTCAACACTCCCAACCAATTTCGATTCTTTGGCCCATTGTCAACCCTTCACCTTACGCCGAATGGAATGAAATGGAGTCAGTTGGTTGGCTGGCTGGTAGGCCCCTCATAAATTTTCGGTGGCCCCACAACAGCTGAACAGCTGAACAAAGATAAATCGATGATGACGGCGTCAACAAACAGATATTGTGCGACATTTATAAACAAATTTGTTTAGTTTCGCTTCTTCGACGCCTTTGTGCGATCGTAATTGTGTGGCTGGAAAGTGAAACCATCGTTAATAAATAAATAAGCCCCGGCGTTCCAATAACTCAGCACAATGGCTTTTTTGAACTGGAAAACCTGTAACTTTCGAACGCATTTCGATGTCACATATAAGGCGATTAGCCCAAGATCACACTGGGGAACAGTTATCGGAAATTATACAATTTATATAACACTTGTTGGCCGACAGATTGACGGACGGTTAAGCGGATCGAAAATCAAATTAACCTGACAGATCTGAATAATAATCGATACAAGCCCTGAGTTTATTGCATTTGGGAAAAACAAACTATCATTAGTGGGGGAAAAACTGGATGCTTTCCACAGAAGCCGCCTAAAGGAAAAGTAAAAGTTTCAGTTTTATTTCAACAATCATTTGGAGGTGGTGAAAAGTATGCTGATTATCAAATATTCTTGACCAGCTCGTGATTTTGTGGGACAAACTGAACTGAACTGACACCTGACCCAGCTTTTTAAAAGTATTCATCAGTGTCTGTCTGTCTGTCATGATTCCATATTTATCCTGAATCTTCCTCCATCGTGAAATCGCATTGTATAAGCAGACAGGGTATATTAAAACTTAAGAGATTAAAGGGGTTATATATCGTGGATGGCGTCGCGTAATCATGACAGGCAATTCGTGCCTGGGAATAATCCAGCTTTGTGTTCGTGCGCCGGAATCCGATGACCTTTTCCGATCCTCGCCAGTGTGGACCGGACTGGAGTGGACGCGAGTCGAGTGCCAGGTAGTCGAGGAGCTTGACCAGGCAACCTGTCACATCTCAATTGGCGCTTGACCAAAAGCAGAGGCTCTTGACACCGGACTGCGCAACAAGTGGCTCCTCGTGAGTGTTGATGTTGTGCATTTTACTCATGTTGCTGGCCTACACTCGCAAAAATAAATATAAGGTTCCAAAGAATACCAAATTAGTACCTTTAATTGCATGACACGTTTTAGGTTTTTATAAAGTAAAGGTAATTTAATAAGTCTTTAGTAAAATGGTTGCTGTTTTTTATACAACCTAAGGTTATATAAATATAAATTTACCTATTGTTAGAAATTTTAACGAAATGACTATCATTAAAGTAGAACCTATAAATAATATATATTTTAAAGAGTGTGATAATATCTAGAAAATATAAGGATCAGACGTGGTATCTGTCTTTTATTTAATGAATCATTTTCGACTTAACTGCTCTTTTTACTAGTGGCAATCGCCCCTGTCCAGATGTTGCCGTTGCCAATAGAGAGTGGCTGATATTGCAGATGTTGCTGGTGTTGCCGATGTTGCCGTTGTGCTGTTGTGGCCATGTTATCGCTGTTGGTGCCACTGATTGGCGCCGTTGTTGCCACGCCTCCGGCCATTCATTGCTGCATTGCTGAGGCAATTTCTCGCCTCGGCTTACATAAACAGAGATATAAACATGGATTATCATTTTTCGGGAACTGCCGAATATTTGCCACGGAATTGGCAACACTTTATGGCACTTTAATGACCACAAAACGAAATGGCAAAATATTCGGCCCGTCATTTAGTTGTTGTGACAAACGAAACGAAACGAAACGAAACAAAACAGCTGGCAGAAGTTACACCATATTCGTCGAATCGTGCATAAATAATGATAGATCTGCATAAAGACACCGATATTGATTGATTGTAGCGTCGACTTCCGGGGGTCACAACCTGACCAGATTTCCGGCTCCTGCTGTTGATGTTTATGCTGCTGGTTGCCAGTTGCCAGTTGCTAGTTGCTGGTGCCTAAAGTTGCCAGTTGCTTATGTTGCTAGTTGCTAGTTGCTAGTAGTTGTTGTTGGCCATGGCCAAATGCGAATCACGATCGCAGCTTGTTTTGCCATCACTTCACTCTCGTTTTGGCTTTTACTTTTCGGTGGCCCCAAAGACTCGCACATGACTTCACTTTTACCGCAGTTAAGGTTCGTCATGGGTCGCCGATACTCCCCACAGCCTCTCCTTTTGCTTCGACCTTAATAAAATCCACTAGACTGCGCCTCACACGCATTGTTTTCGTCAAAATGTGGCTGGAGTTACTAGAATTGCGTGGAGGAAACTGTTACCGAACAAAAACATTATATTGTGCATACATTTCAGGCAAATATATTTCATTAGAGTTACTAGAATTGCAAGAAGGAAAGTCTTACCGAACAAACATAATAAATTGACCATAAATTTCAGGCAAATATATTTTATTGAAAATATGATGGAAAGCTAAGAAACAAATTCTATTGTCTTTGTGTAAAGCTTGCAGTATTTTAAGTTTATTGAACTATATTTTTATTTTTTCCTGTTTTCTTTTAGGTATATTATAAAATGGTTATTCAATCTAGGAAGCAAAAGATATTAAAAATTAACAGCACAACAGCATAATATTTTTTATTTAAATTGAAATCGGTGAACAGCATCTTCACAATCGTCGTTAAAAAAGCCGGCACAAAAGCCAAGCGTTTTAATGACATAATTAGGCGTTGTTTTTTTGGAAAGGTGTTGCTCTAAAGAAAATCCCCTAAAAATTCAGAGTGTTCGGGGGGAACTTGGAGTGCCACCCAGACAGTCAGAGAGTCAGACAGACAGACAAGTAGCGGCGGGTCACCGCCCAGGCTGATTGATTTGACCCCGCTAAAGGGGCAGACTTTCACTGGCGTGATCCCGCGGTTAGCTTCGGCTCAATACTGCACACGTTTGTATGTACATATTCATGATAATACCCCCGTTCGGAATTCGGAATTTGGAATTTGGAATTACCGAAATGCATTCCGTGCTGCACAGAGATGTCTGGGATTATTGCAGATGTGCGATTATGTGAGATGATGTCATCGCTGGGAGCCCTGGGCCATGGGATCGTGGAGCATTGGGAGCAGCGCACATCTGCCGGCAACTTTGGCCAAATCAATTTGCTGTAATTATGTAACTGTAACTGGCAGCCCCAAACGCCAACAGCCAAAAGCCGGCCGCTCGCTGCTGCTCCATCCGATCATCAATCAGTCGAGGGCCGTCATTAGCTCACATTTCATCGGTTAACTGCGATGCGATGCGATGCGGTCAGCCAGCCAGATGGGATCAGTTTTCATCTCTTATCGGAGTCGGAATGGCTTCCCAACGTAGTTCTCCTTTTTTCACACTTGTCTTTTTTGGGCAGTAATAAAAATAAGGAATTTTTGTAAAAATAATTATTTATTCCTGCAGTTATTCAATTAACTTGGTCAAAATGGGACTTGCTACCTCACTTTTTAGACAAATAAAAAAAAAATTAATTTTGGTTTGTTTGAAAATTTTGAAAAAAATAAAAATTTTCTAGATTTGAATGCCCGTCGATTAGGAATCTGATTACGAGTTTATTGAGGTATGGCATTTCATATTCTGCCAAGTATTTCCTTAGTTCTTAATATTGCTTTTTTGGGCGGAAAGTGATGATCAGCCATTTTTACATTTTTGGTAACAATTTTTTTTTTAAATTTTGAAAAATAAAAATTATCTAGGTTTCAATGCCAAACGATTAAGGATCTAATTACTAGTTTATCGAGGTATGCCATTCCATATTCTGCCCAATATTTTCGTAGTTATGGCTGAAATACCGATGTTTTTGGGTTGGAAAATCAGAGAATTTTGTATTCTCCTGCGGATTCAGTGGAATCACTTTGATTCAGTGCGATTATCTCCGCCTTCCTGTCCACGGACAATGACAAAGAGACACCTGCCGAGCTGGTTGCCAACGGAGTCCGCTCCGCGATGGCCAGTGCGTTCAACTGGCTTGCTTCCCCGTGGAAGCCGGGCCACTCGTTGGCCAGGTTTATTGTCGATCCATTAGCGCGGCCTGCGCGCCTGGCCATTTGACTTCATTTGATTTCGAGAGCAGATGCCAGATGCCAATTGGCGATAGCCGTTCATTTGGCACTCCGGTCTCACCTCTTCCCCGCCTCGGGATCCTCGCCAGAGTTCAATGCCAGCCATCGACAATGGAGGAGTCGTCTGGGAAAATTGATCTGCGGCTTTCTTGGTGGCCCCCATTTCTCGTGGCACCTTGCGGAATTCTTTGTTGCACATTGTGCAAAATTCGAGGTTGAGCCACTACGATTTTCCGCCTTTCCCAGTGATGAGTTTGCACAAAATCGGATTATTTGGGCCAAGTCCATTGCTTTTCATCATTATTTTAGACATAATTTTCCATCAAGAATCCAGTAAACGTTTATTTTCAAAATATGCAATTGTAGGTACATCAAAAATACATTCATATTCTATTTTCTAGTTCTTTGTAGCCTTAACTATATACTTTAAAATTCGTTTAGTGTGTATAGATTCTGCCACTAACTGGCATTTTCAGAGCATTAAAACTAGGCTTTTAAATACAAAAAAATATATCAAAAACCCGAAACTTTATAAATTGATTTAATTTTTGAGCCCAGGACGGATTTTTTAGGGGAAAAACTAAGATTATATGGGATTTTAAATGGTGTTCAGTAGTTTTTACATCAGAAACAGGGTTGAAATGCTATTTTGGGTCTTATGAGAGAAGTATTACCACTATTTTTTAAAATAGAGATGCGTGCACATGTTTTATTCTCGTAAACAGTAAATTTAAAACATTTTCTCAAATATTTTAAACATATATAGAATGCTTGAAGAGCAACAACATCTATAAGCAGTAAAAGACATCGAAATTGTAGGGCCAATCGTGGAGATTGGTTATGCTCTCTCCCAGTTTTCAATGGCATCGCTCAAAGAGCCACAATCGACCGAAAAATAACAAATTAATTTCACTTTCTTTGTAAGCTGGCGTCTTTTGTTGCTGTTGCTGTTTCTGTTGCATGTTGCTCTTGCCCCGGTGTCTTTGTGGCCATTGTTGCTGCATCAGCGACAAGCTCGACTTCAGGTTTATTGACTGCGTCGTCGACTGTGCAATTAACTCTTTTTTTTTTTTTCTACCTGCCCGCTCTTGTTTGCGCCTGAATGGGCAGTGGGAGGCAGGCGGGTCGGATGGAGTATAAACGCCAACTCCATGGCGGCCATGGCCCAATGCACCGCAGGGAACTGCCACGCCCACCATCCATCCGGCCTTGCTGACACTGACAGCAACAGCGACACCGACACCGACACCGAGTCGCGATCTCCCTGGCATCTCGTGGCACTTGTGGCACACATATTTTCACCCGGCAATTAGGGAGTGCCCGCAACTGCACTCTCCAAACAAAATTCATAATTTTTGGTTTACATTTTCGTTCCCTGTGTGCTTCAAATGGCTTAAATAGGTGCCTACAGTGCGTTTCAGAGCTTAAAGTAGTTACATCGATGAATATCGGTTATAGTTCATGGAATGGAACTCGGAGATGTTGCTTCTATTCTAAAATACCTTAAGGTTTATGCGCGCCCTTTCTGATTTTCTAATTAAAAATTACTAAGTGTATAAAAAAGCAGACTTAATTCGAATAAAACACAAGCGAATTAAACGTAGAATTGGCCTAATAAAATGATATCTGTCACGATACTACAAATCGAGTATAAAGATCTTGATAAATATACGAAAATATCTTAAGGTTTAAAGTATACATAATGTCGTATTTGCGCCTTTTTATATCACAATATTTAAAAAATCCAGTTAATACGTTTGATTACTTATCGTGTATAATTATAAAAAATAAGTAGATGGAAGTCTGACAGTTTTTTTTATTTCTCAATTCCTCGTAAAAAGTCAGGCTTGTATTATCTATTCCAGTCATTAACTCAGTTAATAGTTTCTAAAGGAATATTCTATATTCCATCAAAATTAAATGGAACTCGATGTACAAAAATACATGTTTTTTTTTAAATATTCGTAAGCCTCTTAGTTGTGAATTTAGCTGCCCTAATCAGGTACGATAGGCTGTCCTAGGCTTTTGAAACGCACTGTACAAATATGTGTTCACGATTTATTTTGTTTTTTCCTACGGGCCGGCCGAATCGATCACACGTAAATACTGTGGCAATTTAAGTAAAGTTTTTGGTGTTACGTGTCTAGTTTTTTGGCCGATGTCTTAGTGTAAGTATGTGCATGTGTAGGGATATCCATCAGCCTCCTGTCGTGCTCCTTGGCTTCTAATCGCCATTATCACAGTTGAAGTCTTCGGGCAGACTCTTCCCCTTGGCCAGGCAAACCGAGGGAACATCCGCCAGTAGCAGTCGACGGAAATTCTCCGGGCCTAGAAACTCACTTGCAGCGCTTACTCTTTGCGTCTCCACCAACTTGGCCACCTCACACTCCATCAGGGCGCGCATCTGGCCAATGTATTGACCGACATTCTCGGAACAGCTGAGGCGGATCCATGAGTCCAGGCAGAGCAGCACCGCCGAGCCATTTGACTCCAATCGGAATTGCTTTCCGGCTGCGAGAGCCACCATTAATCCGCTAACCAAAGTGGTGTGCTCCAGCGAGGATCTTAGCTCGGCGTTGCGGGTCTTTTCAACAAACAAAATCCACTCGCTGGCCAGGTTCTTTTGCGTCTTTTTTCTCAGCAGACAAGAGCTGCGCGACACTTGGACGGCGTCGTCTCCTTCGCAGATTAACTGGTGCTTGTTTGCCCGATCCATGTAGGCCAGCTTCGGATAGAGTCCGGCCGTCAAGGCCAGGCGGATCATGTTGGTGTCCTTGTCGAAGGAGGAGGCCAAGCGCACGCTGCTCTGGTTAAAGCGGAAGAGACGGTGCACTGTGTCGCGCAGAGTGTGCACCGCCGACACAAACAGCTCCATCGAGTTGCGGCACACAAAGTTACGCTCGCAAAACTCATAGACACGGTAGCGTTTTAGCTTAACATACTCCTCGTAGAGCTGCAAGGCTGCCATTGAGTCGCTCATCGTGTCCCCGGTAAACTGGCGTCTGGCATTCTGCTGGTCCCACTTCTTCTCGCGCTCCATGGTCAAGATGAAGGGATCCCTTACCGAGTGAAAAGCCGCAATAATTGACATGCTGCCCAGGCAGCGAAAATATATCGAGTACACCAGACACTTGCCCAGCTGAACGCCCAGCGGCAGCTCGGCAATGATGCGTCCCAGCGGCGTAATGTGTTCTTCAAAGTCGTGAAGCACGCCAAGGAGCCGCAGCTTCGAGCAGGCCTGAGCCACCGCCTCCGGTTGTGGAGGATCCAGTGCCCTGGCCAGAAACGAGGCAATGAGATAGTCCGGTGCTGCCACTTTCGTCAGCAGGCATATCTCGTCGAGGGTACGCCTCTTTATCTCTGGAATCGTGTACAGATTCATCTTGGCCAGGCGATCGCTGTCGTAGAGTCGATAGCAGATGCCATGGCGCAGCCGTCCAGCTCTGCCCGCCCGCTGCTGGGCATCCGCCTGCGAGATCCATGTGGTGGTCAATTGCGAGGCATCCGAGTCCTGGTCATAGGTCTTCATCTTGCAGCGACCCGTATCGATGACGTACAGCAGATCCGGAATGGTGATCGAAGTCTGGCCAATGTTTGTGCTCAGGATGATCTTTAAACGTACATTACGATACACCTGTAGGGCCTTTTGCTGCTCGCTGCTATCCACCTGGCTGTGCAGCATCATGATCTTGATCTGGTCCAGCGGCAGACTCGTTTTCAGGCGATCCATTAGCGTGGTCATCTCGTTGTAACCGGGCAGATATACAATCACCGCTCCATGGTCGCCGTTAAGCAACAATAGTTCCAACAGGGAAACGATCAAATCGTTGTCGATTTCGGGATCGATGATGGTGCGACCGCCGTGATACGCGGCCAACAGTTCACCGGGCTGTACTTCATCATTCGTTTCGCCCATATACTGCTCCATTCTCGGTGTCATGTAACCAGTCTCACTGAGAATGTGCTCCAGTTGAAAGGTCTTAACGTCGAAGGTGCGTCCCTCCACGTCCATCACGGTGGCCTTGCCAAAGTATTCGGACAGGGCTTCCAAGTTCATGGTGGCCGACATGAGCACGAGACGGAGATGGGGATTTTTTTGCAGCGCCATCTTGGTGGCGAGCAGAAGGAAATCTGTGTCCAAGTCGCGCTCATGCACTTCGTCGATGATAAAGTGTGTGGTACTCTTGAAGAAGGCTTCGCCATCCATGGTCAAAGCACGCAAAAGGCAACCACTTGTGGTCAGCACGAGAACCGTGTGACTGCTGCACTTGCCTAAAAGGAGAAAAAGTGTGTTTATCAGTTAAATCTGATAAACTTCCTGGTCAAATACTACTCACTGTTCATGCGTATCTGATAGCCCACTGTGCTTCCTAGCGCCTCGCCGCGTTCCTCCGAAATGCGCTCAGAAACACTCATCGCTGCTATGCGTCGTGGTTGGCTTACGATGACCCTGACTGGAGTGCGATGCTCGGTGGCCCATTCGAGGATGTATTGCGGCAACTGGGTGGACTTGCCGGAACCAGTGGCTCCTTTGATAATCAAGACCTATTGGCGGGAAAACTTAGTATCAGTGTGAACTATTTATACAGGTTTTAAGTACAGAAATGTTAACTCATTAAACATCTTTCTAAGATGGAAGATTATTATTAATCACCTGTTCACGTAGCAGTGTACTGAGGATCTTGTCGCGGTGTTTGTAGATGGGCAGGCTCTGCCGCTCCTGCCGTATGCTGTTGCTCCGTGCCCCGGGCGGGATGAGCTTGTGCCCGACCAGTCCGAAGTTGTTGGGTCGTCTATCGAGCATTTCCTGCTGGTTTCCACGCCAGTTATCCGGTTTGCCGGCACTCAGGCGGCGTTTTACCGCTCCGTTCATGCTGATGAGCAACTTCAAGAGCTCCGGACTCTTATACAGTGTGGCCTGGATACACTTCGCGTCCGGGAGGTCTTTTAGCGGCAAGCGCTTTATAGTGAGGACGCGATTGTCTGCGAAGCCATCGCTTACGGTCTTTAGTCCGGCCGTATGGGCCACCCGATGCACGAAGCAGCGTTGCGCCTTGTTCAGTCCAGGAAACTTCCTCTCCAGGTCGCTGCTCTGCCGAAAGTCAGCAACCAACTTTCGCAGACTAATCATCTCCTCAATGTACAGAGGTTCTCCCTCGCCGGCCTTTGCGGCTTTTCCTGACTTAGCCTTCGGCCTGGTGGCCTTCTTTGCAACTCCTTGCCCGTTGGTCAGGAGAACTGGCACATGTCCTTGCGACGGGGCTTCCTTCTTCTTCCCACGGCGCCGAGCGCCTTTTGCCACCTCTGTCTTGTTTTCTGCCATTCGCTCCTTTGGAAGTCTAGCCTTCTTTCGGCTCTGGGTTCTACCTGATAAAAAAAGACTTAAAGACTTTAAGACTCGGAAAATGATATTGTTGACAGTTAAGTTCCCGACAGCCGGGAAAATCTTGCCTGCTGATTATCGAAAGTTTCACAAAGTTCCAATATGACCGTTTAGCTCTACTAGAAAGTATTGGAAAAAATGACATTCACATTTGGTAGCTGGATCGACTTAGTGGATATCCGAACCCGGCCCGCAACATTTGTTTACGAAATTCAAATTACAGCCCTGCACAATTTGTTGACGTTAAATTTAAGGATCATATTTCTGGGCGTTGATCTCAACGATTATAAAAACTAGCAAGGAAGACTTTGCTAAAAATATGAATCGCTGTAACGATATTGAAAATATGCATAAGCTAAAAAAAACATGCAATTTGCTGATTGAAAATCAGCTAAAAGTGGTGGTGATCGAGGATGAGAAGACGCTCGATCTGGGGAAGAATAAGGAACGCTACGCTCCGGGAATGGCCAGCTTTAAAGAGATGTATAATCAATTGGCCAAGATTCCATTAGATTCTACTCCTTCTCGAGCAGAGGCCCTTCTTGCGGTCCTTCACGTGGCCAGCGAGCATAAGATGCGTCTCATTCCGCAGAAAGACATGGATGATTTCAAAATTCGCAAGGTGACGGACTTTAATGAAAAATAATCTAAATTATCTTACTTCTGTAATTATTGCAATTAAATAAAGTTAGTTTTGTAAAAAAAAGTGATTTAATTACTTGTTATTTACAGGTAACGAACTATTCCAATTTAAGATTAACCATGCAAAGATTTTATGATAAAATTAGATAATGCTATTGAAACATTATGTGCGATCTCGCTTACTTTTGCAAGGAAATAAAAAAATATAGGATTTTTTAGCGAAGGAACTAAGTTTCCCACCTTAAAACAAAGCAATTAATTTACTTAACAAACTAGTGTTTATTTCGCCTTGGTGGGTTTCGCGGGGCCAGGTTTCTGTGGCTCCTCCTCGCTGTCGTCCTCGTCCTCGTCCTCTTCGGAATCGAGTTCAGAATCATCTTCCTCCTCCGAATCGAAGTCCGAGTCCTCTTCCTCATCATCCTCCGCGGCGAGATTCAGCTGCTTGATCTTGTCTAACAGCTCGTCACGCGTGTGCGCCACGCGCTTAGCCTTCTCCTGGGCCTCCAGCTCCTGTTCGTCTAGGGGCTGTGCATCCTGCGGCTGCTTCTTGCCCCTCTTCATGTAGCGCAGAAAGGCGCGTCTCTTGCGCTCCGAAAATGACTTGACCAGTCGGTCCATCTCCGCCTGCAGCTGCTGTTCCTCGCGCGGCGTTGGCTGGGGCTCCTCGATGGCCACCTCGTTGGCGCTCTTCAGACACTTGGCGCAGGCGTGCGCCTTGACGGCGCAATCCCGACAGATGACATGGTAGGCCTTCTTTACTGCCCGCTCCTTGCAGTGGGCACAGATCTTGGCCTGGGTGAGCGGCTTGTACTTCTTGTACTTGATCTTCCACTCGATCTGCTCCTTGCAGCGCTGGCAAACGGTGGAAACGTGCATCGCATTAAGGCGTATCTGCTGGGGCGTTTTGTCGTGCAGATCGTTCTTGAAAACATGCCGATTTTTGTGCTTCTGCGCACGTGTTCGACTAACATTGCCTCGCTGACTGCTCATCTTTGGTTTTTTCGACTTGGCTTTGCTGCCGATATAAGGTTTATTGTATTAACTTTGTACCCGTCGCTTATTTCAACAAACGTACCTGCATTTACTAATTTTATCCAACCAGAAAAATTATTGATATCTTTATGCGTGCAAAATAAATAAGCGGACGAGTGTTACCGTGCTACGTTAGTTCGAGAAAGCTGTAAGCACTCGAGCAGGTTGCTGGATTTTTAGCGGGCTATAACTGGTCATACTTCTGGCAGCGGCAAACTTGATTTTGTTGTGAAATAAGTTAAGTTTTATTGTTGCATCTGGAAAAAGTGTGAGATGGCGTCTCAAGGTGCGGGGTTGGTCGAAAAGTTAAATTTTTTATCGAAAACAATCAAAAACACTGGTGTTTGTTTCTGCAAGTTTACAATTTTACTCACATAGTGTTGCCAGACTTTTGGTAAAGTAAAGCCACTTCTTAAAACACAATGGCAGTCAAACTGTTAAGTCGGGCCTCAAACCACAGTGCTACCCGTTACCTGTTGAAACCTGAATGCTATAAAACGTTTCAAAAGGTTATTGAATTTGAATTTTGGTTGTGTGTAAAGAGAAACAAACAAACTATTTATAAACAATATACATATAAATTAAATATTATTTAAATTTTATTTACAGAGCCCGCTAAACGTTGCTGCCCCATGCGGCCATGCGCGACCTTAAGCAGCGCCTCTTTGATCTGCTGCGCTCCGGCGGCAACAATAACAACAACAACAACAGCGGCAGCAGCAACAACAATAGCAGCAACAGCAACACAAACAACAGCAGCAATTCGAATTACAATAAGGGAAACAACCTGTCGCACGGCCAGCAATCCCATGTGCCGCCCCCCAGAAGCCCAAGAAACTGCACGAATACACGGCTGCCGATTGCAATGCGGCCTTCCTGCGGAAGTACCACGATCTCAGCATCAGCAGGGATCGCGAGTTGGACAGGGAAATGGGCAGGGATAGAGAGAGGGACAGGGAAAGGGAGAGGGCGGGCCCGGGAGCTGCAGCCCAGTCGCCGAATGTGATCTACTTCAACGAGAACCTTTCGATGGCCAGCAAGTATAATGTGCGCCCCTTCCCGCTCACCCGCTATCCATCGTGTCCGCTGAGCAGCTTCGGGATGTCGCAGGGAACTGGTCGCCAGGAGGGGAGTGCCGGCAGCAGTTTGGGCGAGGAGGAGGACACCGAAAGCGAACCCTATCACTTTTGCTCCGACGAAGACGGCAGCAGTCACACGCAAACCCTTAAAATGCACCACAGGCATCACAGTCATGGCCTCGAAATGGACGCGTCGGTGAACGAGGACGCCGACCTGGAGGACGATCAGGCCGAGTCGCAGCTGGACTCGTTCTGCACCCTGTGCACGTCCACCTTCAGCTACAACAAGTGCTGCCGCTTCTGCGAGAACTCGCTGTGCGGCTCCAAGTGCAACTCGGAGCGGGGATCGCACGCCAGCCGGATGAGCCGCATCAGTCAGTCGGTCATCAGCAGGAGCATGGCCAGTGGTGGTTATCCAGCCGATCCGGACTTCGATCCGCACCAGAGCCGGGTGCAGCAGCACCACAGATTCGGCGGCAGCATGCGAATGCTGGCCAACCATCAGCCAGCGGCCATCAGGTGAGTGCCCCCAAAGAACATTGCAAATTAAATGCTACTTGCGTAGATATTTAGATAAAGCAAGGACGAATGCCTATTTACTTGTACATAAATTGGAAAATTCAACAAATTCAGTTTCTAATGGTTTTATGTCATGAAAATCAATAAGACAATTAACAATTTTTGTTAACTGTTTTACCATACCAAATTCGAGTTTCTCTAGTCTTAATTTCTGGGTTACGCATTACGAAACTCATAATGGCCAAATCGCGGTGTCAATTATCAATTATATTTATGGCAATTGGCGACGCTTAATCTTCAGGTTCTTCGATGTAATTACATAATCAAGCGATATTTACGATCGATTGCAATTCGATGCACTTTGCGGGAGCGCAGAGTTCAGATTTCGAACTTGGGTCGCCGGGCGGTAAAGTAAACACGTCGTAAAGCCATGTTGCCTCATTAGTGGCGTCGCTAATGAAGTGTTTTCGTATTTATATTAAATCGCACTGGTTAATTAGCCGTAAGTCTTTGATTGATTGCATTTAAATGGGCTTCTCTCTCTCTTGCGGGATGAAGAGACAGAGCCAAAGATCCACAGAGCTATGGAGCTATAGAGCTATGGAGCCAGATCAACGAACGACTCAAGCCAAGCCAAACAATTATGCACAAAACCTTAAACTGGCCATAAACAACCGTTAGCGATGAGGTTTCCGCGCATGACGCGCCGCCAGCTTGACCATAAAAAAGCATAAATTCTATTGAATAAAATTATACCCACCACAGCAACAGAAACACCAGCAGCAAATGAAGAAAAATTCCAGCATGCTGAAACTAAAACAAAAAAAAAACAAGCGAGCGAGAAAAAGTCTAGCAATGTGCAAAAAGCGCATCGAAAATCAACTAAACTCAAGCGCAGCACTGGAATAAACTGATGTTTACATCAAAAGCAGGTGTACAATTCAGAAATGAATTACAAGATGCAAATACTCTAGAAGTTGTTTCAGGGAATGATATATCTTTTTGTGATTAGTTAATTTTAATCACCATTGCAACACAGAGGTATTAACAATCTTTAAATGAACTGAATTATTAACACAATATTGTACCTATTTTATGTTTTATGAACGTATCTAAAATATATTCTAAAATTCTTTTTGGCCTGAATCAGAAGAGCTTTCCTCAGTGGCCTTGATATTTCGAGAAATATTAATGGTACCCCATGAGAGAGTATGGATGAACACATAAACATCGGCGGCTACAAGAAGAAGGCTTGGCCGAGAGCTTTCTCGCTCGGCACTTCTTTGGGGTCCGCTGCGTTTGGCTTTTTACATTTCTTCGGCGACCGCTGGCCAAGTTGGTCCAAATCTCCGTCGCATTGCCTCTTTCGCGGTCTCTTTCACCGGCACATTGTTCGTCTCTTTCGCCGACTGCAACGCCATCTCTTTCGCCGATCGCCGCGTTGAGGCCTGCGACTCAAACAAGCCGCGACCATTGTTCGCTTAGCACGTGCCGCGCTCCACGCTCCACGAAAAAACCACTGACTTTTTCCACCGTTTACCGCTAGCAAAACAAAAGACTTAGACAACGAACTCAGACTTGAGTCAAAAAGATGCAGTTGCGACTCTAAAAGTATTTTTTTTTTTTGACAGTTAGTGCATGTAGGGTAAACTGAACATGGAAATATATCTTCCGAAAAACATGTGATTTTCCCTGTGAGTGAACGTGTCTTAGTGCAAGCAATCAATCCAACCTATCAATCAATCACTACTGGCAAAGCTAGTTGTTGCTGATCTTCAGAGGAAATGCCTTGCGGTAAGTTCTAAAGACAGTATCACGCTTGCATTTAAACTATTGGGATAAGATCAACAAGAACAACAAAATAACATTAACCAAACGATTCTTAATTCGTTTATTTGACATTTAGAAACATTTATTGGTTTATTCAGTTATGATCTCAATTTATGATGCTTTAAAACCTACGAGTCTTTGCATTAAATGTTCTTAAATTTAATTTAAGAACCTTCTCCATTCATAGTGATGAAGATATTAATATATAATTGTTTATTGATGGTCTGTGATTACCAATTTTCTGTGTGTATAACATCGAAGAGCCACTTTCGTATGTAAAACCTTAAAGAACGTAGATATACAAATCTTCCGCGCTGCAGGCAATGGCGAACGGTCTTAAAATAGTCAATCCACGGATATGATGACTTTCTCCGCGGAACGCGATGTATTATTTGCCTTGATTTGCCTAAGTTATACAACCCTTTGGGCTGGCTCTGATTATACGACTAGCTGTGATAATTACGACGGGCGTTGGTGTTGTAACCGTCGAATGCCGAATGCCGTATGCCGTATGCCGCATGCGTTTATGTGCAACGTACCGCCGAGCAACATGCCACTCGGTTCCAGAGCGGTTGCCGTGATAAATGAACGGACCAGCCTGGCCATATCCAAATATCTATATGCCCATATCCATACCCATATCCACTGACGTGAGCGGCGTAGAATCTGAACACAAAAAATACACACAGAAACTGGGTAATAATAAAACCGCATAAAATTGTGTTTTGTTTCGGAGTTGCACACACACACACCTCGATTTCCCCTTCGGAAAACTCACTCATTATTGCATAGCAATTGCAGAGCTTTATAATATTTATTCCACTATATATGATACTCTAACTTGAAGGTATTTCAATATACGAAATAAGATTCATTATAGTGACTCATTTCTTTTGAGTAAGCTTATTTTTTGAGTTGTAAATTAAAAATAAAATCCTAACATTTTATCAAATGATCACAAACATTTATGTAGGGTACGTTAGCATTCGACTTTATAAAGCTTTGATTTCAATGCTTTCCACGATTTACTAACCATTACTTTTGATTGTTTGTTGCTGGCACATTTTCGGTTAATTCGATTTGAATTTGGCTAATAATTCTGTGACTAATTCCGGATCCAAAGCCAATCAAATTGAGATTATCTTCAGGACGGGATGATGCCCGAGTTTCCCTCCGATTTTCGATTCATTAGCGGTCGTTGAACTCGGCTTATTTGTAGATATACAGAAATATCGCAAGACGATCGCAATGATTGCCAGACGCTCATTATTTGTGGTGTTATTTATTTGTGTAATTTGTGATTGCTTTAATTAGCAACACTTTTGCTGATTTCCAAAGGAGTCCATCTGAGACTACAACTGAGCCACAAAACAAGCCAAAAACCAAGAAACGCAAAAGAAAAAGTGAAATTTCTGAGGGAACCTGTTTGCTTCAGAGGGGCGAGTCGCCTTCCATCCTTTTGCTTTCGTTTGCCCAGACTCTAGACTCCAAGGCGCTGGCCACATATACTATATATATAGTATATATATATATATAGTATATACATATATATATACATTGAAGCGGTCAACAACCGGCTGTCAGTTGCAGCTTTTCTCCAATGTCGATTATTAAGGCAACCGTTTACATACGACATTTTTCGCAGCATTTTCATCTTTTCCATGTTTTCCATCGCCCCGAACGGGTTTCCATCCACCCATCGCCGTGGTTTTGTGTTGTGTGGTTGTCGCCAATCGTAATTGGCCATTTGTCCAGCTGCTGGCAGCCCCCGTTCGATTTGGCCAAGGCCTGCACGCATTTGGCCATTAACAGAGCGCAGAAAGCCGCCGAGGGAGAGCCATAAATCCTCCAAGTTCATTGATGCTTGGCGTTTGGCGGCTTACAGTGTCGTTAATCCAAGTGCACGGAATCTATTAAAAGCGACTTAAGTTGTGCAGCGAAATTCAGGATTTTGGGAGGCTTGCTGGCCATTTAAAGAAGTCATTGATTTAATTTGATACCATTAAAATAATTTTTAAAATATTATTCCACTTTATTCATTAGAATTTTACGAAAATACTTTTACTTTTTAATGTATATAAAGATTATTCTTTGTCTTTTCAACTCACAACAACTTTGTTCGTATTTTAACAAGTTTTCTTAAATGATGGAAACCATTGAATGTTTTAATACGTTCCCTCGAAATATGGTACACAACTTTCAAAACTAGAGCAGTCTGCATCGAATTTCCACAGGTTTTCCAAGCTGAAGCTCTCGAGTATGTGGGTTCAGTTCAAAGTTGGTGAAGGGTATTCTGCATATTCATATTTGCATTCATGTGTGCCAGGCTGTTGACTCATTTGCGGTCGCCACTCGAAGGCAGGGCATTCACCGGAGATTTCATTTTTTCGGAAGGGGGCGGGGCAAAGGTTGGTGTCAGGGGGCTGGAAAGGTGGCCAATGGGGGTAGGGGGAGGGGCAGGCGGAGCGGACCACGACCTGTCACAACTGAGGCGAGTCTTCAGGCGAGCGGACAACAGATGCAGATGCAGATGCCTCGTCTTGTTTGCCCATTTGTTGTCGGCTGATTGTTGGACAAATGTTTGTCTCTCGGACTTTTGCCATGGCTTACTTTCACAGACGAACTTCATTTGAATCGCATGAATGGGTGATTGAATAAGCGCGGCTTTGCATATGAATGACACGGAAGATTCGCAGAAGAGATGCTGGGGAAAGAGCTTTTCTGGCACTACAAAAAATAAAGGACACCGTGAAGAAAAGCTCTAAAAAATAAAATATTTAATTTCTTTGCTAACTCCCACTTGAAATTTGTATATAGCAATCATAAAGCTGTGATCTTAGATGATTATAAAACTATCTAAAATCTTTTATGAATGCTTTTGGGTTGTACAAATATTTTACGACACCTAGTTATATATTTGTTAGATCTGTTGTGTTAAAACTTGTTTTTCCCAGTGTTAGCTTTTAATAACTGATTGACAGCTGATGATGGCCAAAAATTCTTAATAGATCAGCGCTCATCAAAAGTTCAATGGTTGAGCACATTGACTTTTGCTTTCTAATTTTTCTCATTCGTTTTTTCTTCTCACCCAAAGTCACACTCACGAAAGTGAAAAGCACGCGGGTTTCGATTCTGGGCCGTTCGAAAATTTGAATTTGAATTTGAATTCGAATTGACGGATGAGGCAAAATAGATTTTTGTGTGATGTGAGATCTTGGGTTTTTGATGTCGGAACAGATGGATAGATGAAAACGAAGTGATTACCGTTAGATCGAAGGCTAGCGGTGTGTTCTGCTTTTGATAGGCGAAACCCGATACAAAAGAAGTCGACACAAAAGAGCGAAAAGTAAAAGTATGCAAGTCGGGGGTCGCTGAGATTTAACTCCGGAAGTTGAAGAATTTTGTGGGGGAAAATGTTTAACCATTTCTGAAACTAAGTGGAAGCTGGAATTCCAACTACCCAGTTGACCCAATTTAAATATACCATACATACGCATTTATTTTCCATATTTTTCCATATTGCGCAATTACCTAAAAATCCGTAATTAAACGGATCAAATCCGAATAGCAGTAACAACATTTCGTTTTCCTCTTTCGTTTTTATTGCCCCACCACACTGGTATTAAGGCTTTGTTGCTGCTTCGAGTGGTGCTTTTTATGTTCATTTCCCATCCGCCGAGTGGGGCACCACACAGTTACCCACCGAACAAACTGTTTTCCAACGCGCCCAAAAGAAATTATTTTCCTTTTTTATGGCTTTACCCTTCAAAATCACTGGAGCATTTGTTCGCCACCCAATTTCGGTGGCTTTTCGGGTTGTTTTGTTTTGGTTTTTTCGGAATAGTTTGCTGGTTAATAAGAAGACTGAAGAGAATAGAGAAACTAATAAGAATAATACAACTTAAAATTATGTGGGATCATCAGATACATTTAAAATTCATAAGTTCTTGTAAAACCAAATAAAAAAATATGAACTTTGTATCGAAATGAGTAAACATGGAATTACCGTTTTAAGATATTATAGCTTTCCTTTAATTAATTAGCTTTCGACCGCAGAGAAATTTGTCAAAACAATATTATTTAATTTCTTGTTGAGATTGGCAGACAAGCTAAGGTTACAAAGCAACTTCGAACGGTTCTGTGTTGAGCAACGCTTTATTTTTGTTATGCAAATCTAGGAAGTTGTTAACACTTGTAAAAACACAAACTCCTTGCGCAATTTTCGCGGAGTGCCCACGGGCAATGTGAGCCAAGAGTAAATACATACAATAAATATTATTGATTTGGGATGTATGTCACACCACTTTGATGGACTGAATGGATGCGATTTGGAGTTGGACAACCTTCAGCCAAATCTGAATTTGAATTTGAATGGGAGCTACGTGAAATGCGGATGGACCTCCATTTTAATGTGCTCTGTTATATTTGCATTATAACTACGACTCAACCGAGCCCCAATGGCAGCCTTTCTAAGTCACCTAATGGCTCTCATCTCTGGCATTTTCATTTTCATTTTCATTGCTTTTTGCCCTTTGTGGGTCACCATTGCCCAGGGGGGAAATATTGCACAGAGGTTGAGGTTGAGGACAAAACGACAAGTTTTTGTGGGGCCGGCAATCTGACTGCCGCCACGTAATGTTCGTATGACACCCGCAGTCTGAGCGCCATTGAACCAGAAATCATGGAAGCTCTTCACGCCACTTGCACACAATGTTCATGACTCACACACAGGTGGAAATGGATGGAAATGGATATGGAAAGGCAGGTGAAAAACGAGGGGAGAACGTAGGTGGAGTTGCTCAATTGCCACTCTCAAGAAGCTGCCAATCAGCCCCCAATTAATATATATAATATTTTCGCCACGCTTGAGTTGAGTTCGTTCTGGGGGCCTATTATGCATATATACTCCAGTATATACTATATAAACATAATTGATATTTGGCATGCTTCGTGTGCAAAGAGCACTTCATGTGGAAAATGTTCGAGAGGCAATGAAAACATCCAAGCACCAGTCGGATATTTTGCAACTTAATGGCATAGTTTTTATGGAAATTAGTTAAACTTCGATTGAGGCAAGTTAAAAGTAATTATGAAATCGCTCTCACACGAAAGGCTTTTAAAAACTTGCTTTTATATTGCAATGAAAGGTCTAGTTTAGAGGTTGTGAGAATTATTAAATAATTTATTTATTTTTCCCATGCTAAAAGTATATTTATTAATGCTTTGATTCTAAGACTTAAATGTAATGCTTGGTTATTTGTAAACCCATGTATTACTTATTTTATTGGTTATTCCTACATGGTTATAACATATATTGTTTTAATATTATAACCCATGAAAGGGCCTATTTCGTGTGCTTTGTTGCAATTGTTGGCCAATTTGGCTGCTACAATGCCAATGGCCCGATGTTGTCAATTAGCCGAGAATAGAATTGTGAGCTCAAATTGTCGAGTGGCCAGCATTGTCGAACAGCAGCGATAATGCCAACAACGATGGAGTTTAGTTAATATTATTACGCTTGCTTTTGTTGTTGTTGACGCGTGCGCAGCCAAGTGAAGCGACGTCGACGCCAACGCCGGCAGAGGGTTGCCCCAGAGCAGAGTTGACATGGCAGTGAGCGTGAAAAATAAATAAATAATACAATCAAAGGGGGCAGCTAAGCCCGCGACTCTTCAATGTTGAGCAAACATTAAAGATGCACAGAGAGAAAAGATAGCAGTTTAAACAACGAGAAAATACTATACTGAAAGAAATTATTTAGGTAAAAAAAATTGAATACATTATAAAACGTAACAATCAGATCATTTATTTTTAGTTTCGCAACATTTAAATTTGTTGTAAATTATTCCGTATGTGCTAAACTCAAATAGAGATTTTATTATTAAGTATACAAATGGGAATGGAAATGGAAAACTGAATTTTTTCTGCGTGTAGGCAACAACCGCAGTAGCAGCAACAAGTGGCAATATCACCAAACAACAAACTGGCAACAAAAGCAACAGCAACTCCAACAAAACAGCCCATAATCACAATAACAATAACAATAACAGAAACAGAAACAGAAAACTCTTAATCATGAGTGGCGCTCGCTGGCAGCGCAGTTGGCGCAACATTTTTGCATAGGAGTCGACTGCGGATTCGGAGTTTGTCCATACATTTTTTTGGCCAGCCAACATTTGCGTCGCCGGCGTCACGGAGCGCGGACGCGACAAGCGCGCGACAAACATTTGAGAACCGGAGAACGGAAACCGGAAAGCGGCTTTCGACCAAACTAATCACACAGTGCAAAAGAAAGAACTTTCGGGGTGGGAAAAAAAAATAAATACAACGTGCTACGCAAACGCGAACAGAACGATCGGTGGAGAGAAAAAAAAGAAGGCAAATGGCCAGTTGTGCGCCGGTGATCGTGTGGAACGGTGCTCAGTTTACGGCGAGCAGCAGGGAACTGGAGCAGCTGCGTCGGGACTACGGTCTGGATGCCCGGATGTTGGAGGCGACACTAGTGCCGCGATACAAGCGCCACAAGCCGCAGGCGTCCGCTCGCAACGAGCACGTTCGCGTGACCACCAAGGAGGAGGCCAAGCAGCAGTCGGACTGGATACTCAGGCAGGATCGCAGCGCGAACGTCAGCCAGGTGAACTTCCATCCGTGGGCCGGGGCCCACTTCGACTTGGTGCCCTGGCGTCGCACCCGATCGGCCCTGGACCTGTCATCCGTGGCGGACTATAATCACGGCCTGGTGGATCCCAAGTCGCTCAAGGGATTGGAGAAGCTGGAGCTGAGGCAGCAGCGCCGACGATTGCAGCGGGCGAGGTCCACGCATCAGGGATTGCGGCGATTGGTCCGCGTGCGTCTGATCTTCTCCATCGAGCTGCGGCACAAGCGGATGGAGGTGCTGCGGAAGAGCGCCCTGCCCGTTCGGGTGTTCGAGCAGCGGTTCGCCCTCTCGGAGAACGAGAGTGCCGCCTACGAGCGGATCCTCCTGGACGCCAATGCCGGGGTGGAGCAGCACGTCGGCTACTTCAGCAGGCGGCCGGTGGCGCAGGATGCGAACGAGGAACAGCTGGTGGTGGACTTTGCCAGCGAAACGGAGGCGGACGACAAGCCGGAGGAGAAGGATCAGGATGGAGATCGGGAGGAAGCTCAGTATGCCACCATATCGCCACCGGCGAAGGCAGGAAGTGACCAGGGGGCGACCAAGGAATCCGGACAGGTGCCATGCGTCAAGTGCCGCGACATTGCCATCAAATTGAGGTAAAAGAAATCGCCAAGAGAAAAAACAAAACGCCGAACCAGAACACACAAACCAAGCTTATAAATAGACACGCTCTTAAATCAATTAGCCACAGTGTACAGTGAAATATCGCTAATCAAAAAGAGTTCATAAGCAAACTATAGTTGAAATATCTTTATGTAAAATCCGACTTTAACTACACAAAATCTTGCTAATGAGTGTCGTAATTTTATTGAAGCTATAATTTTGAATCAGAAAAGTTTCTTTGATTTATACACATTTTTATTGAGTAGTCCTATCCGGTATTTGAATCGCCGCCAAAGAATCGTCGAGATCCACATGCGAATTTCCCACCAACTTCGAGGCTTTCCCATTCCACAAAGAAAAAAAAAACAGAGATCTCCACGAGTATAATTTCTTAAATGATTATTTTCTTCCGTTCTCTGTTCTTCTCTTTTTTCGAAGCTTTCGCCTCTGAGAATCTCCATCCTCTTCAATCTATAGGTCTTTACTTAGATATCTAACTACTAATCGATTCATGGAGATATATTGCTGCCATGAAAACTCTACTTCTAAAAAAGTAAAGCTTTTCTCGGAAGAGTATAAACTTAGCCACATTAATTATAGCATTAATCGCTTGGCTGCGTTAAGTATAGGTACTCATTAATATTTTAAATGAAAAAAATAAAAATTCGTTTCATGTAGTTGGTTACATAAATTTTTCGGATAGCTGCACGAAGCATTTAATATTTATTTATTGAATCGAATCCAATTTAAGTGTTAGCTGCTGGCTGAGAAAAAATCTTTTCAATGGTTTTTCGTTTATTACCAGTACAAAATTCAAAATTATTTATTAATTTAAAAGACTTTCTTCTGTAGGCAAAATTATATCACAAGCTAGAGATCAGTTGAACCCAGAAACAAAAAGGTTCACACCTCTTAACACCCTTAAAGATCATAATTTTCTTAACCCCCTTTGCCACTTTTGTTGACCAACTGGCCTGCAATGCTGTTGCCAAATCGCTTATTTCACTTTATTTTTTCTCAGCCGAATGTTTGTGGGTTTTGTCAGATTTGTTAGCTTTGTTGGCTTTATGTTTTTTGTTTTTTTTTTTTTTGGCTTGTGGGATTTGTGGGGTTTTGTGGCACCTGCCCTGTTTTGTTGACACCTGCTACCGGCCCGCTTCCATTTTCCATTTGCCATTCGACGCCGCCACCGTTGATGCAATAAACTGGAAGAAAGTGTCGTCTTCGCGGCTTTCTGTTTCTTTATGTTGCCACAAGTGGAAAGCAGCGACAAACGAGATACGAGCAGCAGATACAACTACAACAGCTCACAAATGCCCGGCATTTTCGCATTTTAATGCTGCTGCCGTTGGCGTTGCTGCTTCTCAGCTTTCAATTAATTTGTCGCCGTGTGTATTGTTTCTTTTAGCATTATCATTATGATTGTTTGTTGTCGCGGAAACGGCAATCAGGTGAGTCAGCAGCAGACTTGACCTGGTTTAGTGATTCGGCAAAGGGCACCCAGTGAATCCGAGTGCAGCCAAAGATGCTCACACAGATGCAATCAAAATTAATTGCCGGCACTTCCCCTGGCCAATTAATTAATTACAAGGCGTGCCTAAATCGCTGTCAAAGGGAAATACATCATTTTTCAATGTAAAAACAGAGAAAGAAAAATTGTATCCCCAAGACAATATTTTTATTGGTACACTAAACCTTTATTGTAATCATTTAACCATTAAATTCATTTAAAAAATCATATATTTTAAGGTTTTATATTTTCATAAAATAAATTTGTTTGGTAGTTCGTGTCTTAAGTCTTTTGCTTGCTTCAAGTTTGTGTCTTAAGTCATTTGTTGCGCCTTCAGAAAGTTGACTTCAATTTCTTTTATAAATCAAACCCGAAAGTATGCAATGCTTTCTTAATACACATTGCAAAATAAAATGGCTTCATTTTAAATGTAATTGAATCTTTTTAAAATTTAAAGGCTTTAATTTCTTTTTTTTCTTGCTTGCTTGCAGAACGATAAACGATTATGCGCTCAACTCGAATCTGCACCTAAGCCACAGTAGCAAACTGAACAATCTGCACAGCAACAAGCTGATCCACAGCAACCAAAACCAGAGCAGCAACCTGAACCCGAGCAGAATGCACGCCCACCAGCTGGACTCCTATTTGGGCGGAGTGGGCGGCATGATGAACCTGGGGAACCTCGGAAACATGGCACAAATGGGCCAGATGCACCATCCGGGGAGCGTTTCCGGTAGCGAAAGACCCAACGGAGGAGCTCTGGCCCTTCACTATGCCGCCGCACGTGGCTGCCTCGACTGTGTCCAACTGCTGGTCGCCGCATCCGTGGATATTTGGTAAGTCGAATGTGCACCAGTTGCCCGAAATTTATGTATCGTAGAGATTAGCCAAAAGTTGCACTGCGATTTTAGCGCGGGGTGAAAGCTTTTTGCAGCCGCTCCGTTCCTCGTGTCGCCTTTATGTGTCGGGGAAATCGGTCGACGATTGATGGCGGCTCCACTTTGTGCTTTATTATTTCCTCGATCCGTCTGCATTTCCATTCGACGCGGTTTCTTTCCATTTACTTGCGACGATTATTCTCATTAGACGTTTCTTATCTGCTTTGATTAGTAGAAGAGTCAAAACAAGTTGCTCATTATATAAAAAAATGGCAAGTGGGTTAAGTTTGTTATATGCTTTTTTTAATTGACAAAACAAGCTCATAAATTTTTAAAATGTTGGTATCTCTAAAAAAATTATTTTAGATTTTTGTAAAAATTAGAATTTTGAAATAAACTAAGAAACATGAAAGAAAATATCATCCCCGTTGAGATAAACCGATTTTTTACCATTTTATGCAAGTTTTCCCGAAAAAATTAAGAAAAAATTAAAAAATCGATTTTACAAAGAAATCAAAAATTATTTTCTGAAATTTGAAAGAGCTGGTATGCAACTTTTTTCTAGGGCTTGAAACATGAAAGAAAATGTTATCCCAGTTGATGTAACATGATTTTTGACCATTTTATGATATATTTACTATGGAAAAATGGAAAATTTGATTATGCAAACATTTGAAAAAATGCATTCTCCGAAAAATGGAAAAGCTGGTAATCCTAATTTTGCATATGCCTAGAAACATGAAAGAAAATACCTTCCCCGTTAAATTAAAATAATTTTTCGACATCTTATGAAGGTTTAACTAAAATTACAAAAAAATTAAAAAAAATAATTGCAAACCAAAAAAGATTTTTTTTTCGAAATTAAAGAATACAGTTTTCCCGGTTCAAAGGAAGACATGAAATATATCCCTTATCAAGGGTTTTACCCTATTATAAGTCCAGTTTTAATAACAATGCTTCTGTAACGATCTAATTATCATAAACGGAATCGGCGAATAAGTGGATTTGGGAAATTGCGATCTGCTCGCTGAACTAGGAGCCGTCAATTAAATGCACTAATTAAAACTTATTAGCTCATCCAACAAAGTAGAAAGAACGAAGATGTGTCGGGGGAGAACTAGGAAAACCGAGGTAAACTAAAACGAATCTTGGAAACTATCCGCTAAGTGGGCCAGCGATCCGTGGCCAGAGTTTGATTCACCTAAATTCCTGTGCTCCAGCAGCAGCACGCGTCCAAAGCTGATTCATTTAATTGGGAAATGGGAATGGGAATGGGAGTGGGAATGGGAGTCCAACTGGCCAAGGCGAGCCAGCCAAGCGAGATGCACTCCATCGCCAGTGCCATAACACACTCCTCTTCCTCGTTCCCCATTTCCCCCGTCCCACCATCAACTGCATCCCATGCAGGCAATCCAATCCAATCCAATCCCATCCAATCGAGTCCAGGCCAGGTTTGGTTCTATCGTGTGCTATTTTCAATTGGAGTCAAACTGGAAAACTCACAGCCCCACAAAGCACCGTTGCAACGAGTTTTCCCCACTTGCCGCCAAGTGGAGCAACATAATGCTGGCCAAGGAATCGGAATCAGAATCAGAATCGGAGGTTGAATCAGGCAGTACGAGAGTCAGAATCGGTGGCACAGCCTGTTCTTCCATCTCCTCGCTCGATCGCCAGCTGAATTTCATATTTACAAAGCGCCAAGGCAGATCAATTGACATGACAACTGGCACAGAAAGCAAGTTGAGATGAGAACGAAGGCGGATCGTATAAAAAACTAGAAGAAACTGACTGACTATTCATTGAAATAGGTTAAAATATTTTAAAATTAAATATTTTTACAAAGTTTATAATTATGTATTATTACATTACTATCTATTTTAATTTTTATATAAATATTGATGCAATTGAAGGTATAAAAATCGATAGATATGTACATAATAGCATATTATCAACTCAACCAGAAGGTTTCAGTTGACTTGCTCAACATTACAAACGGCCCTCGTCATAAACCGTTTGATAGTTTTGCGTACAAAGGCACCTCGATGAAGACAGCTGGTACTTCTTGTGAAAACACGGAACGAAGAGAACGAGGGTGGTTTTATTAATTCGGGTTTTAAGTGGATCGAATTTGTTTTGTGAGGATTGCAAAAATACTTGGATGTTATTATGATAATGATTTCTTAACATTATAAATAAAAGTCAAGAATCACTTAAAAGATTAAGGGATGCTTAAGTTTCTTGAATGAATTTGTTTATGAGGCGTAACCATTAAATATTGTATATTTCCGTGTGTCTATCGTAGTTGAGAAAGTTAGCAACTTGATTTTCGGTAGAAAGCTTATATTACTACATATTGTGTTTCAAGAGTTTATAATTAAAAGTGGCAAACGCCTACAATTCAAGGGTGTCAACTGTGTGTTTCTCAATTTTAAATGCCACTTGTTTCCGTGTTGCAATGGCTGATCTGTCGATCCGCCCTCGCCGTTGGCCATTTGATAATATTGCGTATGGCGACAGCTCGGTGTCGAGCTATCTGGTTTGCCACCGCCACCGCCACGCCCCCCGTCCGCCTCCCCTTGGACAGAAAGAAAGAAGAAGCAGCAGCAGCAGCAGAAGCAGAAGAAGAAGAAGAAGCAGCAGAGGAGGAGGAAGCAGCACCACCAGCACACCAAGTGTGGTTCGCGGTGGCCACTCGATGGCGCTTGGCATTCGGTGGTGCTGGCTATTCGCGTTTCGCTGGTCGAAGCGAACGGTGCTTTCGTTCGTGGGCTTCGTCTCCTCGGTCTTGTATATCGCGCATATATAGTATACCATATATATATATTTGATATATAGCAGCCGATTTATTGCGGTGGCTGGTGTTCAAAAGTTGTTACCGTTTACCAGCGACCGTTACGCGCAGCAACATGCGGCTGAAGAATGAATTTGAATTTTGATTTCAATGGTGGTTTTAGTGCGGTTTCGCTTTGAAGCTCGATGCAGCAGCGCGGCCACGCCTCCGCCCCCCGCGACTGTCCATTGGACAGCCAGCAGCAACATCACAAGAAGCAGCAACATCAGTAGCAGCAGCAACAACAACAACAACAACAATAACAACAAGAGCAACACCAGCAACGGCAAACAAAATTTCGCGCTTCAAAGTATTTCAAATGCAGTTAACGAATCGGAACGCGAATTAATTAACAGTTTCAGTGTACCAAAGAACTGCAAGGCAGAAAAAGAGCAGCAACAACAGCAGCAGCAGCAGCAACAGCAGCAGCAGCAGCAACATCTTCACCCCGCAAACAGTAGCCACAACATTTGGCTTAATGCCCAAGCCAACAGCAACATCCGCAGCAGCAGCAGCCGCAGCAACCGCAACCATGAAAAGGTAGCCACGGCTGCTTTTGGCCAACATTCAGTTGCCACTAATCGATTGGCCAAGGCAGCGAGGAAACTAAATGGCCGAATCGGGACGAGAAGGATGCTGCCAATAGCTGGCTAACCTTCTTTTTGTTCTATATTTTTTTGCAAGTGTGTGTTTGAGTGCGGCATCAAATGCTTTAAAATTGCAAATATAATATATATAGTGAGTGCTTATGCCTATGCTTGGTCCGAAAAGTGAGGACGGGTAATCCTTGGTCAGAGATATCAAACCAAAAAAGTGGACTGTGCTCAGCTATCAGCGAGGTTACCGAAAATTCATTCAAAGCCACATGATAACTTCAAAAAAAATAAGGATCATTTTACGGAATCATGAACAGGTTTTTAATATAAACGGGTAGAAACACAAATGTTTAAAATAGGTTGGTTGCCATAATTAAATTAACCAAATGGGGTACAGTATAAAAAATATAAATTATAAACATAAAAACATAAGTGTTGTAATTAATTTAAAAAGGTATTCAAATTACACGAACCATTGACAGATTTTAAATGATGATCTTGGTCGTAAATGTTCCGAAACTTTTGCTAAGAACGCCCAGAACTAAACGGAAATCAAATTAAATCAAATCTCTGGTAGAGAAGATCCAAAAAAGGCGTGATAATTGTCGGAGAATCGAAGCCGAGAAGCGGCACTTGCTGCCCACATTTGCTGGGGAAATCACTCGAAGACTTCCACTAATCGCTGCGTAATGAATCTGTATCTTTGTATCTTTGTATCTTTCTATCTGTGTATCTGTGCATCTCCCTGGTGTCCATTTGTGTCACTCGCGTGGCTTTCATTCTGCATTCTCTCAGCGATCTGAGCAATTGGCGAGGCTTGATTGTCAATCGACGATTGTCGATCGGCCATCATTGGATGCGAGCACGCAAATGTTCAATTAAATAAACGAGTCTATAACTGTCAACTGGCATTTCTAACGAGGCTCCTGCTTCGCCTCAATTATTTCGCTTTTTAATTCCATTTTCTGTTCGGCCCCCAGACACATTAAATAAATTAAAAAATAATTATTAAATTGCAAATAGAAAGAAACAAGATGAGGCAAAGTAAGCGAACACACAAAACAAGGAAAACAACAACAAAAATGGGTAAAATATATACGAGTATAGTATGTGTTTATTTCTTACTGTATTTTCACCAACTAAAGAAGCCACAAAGATACGAAACATAACATAAACGCGACGCCGGCGGGGATAAAGATGAAAAATCAACTTTAATTGGTTTACAATTCATTTCTAAGCGAGAAAAGCTGGAAAATGTAACAAGTAGTCCGAAGTCGGACGAAGAAAGCCAAAGCCAAGCCAAAGCTCCGCTGCCGTGCGCAAAATCCATGAAGTCGTAAGCCAGTTGACTAAGTGAACAGATACTAGTATCCGTACCCATATACCCAACTACCCAACTACCCGACTACCCATCTAGCCATCACCATCATCATTTTGGAGCAAAGGGGGCGAAAGCACAGTGGGTCAAAAGATAGTTACTAAGGGAGCTAGTTTAAAAAGAAGGATTTTAAAAGTGAACAGAAGGGATTCTCAATTTCTGAACTAATCAATGACCAGTATAGTTAAATATAGTTGAGCTTAAAGTAGGTACCTATTTTAAAAAATTATAAAAAATATTTATAGCTGCCAATATAATTATATGATAGCAAGGGAAATAAATCAGGCGAGAGTAGAAAGCCAGCATTTGTTATGTCTGGCAAATATACAAACGAGATATATAGCTCACATAAAGAGGAGGAAGAGCCTTAATGTATTGCTCCAAATTGCAGTGTTCACAAAATAGACAAACGATTTTCCTGACTCCGCTTGGGCAATCCGGCAATTTGAAGATTGAAAAGCCTGACCAAGCGTGCGCCTTTGTTGGCCAGTTATTTTGGCGATGGCGATGGCTAAATGGTTGAATTGCGATGATCACGGTGATCAGTGGCCATTATAATTCTCCCGTTGGATAAAGCGGTCCACACCCACTCTTGCCCCACTGTGGCGTGTGGAAAGCCAGGCCAGCTAAATGGTAACACGAGCAATTCGAGCCACACAGCACACGAGTTGAAGTTGCCAAGACGCCGAGACGCCAAGACAAGTGCAGATTTTCGACTGGGAGTCAGGCGTAACTCGCCGAGAGAAACCTCCTCCCCTTCAGTTTTTGTTTCGCTTTTAGGCGTTAATTTCACCTAAAAAGATTTATATATATATATAATATATATGTTATATGTGCGGGCAAGAAGCAGAAGTTTGTCGAGCAGATCGAGCATCGAGGGTTTAATCATGGTTTAGCCACCGCAGCGAGCTGTCGAAATAATGCAGACTTTCGGTTTCAGCAGGTACCTACACTTTGATGATGTCTACTATCTGCTATATGATCCATAAAAAAGTGGCATAAAAATAAAAGTAAAGTAAAACAAAAGACTGCTACCAAAAAAAAAAAAAAAAAAAAAACTCGATATGCAAATTAAGGCATTTAAGTGATTTTTCCTAAACCAGTTCCATAAATCGAACTCTTTTTCTCCTGTGCGTGTGCGTGTCTGTGTGTGTTTTTGTGTGTGACTGTGAGTAGTGAGTGCATGCCTAACGGTACAAGGAAAATCAAAGATACGGAAAAACCGGAAAATATAAAAAAGCCCAGTGACAAACGAAAGTGAAAATCGAAACGAAACTTTGAGCGTGAACGGTAAGCCCAGGCAAATAATAAACCAGAAAACACCAGAAGCACCAAGCGCACTGCCAACTGAACCCTTCAAAAACTATATATGTATATATATATATATCGTATATTATTTGTAAATGAAAAGCAAAGCAAGACCCACTCAAACACACACACCCGAAACCCAGAGAACTGACCACGAGACCGACCACCTTGCAACCTCACCCACATCCACTTCCACTCCTCCACCGCCAGCTACTTCTCCACGATCAACGTTAAGAAGGGCCTCCTCGGCCGCATGACCACAAGTCTGACCTCCTACCGCCGCAGCAAGCAGAAGTCCAAGTCGAACAATGACATCCACACGATCATCGCCACGGAGGTAACCGCCGCCATTCTCAGCAGCAGTGTCCACAGCAGCAGCACGGGATCCGAGATCGAAGAGGTTCTAGTTACCGGCAATAGCAGCCAGGCCATTGAGGAAGCATCGCAGGATCACAGGAGCAGGAGCGAGGAGCAGGAGCACCAGCAGCCGCAGGAGCATCATCATCATCATCCCCCGATGGACTCGCACCACCATTCGCATCCGCACCAGCGGCGCAAGGAGCCCGTCGAGGTGCCAATGCGCCAGCCACTGGACGACGACGACGAGGATCAGGACTCCAACGAGGACGACGAGGCCACGCCCATGATGAGCGGCGTGGGCCGCAAGGAGCAGAACAACCGACGCAGCGTCGTCAGGTGGGGCATACAAATCCATCCAGAAACAGAATCCATGATGGGGAATGGGTTCCAAATAAATAACTGCGGGTTAACTGCTAAAAAAGAAAATCAATGAAAGGAACTTAAGATACCTAAGATAATATATCAAATTATGCCAGTATTATTATAAGATTACAACCCACATTAATTATTATTCTTCTTATAGATTGAAAGTTATAACTAAATAATCTCGACTTATAATCTCGCAATCTAGTTGCATTCCCATCTCACTCATAGCAACAAACGACATTACATACCGATTGCGCATTAATCTTTGAATTTGTTACCCAATTTCGATCCATAGTAGTCGGCATTTGATGGGAACATAATCCCCTGAATAGCCTGACAAATCGGTGTATAGCTTTTCCCACACATTCTCCGAAGATTACCATTCCATTGATGATGCAGTTGATTAATCTCTGCCTGCCATCCATCCACGCTCTTTGTAATCGATCGATGGATCGATGATATTCCGCAATGAAAAAAAAAAACGATTGTAAAACCGGTGAAAGAAGAGGAAAACGACGAGAAGATTTTCCAGTGACCCACTGCGTTTTGTAGCGATTAACTGCAGTTATGCCTACACATATAGTAAATTATACATATATGGTATATATTATATATGTATACCCTGCATATCCAACGATAGGTTTTTGTGAATTGGGAGCGCTTTTAGCTATTTTCGGTGCAACTTTTTACTCATTAGACGACGTTATAACCTTATCGGCTATTCTACCTTCCAATTAAACGGCAATTAATGAGTGTTCTTTTGGATTTCAGCGCCAATACGCAAATGGACAACGATGTCACGCCCGTTTATTTGGCGGCGCAGGAGGGCCACTTGGAGGTGCTCAAGTTTCTGGTGCTCGAGGCCGGCGGCTCTTTGTACGTCCGTGCACGCGACGGCATGGCACCGATCCATGCCGCTTCACAAATGGGCTGCTTGGATTGCCTCAAATGGATGGTGAGTACGCCATAGTAGCTCCGCTTCAATTTCGGCCTTTAACCGATCCGATCCGATTCGATCCGTGCCGATCCGATCCGCAAGAAGCCAACTGGCCCAACTTGGCCAACTTGGCGACAGGCAATGCAGGTCAATTGCCAGATTCAGCAGCACTGCTGAAAAGCAGTTGCTAAATTGAGGGGAAATGCCGAAATTCCTAATCTGATTGCCAGAACTAAGAAACAACGAAATAATTGCATCAGTTTTAATATCTACAAAAAAAGTTGACAGTTTTTTAAATTGCATGTTAGATGTTTTTAATATTTAAATTCATTTTACAACAATATCAAATTTTCAATATCAGTTTTAAATGCTAATGAAAGCATAGAATAATAGGAAGTATGTTTAGTCTAATGAAAGTGGGTCTTCTTTATAAATATAAATCTCAGTTGTTAAAAGGTGCCAATTCCGTTTTATAGCTATTTAATTTTAATTAATTTAACAATTTATTTATCGTTGTTTCGCTCCGTGTGGCTTTGAACCCGTTTCCGTCGGCTGGAGTCCGTGGGTCCTGTTTCGGTGGCTTTAACGGGGTTCTCGAGTGGGATTCTCGGCCCGGTTTGTCACCGGGTCTCAGCTATTTGTGCCATTTATCAATCGGGGAATGCGTCCGACGGAGGAGTGAAGTGAGTGGAGTGGAGTGGATTGAAGTGGAGGAGAGGAGGTCAAGGAGTGGAGAGAGTGGCCTATGCAAAGCCAACGCTTCCAACGCAGACAATAACCTTCCGATGGCCAGAATGCGTTTTCAAGATCAACAGCGTACACAGAGGAGCGATGCCAGTTGGCTGTTGGCAACCGCCTTTCTAAATTGAACTAAATAGCTGCCATTATAGCCACAACGCCTCTCGGCGGGCAAACCACTTTCCACAACGCACACATCTTGTGCCAAAGTGCCGAAAGCCATTGACTTGAGCTAGTGGACAGGGAAAGACGTGGGGCGTTGAGTTAGTGGACAGCGAGGAATAGATAGACACTCCAGCATCCCGTCGAGACACAAGTGGAGTACTCGTACTCGGGCTTTAAGACGGATTAGCTTAAACAGACATGACTCAAATGCCAGTGGACGGGTTTCGTGGCAAAGAGACGTTGATGGATCTATTACTTTGGGGATGTCTACCACATTTCGCAGCAGAAGGAAAAATCTAGAACATTTCTTATTTCAAAACTGACTTGAAGAAGTATTCTGCTTGGAACACTTTTGAATTTATATTTAAAGGAATCATAACGAATAACTATCTTATTTCCCGAAAGGTTCAAGATCAAGGGGTGGACCCCAATTTGCGGGATGGGGATGGAGCCACGCCCCTGCACTTCGCCGCCTCGCGAGGTCACCTGTCCGTGGTTCGATGGCTGCTCAACCATGGAGCCAAGTTATCCCTGGACAAGTACGGCAAATCGCCCATCAACGATGCAGCAGAAAACCAGCAAGTTGAGGTGGGTTTTCAACTCAATTATTCTATTTGGTTGAACTACTTAATAAGACACCTTTCTTGATTTCAGTGCCTGAATGTCCTGGTTCAGCACGGCACTTCGGTGGACTACAACGGCAAGAGTAGTTCGCAGCGGCACAAATCGCAGCAGCAGCTGCACCACCAGCAGCAGCAGCAACAGCAGCAGCAGCAACAACAACAGCAACAGCAGCAGCAGCAGCAGCAACATTTAAGTAGCAGCTGCAACTCGAACTCGAATTCCTCGAAGCAGACGAGTCGCAGCAACACGATCAAGTCCAAGTCCTCCTCGACTTTGAGCTCGGATGTGGAGCCATTCTATCTGCATCCACCTGCTTTGGCAGTCGGTGCTGGAGGATCCGGATTGGGATTGGGCATGGGAATGGGAATGGGCATGGGAATGGGAATGGGTATGGGAATGGGAATGGGAATCTCGCGGAAGAACAGCGATGCCTTGTACTCGCAGCAATCGAGGAGTTCCTCCGAGAAGCTCTACAATGGTTCGTCCTCTTTGGGCGGCAATCCGGGGAGGCAACAGCTCTTCGGTTGGCAATGGAGGAGGCGGAGGCGGAGGAGGAGGAGCGGGAGGAGGCGGTGGAGGTGGTGGTGCCCTGCTGCCCAACGATGGATTGTACGTGAATCCGATGAGGAATGGCGGGATGTACAACACTCCCTCGCCGAATGGCAGCATCTCCGGGGAGTCGTTCTTTCTGCACGATCCGCAGGACATCATCTACAATCGCGTGAGGGATCTCTTCGTGGACTCCGATTGCAGCAGCAGCGTGAAGCAGCACGGCAAGAGCCATGGCCACCAAATGATGCAGTCGAAGGCGGGCAACGCGATGACCATTCAGGCGGACGTCCACTCGAGCTCCAGTGGAGCGGGCAGTGGCTCCGATGAGTCCGTCTCCATTTCGTCCAGCTTCAACTCGCCGAAGCAGCAGCAGCAGATGCGCAGCCAGAGCTTCAATCGCCACGGCAGCACGAGCAACATCAGCAACATTAGCAGCGCCGGCGGCAACATGAAGAACAACAACAACTATAATAACAACAAACACAAGGGAATGGGAATGGGATTGGCGAGCAATCAGAATGGTGGCGGGGATCACGACTACGAGGATATCTACTTGGTGCGCGAGGAGTCGCGAAAGCAGCACCAACAACAGCAGCAACACCAATTGCAACAGCAACAGCAGCAGCAACTTCAGATGCAGCAACAGCAGCAGCAACAACAGCAACACCAACAGCAGCAGCAGCAGCACAAATACAATGTGGGACGCTCCCGCTCGAGGGACAGTGGCTCCCATTCGCGTTCGGCCAGCGCAAGTTCCACCAGGAGCACAGATATTGTACTTCAGTACAGCAATCACGTAAGGATCAACATATAATATATATAAAATATATTATAACCAACTTTGTTTCATCTTTTCAGAACTTGAACAACAAGCGCAACTTGAATAACAGCAGCAGCAACATGAACAACAGCAGCAGCAACATTGCACTCAACAACAATAATAATAACAACAACAACAGCCTGCTGAATCGCAACAAATCGCATTCGATTATTGGCTTGCACAGCAGCAAGTACGAGTCCTCGCTGAAGGACAACTACAGTGCGAAGAACGTGAACCTGAACCTGAAGAACCAACTGCTGAACGGCGGCATCAAGAGCGACACCTACGAGAGCGTCTGTCCGCCGGAGGACGTCGCCGAGCGGACCAAGCAGTCGCACAAGAACTCCATGATCCGCAACAACCTGGCGGATGTCTCGAGCAGCAACGGCAACGGCAACGTCAACAGTGGCAGCAACAGCAACATTAGCAACATTGGCAACATTGGCAACATGAACGGCGGCAACCAGAGCAGCAGGAATCTCAAGAGGGTCTCCTCGGCGCCGCCAATGCAAAATTTGGCAGTTGGTGAGTCTTTCTAAATGGAATACATTCCATTTATAATACAACTCCTTTTGTTATTGAAAAGAGTTACTAAGTGTTAGGTATTTTTGAAACCAGTTTTAACTAATTTGAAAATGTTTTAATCATCCTTTAGTTAATGGACCGCCGCCACCACCGTTGCCACCTCCATTGAGGGCACCCGCTCAGCAGCAGCGCAACAATTTGAGTGCCGAGCAGGCGAGCAACATGAATGCCAATGGCAATGGCAATGGCAGCAATGGCATCTACAAGAAGAACGTCTTCGGACCGAATCAGGGTCCAACTAGCGGGGGTGCAGCTCCTCCTCCCGTTCCGGCTCCCAATCCCCAAGCTGCTGAAGCAGTGGACTCCGATTCGGGGCTGGAGGTCGTCGAGGAGCCGAGCCTGCGGCCATCGGAACTGGTGAGGGGCAACCACAACCGCACCATGTCCACCATTTCGGGTGAGTCAAAGATGATTTCAAATATTTTAAGAGATATGCGAGATTTAACAGTCCTTAAATGCGTATTAATAAGGGAATGAATAACATGGGGGTTTTTTTTTTTTGATGCTAATTTTAATGGGCTATTTATTAAGCATTTCACTTTGGGAATGGACACCAGGGAGAAGATTTGTTAACCCAAGAAGCCACTATTAGTTGATTAAAGTTCCTTAACCGTCGATTGCCAGTCGCCAGGTCTTTGAACTCGGCAATTGCCGAGGGGTTCCGCATCGTCGATGGCTTGTGACTGTCCGCAGTCCACCTTGATTGATCAATTAGGGGAAATTCGCCAGTCATGTCTCGATGTCTCGATGTGGGGAAAATGGCAGTGAAGTGCCCTGCAGTAAAAACGAAGAGCGAAACGAGTTGCCCGAGGAGAACCTGATCTCCCGCTGGTAGCTGATGCCTGTCACTCGGCTGGGATAATGGATAGTGGTTACATCTTGATCGAGGTGTTAGCTATTCGGTGTGTCAACACGGCAATGCAAATAATGTCGTCGATTTGAAAAACATTATGGTTAATTAGGAGGATGGCGGAGTGCACTAGTTGAATTTAAAATCCATTTAAAAGGGATTTGTAATGTCAAAAGCTTATACGAAACCAGTCAAACCCTAAGGATACCATTACTAATAATAGTCAGCAATCTAAATGGGCAATTTCCTAGCGAAAAAGCTTACAATTGAAAACAATACCCCCAATTATCACACAATAAACATCACGGGGCTTCGCTTAATTGCTACAATATTCGTAACTGAAATATTCGAACGATAGCTGCCATGCTTGACATGTGTTGGCTCCGATTTTCCATTTGTTAATTGCCCATTATGTCCGATGGGGCAGGAGAAATGGTGAGAGGCATTAATTGAGCCGACGTTCACACGATCAGGCGGCAAAGATCCGTGGAAAATGTGGCTAAAACAAAGAAGTGGAAGTCAAGCTGCCGCCTGCCTGCTGGAAAACTGAAAAACTGAAAAACTGAAAAAGTGAAAAAGTGGAAGTGCCAGCGATGAAAACAATCCCAGCCACTTGACTGCCGTATGCGGCAAAAGTCGTGGGACATGAGCTGCACTCGAAAAAAATACCAGACATTTCGTAGATTTTCTTTGCCAACTTCAAGTTGGATTTGAGATTAAATCAGAGGAAAGGCTTAAGATATTAGCACTTACAATTCAAAGCGATATTTTTTATTGGAACTTATTCAGGAAAGGGAAACTTATAGTTTATATAAAATATATATCAAGAAGGGACTTTTCCCCTCTATTTGATTTCCCAGTGGCTGAACCCACATTATTGTCAATTGACGTTGGGTTACATAGCTTATAACAAACACTGGACACATGACATCCCCGATCCACGATGAGGAAGCAATTTGCCAGGTACAATGTCGCGAATGTCCCACACACTTGGCCACAACAATAATAATTGGCGACCGACGAACCACGAACCTCGAGCCACGAACCGCGAACCGCGAACAGCGAACCACCACCCGCACCGCCGCCCACATGTGCCACGCCCCCCTTTTGGCAATCGGCTCGTGGATCTGCGAAACTTTTACCCACGAAAGTGAACGTGTTTGCGAAGCAGTCGAATGGTCGGATGGTCGGTTGGTCGGTCGGTCGGATTGTCTCTCGCTGGCAAAATCCACTGGCGGCAATCCGTCGTCTTGGGTGAATAACTTTGGCGATGGCTTGAACCCAGTTCAGGCTGCCAACGGAGCTCGCCCAGGCAACATCGTCACCATCGAAGTGGTAGCCGCGTCGTCTCCAGGGTCTTGCCATTAGCTCTTCCGACCGATCATTAAAAGTGTCGCGTTAACTTCTCACTCCTGAAAATGTGCTTAACCTAAGGAAAAAAGGAATCGCCACAATGAACATGCTCGGCTCGGTGAAGATGCACAAGAACTCGCGGAGGAATTACTTCACGCTCAGCTTCCATCGGTTCGATATATTTCGGTGTAAGTGGTTCTCGCACAATAGTGATAGCGCACGGATAAAGCCAGTGAAATGTGTTTAATTTAAGTGCTAAAAATGCTTTCCAAGCCCGAAAATCTTCTCTTAACAATAATCAAAACAAGCAATGAACTCGTGGCGCTAAAGTGTATTTTATTAATATATTTTAATTGCAAAAACACTAAGTGTGCTTCAGCTAACGTTATAAATTTAAATTTAAAACCTCTGATTTAAAATTCGTAAGGACGAATCGAGAACATAATTCATTAACAAAACTCTCATTCTTGAAAATATCACATACAAATACATATTTTATAGCAAGGATAACAAACATTGTCTTGAATATAAAGATCTTCTGATTATTCTGAGACAAAAAGTTCGCTTTCTTTTAGTTTTGTTTAAACAACTTTATCTGGCAAACATACTAATTTGTTTTGATACATGGCGCTTTCAACCAATATTCGGCTGCCAGTTTGGCCTCCTAATTAATTTGAACATACCTGTGAATACCTGTACAGCGAAGATCAGGCATTGCACTCGTAAAACAGCAAACGAAACCGAACTGGACATCAACTCCAATTTCGAATTTCACCGCGGTCTTGACTTGACGAGTGCAAACCGCTTTGCTCCGCACAAATTGATAGATAAAGTGTGCGAGGACATGTGGAAAAATGCGAATTTCGTTCGCTCTTTTTTTTTTTTTTGGGATCGCATAAATAAATTCAATGCAAACTGGCCGGACTCGATTTCGAGTGGTTTGGCCATAAGATTGCAGCCATGAATCTGCGCCAGCCACCACCACGTAATGATCGCCGGGGAAACAAGTTAGCCGAGGCCGTGAAAGTTGGCGACCAAGTGCGATCGGGTTTAGATGGGGTCTGGCCAATTAACTGGCTGCCTGGAAATTGGCTGTGACGAGAGGCACAAAGACTCATGGCAACAGCTTTGGCTAATTCAATTTTTATGGGGATACTCCCACGTCGAAATGGAGGAGGTATTCTTCCGTGTGTGGGGATAATCATCCGATTCCGAAAGAGATTTCCCAGGAAGCCGCGAGCTTTTCAACAACAATAAGGAAAACCATCATATGGAGATTTCTTTACATAATGGACATACAGCTACCAACTCAATTTAAAACACTGAAATAGTATTGTTTATATGAGGTTTATTTGTATTTTTGATTAGCGTTTCTTTGACACCTTCTTAAGTCTGAATAACCAATCAGTCACATTTGAATGCTTATCTCTGGCAGACTTTTCTTATCTCGGCCACCCTTAAATTGGCCCAGACATGTGTCCCCTTATCTGCCAGCAATTAGTTACCATATCTCAGTCTAATGAACTTTGAAATTAAAAATAAAATATATTGATAACAGTTTTCCTTTACAATATTTGAGTTGAACCGCTGAAGATGCATTTCATACAGCTTGAGCTTTCGATATCCCTCGAATGTACTCCATTTCTTGAGTTTACTTAGCCACTGCTTAAGTGTAATTTATGTGATTTTGTTGTCGTATTTGTATGCAACTGGGGCTCCGGCGTCTCATCCAAATCAAAATCTCCGTCTGGTGAAAGGCGGCTACGCAGCGATCCATTGTGCTGGCTGGCTTTTTCGTATTTTCTTGTGCATTTTCTATATATTTGTTTTAGCTGCTGTCTGCTCAGGTTAGCATGACCAGATTCAGACTGCTCAGACTGATAGCTGCTAACCCACAAAACTCATAAATAAATTGGTTCAATTCCAGCGAACAAGAAAGCCAAGCTGCTCAATGCCGGCAGCAGTGGCGGCAACGCCAATGGAGTTGGCAACACCAATCCGGAGGAGTCCCAATCCCGTTCAGGAGTTGCCAATGGCAGTGTCAACAACAGTGCCCAGTCGAATGGCCATTTCTATGGCTACTCGGAGGGACCCAAGGGCCAGCAGTCGCGGAGCAATGCGAATGTGAACTCGAATGGGAACTACCAGCAGCCACATTATCCCAACAGCCAGCCGCCGCATCAGTACACTCCCAGCTTGTATGGAGGAGGCTCCTCCGCGGAGGACCACTACGAACTCACCCAGCAGCAGCAGCAGATCTACGGTGAAACCCATTTGCAGCGGACCGGCGGACCCAATCTGGTCAACAAGCAGCTCGTGCTGCCGTTTGTGCCGCCCAGTTTTCCCAACAAATCCCAAGACGGCGTCACGCATCTCATCAAGCCGTCCGAGTATCTCAAGAGCATCAGCATCGACAAGCGTTCGTGTCCATCCTCCGCCCGGTGAGTGCTCATACGAGTGGTTATCCATCCCCCCAAATATCTACCATATACATATATATCATATATAATAGAGTATATCCTCCGTACCCTGGCTTTCAATTAGCACATGGCAGCCGATTTAATTTGGCTGAACATCTCGTGCAGCGGCTTTTTATAATTAGTATCTCGGCTGTACAGTTGCCTCGCCTCAATTAGCCAAAATCCGAAAGAAAGAAATAGCAAATACATATAAAATAAGATACATGGCTTCAAAGACTTGGCTGGTTGGCTGCCGCTGGGCAATTAGCAGCTACCAGGTGGTTAGATCTCGGTGCTGCGGCTTTTCCACGCGAGAAAAGCGCTGAGCAAACTTCACTTGATTGCCGAGTAGCCAAAGAAAAAGTTCAGAACACATTCCCGATACTCTTTCTCCTTTAAAAAAATATTTAGGGAAGTTTTTATCATAATAGCTTTATGTTAAAATATTGCATTTTTACCAATTAATGATTACGATTTAACACTTTTCAAGTACAAAGTATCTTAAAATTCTATTTTATATCTTAAACTTGGTTGCAAAAGCCAGATGCACAGCACTTTGGCTGAGAGCTTCGCCACTTCCTCTGGCGATCAAGAGTGCATGAAATTTTATGCGTGCCACTTTACGGCCTGCCACTTTTCTTGCCACAGTTGCGATGTTGCAGCTGCAGCAACTCAGTTGCAATCCGAAGATGATACTGCGCACACGCCACGCCTGGCGCAGGTCCGCCCACTGCCCACTGCCCACTTAGCACCACCGACCACCCACGACCACAGCCACCAACCATCAACCACCCACCAGTGAAAGTAGTAGCTCCCTCTAATTCGACCTTCTTCTCCGCCTGCTCTTCATCCACAGCTCCACGGACACGGAGGACTACATGCAGATCCAGATTGCCCAGCAGCAGGTCCACCACTCGCAGATCCATTCGCAGCATCCGCAATCACATCCGCACCTCCAACACCCCCATCCGCATCCGCATTCGCATCCGCACTCGCACTCGCATCCCCACCAGCTGCATGGAATGGGCGAGCAGCCGCCGCTGCCGCCGCCGCCGCCGCCGCTGCCCCACGGAATGCTGCCGCCGCAGCCGCCGATGGGTGGTCCGCCCTCTGGCCAGGATGCCACCATGACCGGCAAGTCGCACAAGCCGAAGAAGCCGCACGGCTCGGCGCCCAACTGCCAGGACACGGCCACCAGAAAGCAGCATCAGCCCCTGTCGGCCATCTCCATACAGGATTTGAATAGCGTTCAGGTGAGCAGTGATCCTGATCTGATCCAGTTTCCAAACTGAAAGTAGAATAGAATCTTACCACACAAACTTTAGCACCTATCACCCATTTCTATTTCCATTTCCATTTATATTTCTAATTCTATTTCTAATATTATATTTCCAATTCCTATCCCCATCCCCTCCAGCTGCGGCGCACGGACACGCAGAAGGTGCCGAAGCCCTACCAGATGCCCGCGCGCAGCCTGAGCATGCAGTGCCTGACCTCCAGCACGGACACCTATCTCAAGTCGGACCTGATTGCCGAGCTGAAGATCTCGAAGGACATACCCGGCATCAAGAAGATGAAGGTGGAGCAGCAGATGGCCAGCCGCATGGACTCGGAGCACTACATGGAGATCACGAAGCAGTTCTCGGGCAACAATTACGTTGACCAGGTGAGTGTGTGTGTGAGTGTGTGTGGCCAACTTATGTGGACGGTGGCTAAGAGGCGGATCAAAGATCTACTTGCAGATACCGGAACGAGATCAGGCGGGCAACGCCATACCCGACTGGAAGCGACAGATGATGGCCAAGAAGGCGGCCGAGCGGGCCAAGAAGGACTTCGAGGAGCGGATGGCCCAGGAGGCGGAGTCGCGTCGCCTCTCCCAGATCCCTCAGTGGAAGCGCGATCTGTTGGCCCGGCGCGAGGAGACGGAGAACAAGCTGAAGTAAGTGCGTGTGGTGCGGCTAGCGGGGAGTCTCCTGGACCCCTGGCCTCAACTCTCTGACCTTCTTCTAGGGCGGCCATCTACACGCCCAAGGTGGAGGAGAACAACCGGGTGGCGGACACCTGGCGGCTCAAGAATCGCGCCATGTCCATCGACAACATCAACATCAATCTGGCCGGCATGGAGCAGCACTACCAGCAGATCCAGTTCCATCAGCAGCAGCAACATCATCAGCAACAGCAACAGCAGCAACATCAGCAGCAGCAGCAACAGCAACAGCAGCTCCAGTTGGGCAACAAGGAGAACCACGGCGATCTGAAGGCTAATGACCAGGATCAGGAACAAGGCGGCGGCGCTGGCAACCAGGAGCTCATCGAACCCTCGGAGGGCAGCCAGGGACACGTCGAGGAGGAGGAGGACAACATCATACCGTGGCGCGCCCAGTTGCGCAAGACCAACAGTAGACTTAGCCTGATCTGAATCTGAATCTGAATCTGCATCCGCATACCGAAAATTCCAAACAGAAATCCGTCCTATAAACTCGACTCGTCTAAGTGGTGCATTTTTTTTTTTTTTTTTTTTTTCGATTAACTTAAAGCATGTGCAATTATCAAAAGCCCTACATATAAACCATAATAACTAAGTCTAAGTTTTAGCTACTTACATTGTACTATATCATAACCTCTATCATTACACCTAATTGTACTCAAATGTTTTTTTTTTTTTTTAATTCGGCAAAAATAATATTGTTATTCCTAGGGGACAGTATCGCAAGGCGAACAACCATATATATCTAATCTAAACTGCTGTCCTTGAGCTCTATTTCGGTGTTGTATTTTTTATTATTTTTACCCTCTAACTATTATTGTATTTTTTTTGTGAATCGGCTTGAATTTATTGAGTAATGGAATTAATTTAATTGTCTCGGTTAAGCATTTTTTTATTGTTATTTGTTTTTATATACGCGGCTCAAACAATATTATTAATTATATAAAACATAAATACATATTACAGCTATAAATAAACAAACGAACGAACGAATCAATAAATACTTATGTAATTTAAACTTGCTTTAAATTGTGTGGCAACCTGCCAATATGCAACATACGGGGAACCCATACAAAATTTTTTGCAAAAAAATATATTTTCAAAAATTTGGAAAATTCGGTATGAAACATTATTATAGGGCTTGAAACATGAAAGAAAATACCTTCCCCGTTAAGATAACCCGATTTTTGGTCATTTTATGCAAGTTTTTCCAAAAGAAAAGTGCGGAAAAAACGGAAGAATCGATTTGGCAAAAAAGTCAAGGTCAAACCAAATTCAAAAAATTTCGAAAAATACATTTTCAGAAATTTGAAAAAGCTGGTGTGGAACTTTTAGTATAGGCACTGAAACTTAAAAGAAAATACCTGCCTCGTTGAAATAAACCGATTTGTGCAGGTTTTCCGAAAAATCGAACCCCCCAAGCTCCGAAATTAGACACAATCAAAAGAAGTTGCATTGCTTTGCTCAGAATCTTATGGTTTTAATACCAATATGCGCACCGCTTACGTCATGCTGGCAATGCAGACGTTGATGTTGGGCACGAAGGCGTTGCAGCCGGAGACAACCTCCTTGGTGGCAGTGGTGTAACAGTTGGAGGTGTTGAAGGGCAGAGCGGTTCCCTGCTTGATCATCGTGTTCATGCGGCGGACGAGGCTCATGGTGGCGCAGAAGGCCTTCCAGGTGCAGTGGAAGAAGCTCTTGGTGGAGGAGGCAACGCCCCTCGTCTTCGCAGCGCAGAGATCGGAACGCAAGTTAAGGATCTTGTTGCTGGTGACGATCATCTGCTTGGCATTGTCGATCATGGCCTGCACATCCTTGGGAATGGCGCCGGTGCAGCTGGCCACGTCATCGACGTATTTGGTGCAGGTCAACAGGACATTGGCCACCTCCTCGACGATGCACTTGGTGCCGTTGATGCCCTTGTATCCAGCCCACAGAACCTTGCGGCAGCCGCTAATGAAGCCGTACTGCTCGATGCCCATGAAGTCCTCCTCCTGGTCAAGCATCTCGTCGGCGATCAATTCCTCGAGCTCCAAATCGGTGTAGGCCTCAAAGTCCTCGAGAGCACCAACGGCATTGGCCTGAAATGAAAAGAAAAATTTAACCCATTAACTTAATAAAAAAAAAAGTATTTTAATATATTTGCTTTCATTAAAATTTAAACAAAATTACCAAATTGAATTCACAGATTATTGAAATATATTATATGCTAAAGTTTCACAAGGTTTTCAAGCACGAAAAAAAAAAAACAAATAAAAAAATGGTCTCTTTTTGTATTTTTCCTTTGCCACCACAACATTTATTTTCTCTTTATCTTATAGACGTGATATTCAGTAGCTGATTAAACGAGGGTCTTGTTTGATTTTTGTACCCTTGTTTTCTTTTAGATTTTTTAGAAGACGTTCCGTGGCAACCGAGTAACTTACATTGGCGGTGGTCAGGAGGAAGCTGGCCGAGGCCACGACCAGAAGGCACAGGCTGATCACTTTCATGTTGCTGGTAGATGGTTTCACTGGTGAATGCTTGCTGACCGATCCGTGTGGTCTATTTATACGGAAGAACCAACGGCGCCATATCGGTGAAGTGGCGATCCGGCTGCTCCGATTTGCACATATACTTTTTTAAAATAGTATACAATAATATGCCGTCGATATGTAGTTTTAATTAAGCTAACCAAAGTGCGAAACTAATTTGGCATTATCTATGCAGCGTGGACACAACGAGTGATAGCCAGATAGCCATTCCGGGGCTTCCTCTAGTGGGTGCTGACAGCTCCGAAAGCTCTACGAGATCGGTTTTAGATAGGTGACACGTTCTCGATGCTGCACCTGCACAATCGACGCTGGACTGTTGCTCCCAGGAAACACCCAGTGTTTAATTTTAGAGGCGCTCAGCAAAACAAAACCCTTGGAAAAGTCACTTCATCTACATCTACATCTGCAATGGCAGTATGACAGCTGCTCAAGACAATAAAGTGCTCAAATTCCAATTTAAAAATAACATTCAACCAATAACAGAGGAACCTACTTTACATAATTAATCAGAAACAAAAACAAGAAAGGAAGCTAGCTTCGGTGAGCCGATGTTTATATACCCTTGAAGTCATCACAAATATCGAGCAAAATGCATAAAGGTTAAACAACATAGAAGAAATGGTTCCTATTACTTTAAGAATAAGTGAACTTTGGTAAATTTTGAGCAAACTCGTTTTTTGGAAATTTGGAAAGTGTTGCATCATAAAAAAACAAACAAAAAATCGGCCAAAAAATAAAAATTGTAGTTTGTTAGATAACTAAAATACAAATGCCACTTTAAAATCGGATTGAAATCAGAAAAGTTATGGACGTGGTATTAGCGAATTTTTTGCCGGTTCACAGATGTCTCCTTAACTGCTCTGCGAACTCCCTAAAATTATAATACCCTCTGCAAGGGTAGAACAAATAACAAATTATTAAAAACGCTATCGTTTCGAGCAGTTTACAATAGCAAAGATTAAAAATAGACTAGCCCTAGGTTATAGTGATCATATCTGCTGGATAGTGTTGTTTTTGTCACACTTCCATTTTATCAACTCTAAAGGGTGATAGGAGGTACACACGCACTTTTCTGTTAAGAAGTACTGATGCATGCTGATGATATAAGAACGTGGCAACAAACAAAATATTTCCAAACCAATTTAATAAAAGAGTTGATAAAAGTTTCACAATCCTGATCAATATTATTTTTTATACCAGCATTTCCAAAAAATAAATACACCACAGAGTTTGATTTACACAATTCATGATAATTGAGGTACAATATTTTAACTTACAGGATGCAAGCTAATTGAAGTACAAAACATTACAGTTTAAACTGTAAGTTTATGTAAGTAAGAAAAAATAATGAATTGTGGTTGTCACGGATTTTTTATTGCATGCTGGAATTTAAAACTGCTTGAGCTTAAAACCCTTTAGGAGGTGAGCTGGGAGCAGGTGACCATGTTCTGGGGGAAGGCGGTGTAGTAGGTGACCAGGGTGCTGACCGCATCGTTAACACAGTCCACGGCATTCGGTCCTGTTTGCGGGATCTTCTTGGCCAGCTTAATGGCGGTTCTGATTTGCTTGCTCAGGGTCCACATCTTGCGCAGGGTCTTCACGAAGCAGCTGTTGGAGATCTTGGTCTGCTCGTCATCCGCATCGTTGCAAACGTTCGACTTCAGGTTGATGATGTCGTTGCAGGTACTGATGATCTTGAGGTTGGCGTTGATCAGATTGGTCACCTCGTTGCTGGCTGTGGCGCCGCAATGAGCCACGTTTGCGTTGAACTGAGTGGCGCTGTCTTGGATGCCGACCACCCACTTGATGACACAATTGAATCCCTTCACACTGCGCAGGGCAATCTTCAGGGCCTTCTTGACTCCTCCTAAAAATCCGAATTCTTCCACCTCGACAAAGCCATCGGTCATATCGTCCAGTTCCACCGAGGAGTCCTCGCTGGGATAGGGAACCATCACCGCATTTACCTGGGAATTAAATAATTCTTACTTTTAAGTTATACATATATTTTTTAGCTGCGAACTTACGCAGACGAGGCACACGGCCAATGCAAAAATAATGGTGAACTTCATGATTTCGTTGTTTTTTATCAACTATAAAGAACTCTTCCGATTTCGGCCTTTTATATCGTTCCAGACCTTAACCCTATAGGTGCTTACTTAATCAGTTGTATATATTTTAGTTTTGAATATTATTAATATGCTTTGGAAACAAAATTTGTTTATTTTGTAAAACTAATTTAAGATCCATTTAATGGTATGTAATCCATTACTTATTTTTTACCAAAAGCAATAAAGGGTTAATACCATATTCTACGTCGGCTAGTCACATTAACGCCCTGATAACGCCTTAAGCCAATTGATCAATTGGACATCAAATTTATCTATCACTTTTTTGAAAAACCCACTAAACAAACAACTTGAACGTATTGTAAGATAACGATGACTTTAACAATTGCTGGAGAATTGGTTATATATTTTTCGGCTAGAAAATTAATTAATATTTGAGGTTGCCTACTTTTTGGCTTAATGCTTTTTTTTACATAAACCTACCGAAACTAGCAATTCAATACAAGGTTTGCATTATTATTCGTCATATAGACGTTTTTCGCTTATAAGCAATAATAAACCGAACAACTGTAGGATGTTTTGATTGCCTTCCACTCGATAGATTAGTTTAGCCACGTGAAAAGCATCTTATCTGATAAGCCGCACGATTAGATGGGGCCATCCAAACGACTATAATGGTGAGCCTTATCGATGCGGTTTAATATACGCTGTTCATATCGCACAAAATATTGTTTGCCAAGTTTGTGTGACACGTATATATAAGATATACTCTCTCTGAGTCACATCATACACTTGATGACCGATGCTGCAAAATTAGAGAAAAATTATAATAACCAACATTAAGCAGCACTGAAACTTTTCCAATCAAAATAAAAAGTTCAAGTTCTTTGCAATTTGGAAAACTAGGTAATTATATAATAATTCATAAAAACATATTTTATTTTAGTATTTTTTTTTAGTTTCTTTATTGTTTTACTTGTATTATGCATATAGTATTACTTTCTTTTTCTTATTTCGTTTTTTCTCTTGGATTTGTATGTCGCCTCATTGCACTAAAAAATGTTTGTTGCCCTCTCTTTCTACGCCATGTTGGCGCCGCCTATTGCCATCTCGCTCTAAAGCACTTAAACGCAAAATTAAACAAATATTTTAAACGAAGTAGAACAAACATACGCGTTGGAAAAAACATAAACAAAAGCGGCTTACAATTATACGCAAAAAAAAAAATATATTAAATACAAAATTATTTACTCTGTTTTTTGTTTTGTCAATTTCTTTTGTTTCTGGATATTCCCGATCTTCGTTAATTATCTCCCCTTCAGGCAACGCATTCATGCAAAAATATATCGATTTATGTAAATATATGTTATGTACCGTGCCCAAGAAGAGTCTAAATACGACCTGCATTTTTGCAACATGGCAGAATCAAAGGCACAAAAGTGGAATTATTAGTGCTTCCTTAAGAGTGCCTTTGGTTCTGCAAGGTAGCATAAATTTCGATCGGCGGGCATTATATAATAGGCGCATATCGTAGTCGTATATAAATATATATGTATATATATTACAAAATTAATTGTTTCCATTGTTTTTGTCGTAATGTTAATATTACAATTCTCACTTAATCTTGCACATTCAACTTTGTCGCTTGTTTTTTTTTTTTTTTCGTTTCTTAGTTCTTTTCTTTTAAGGATTTTAAGTGGAAAAAGCAAAACCTCTATTTATAAAATAAGGTTACAGTTGTATAATTAAACAATTGTTAAACAAAACTAATAAAGAAACACCTCGCGGGGCTGGGAAACAGATGCGCGCGACACTCTAAAATCTGTTTGCTTAATTACAATAGGGGGAAACTCATACTCAAGTATATAATATATAAATATATAATAAAAAAAATTACAAAAAGTAATCGAATTTAAAAAAAAGTAAACACAAATGCGCAGGAGGGAACGCAATCGGATAGAGTAGTTAGTAATTAGCGAATACGAAAATTTTACGTAGTTCCCACTGTTCTTTCCCTTTCAAAATCCCATCCTCTTGTTTATGTATGTATATATATAATTGAGTTGTGGCTATGGCGCCTAATTGCTGTTGCTGTTGTTGGCGGAGCTGTTGTGGTTGTTCTGGTCCACACTGTCCATGTTGGGCACGTAGTCGAGGGCCATCATGCAGGCGAAGACGGTCATCACCATCTTGGGCTTCACCTCGGTGATGTCCTCGGGCAGGGCGTAAACGCGGGCTCCGATCTTGCGGGCCATGGAGATGGCGTACTTGGCATTGGCCAGGTTATCCTGCAGACCAAACAAGCATTAGCACTGAGTTATATAACTAAAACAATGGGTGTCCTTCTTCCTACCTCCTGTGTGCCGCTGGTGCGGACCAGCTCGTAGTTGATGCTGCCCTCCTTGATGGAATCGATCAGATCGATCACGATCTTGCCATCGGCAATGGCCGGGTCGTTGAAGTTACGCAGCTGCGACTGCTTGCCAGCCTCCGTCAATCGGTTGTTCACCCACTGGACGATCTCCTTCTCGATGATGGGGTTGCCAGTGTTGGCCAAGCGGGACAGAATGGACAGGGTATACGCGCGCATCAGCTGCCAGATGAGAGCTGTGACAATAAATTAAGTCATTGATTATCTCATTTGAATGTATTTTTATAATAGTAATGCCTACCCAACGTCAGCGTGGCATTGCCATCGTTAAGATCCTGGCCAGCGATTCCGACCAGCGAGAATTTCAGCTGCTTGCCCAGATCCACCGCGTAGTTGCAGTTCTCCAGCTTCTCCATGAACTTGCGCAGCGGGCTGAAGCGCTTGTGCACCCGGCTCCAGTTGACAATGCCCGGCTTGATGACGTCGAACAGCTGGAAGATGACCAGGCCATCGGCCAAATCGGAGTACAGCCAGTTCACATGCGGCGCCACACCCATTGAGTTCATCCAGTTGCGGTAAGCTGGAAAATAGAAAAAGCAAACAAACCATTAATTTTCAATTCATACTTTCTAACTATCTTTGAAGCATTTTACTCTTCTTTTGGTAAATGGTCTTGTGATCTAAATTGGCTCAGTTTTTATGGCCTGCACTTCCTGTGCGCAGAAATTATTGATAACATTTTATATTTTTAATTATGAAAAGAGCTTTATTTCCTCTATAAAGTGACGTCTTGACTGTTCATATCGGCATTTTTCTATAAATAAATTTTACTGCTTGCGTTTTCTTGATCAAAATCGTTTGTAATCATTTCTAAGAAAGTTGCAATGTATTTTAACTTCTACTTACTCTTCTCCTCGCGCGTCTCCTCGATGGACTCGAGTCCCTCGATCTGCTCGGGCTTGTCCAATCCCGGATGGTTGTTGAACAGGTTGGCCACGAAGGCCAAGTTCAGCTTGTAGACGCCGTTGACGACGTCCTGTGGCGTGAGGAAGCTGCGGCAGTTGAGCTTGGCAGCCTGCTGCAGCATGATTTCCGCCCGGGACTGAAGGTCCGACTCCCGCAGAGCGTCCAGATTGACATCGGCATCGTTGCCGGCAATCTGCTTCAGCAGGTGCGAGTAGATCTCCGAATCGACGATGTCCGACTGGAAGTTGGTGCACCGCCTCGAGATGCCGGCACGCTCCAGGTGATGATTGACCCAACGCAGGAGGATGGCCTCCGGCGACATCTTCATCAGATCCTCCAGCCGTTCGTTGTCGAAGAGAAGGCCAGCCAAGCCGGGACAGCTGTCCAAGGTGATGTGGCTGAAGAGACCGATGCGGATGATCTGCCAGAGGAGACCCAGCACCAAGTGGGGCTTGCCCTTGGCCAGATCGTGGGCATCGATGTTCACGATGTTGCAACCGATCGCCTGGGAGGAGACCAGCGCCAGGGTCAAGTTCTCGAACTCCCGGTAGACGGTGAGGTTCTTCTTATTGATCGCCCGCTCGTCGATGGTGTCGGGGCAGGAGTGATTGATGATTTTGCAGAGCAGGATGCCATCCTTGATGCTCAGATACAGACGCTTGCCCTCGCTGTCGATGGGCAGCAGGTGCTGCAGGTCCTTGTCGTGGCCCAGATTCGAGTTGATCCAGTCGGAGAAGGCCAGCTGCTCCTCGAGCCGCACCGAATGGGTGGTGCCCTCCGACGAGATGCTCGACATGCCGCCGAGCGTCTCCAGGTTCTCCTTCTTGGAGACGACCGTCTTGAATGTGCTGGCCACATCCTTGCTCTTTAGATCGAGGCACAGGGCCTCGAACTCCTCCAGGTTCAGTTTGCCCTGGAAGGCGGTCAGCTGTTTGCCCTTGTACTCATCGATCATCTCGCGCACCTGGTAGCCGGCCAGCTTGAAGCCCACTTGGTTGAGTGCATCCTTCAGCTCGTGAAGATCGATGAAGCCATCCTTGTTGGCGTCCAACTAAAATATAGGAAAAGGATTCCATCAGTACTCAGGGAAGACTCATTTAAATAACTAAGTTTTTACTAATAGCACCGGCAAACTACAAATATAGTTTGCTAAAGGTAAGGCTTATTCATTTCAATAACAGTTGACCTTTTAAATAACTTTTGTTATTTATAAATTTATTTCCTGGCCTTCTAGGAATTCGAGGTGAATTTAAGGGGCACGCGAACCAAGAAAGAGGAGAGATCTATGAGTAATCCTCGGCCATGAGTGAGTTGTCCGACGATCGAACCGATCGATCTGTGAGTCATCAATCAAATCCGAAAGCCAAACACACAGCCGCATTCCAGTGCCCACACATGTTTTATCTGCGGAATTCGGTATGCAAAATTGTATTCCCCATCTCCCGCCGCCTTATCTATTGCCTCGTCTGTCCGCCCGTCCTTATCGAATTTAATTTCCATTTTTCAGTCCGCAGTTCGAGGGGTACTATCTTTCACCTGACTGACATACCGCTGATTATCGAAAATTGCTCGTTTCAAATGATACAGTTTTAAAAGCGTGAGTGGGCGCCACAAAATTTAAGAGAAAAAAAAAAGAAGAAACACCGCAATAATTGAAGTCTTTAAAAAAAACCAAGAAGTGAAAGCCCAAACAAATTTTGGTAAATCACCCGATGAATCAGTTCGAAAATACTTGAGATTCGGACCGGCAAATTAATTTCCTCTTTCGATTATTTTATTCCAAATCCGATGACTAAGAGTTGACCGTTTAAAACTCAATTTGTAATCCAGGTGTTCTCTATTTTCTTCAATTTAAGGAAATCATTAATGAAGTCAACCTAATCAACGTTGCTTTTTTTTTGGATTTCACAAGCTTTTAATTTATTAGTCACATTTTAACTCGATCATTGGTCAATATAATTGAAATATCTTAGATAAGGACAAGCTTTCAAGGGTTTAGATTACAAATTGTATGATTGTACAAATTATTTTTATATTGGATTATGGGTAAGGTTGTTATATAAGAATAATTAAAACTTTAAAAACCAATTGCTTTACATCCACAACTAACCTTTGTCAACAAGTAAAACAAGTAAATAAATTAATCATTGAAAAATATAAACTGAAAAACATAACCGTTCTTATTATCAAAGTTTCTATTGTAATTTATTTATTTATTTATTTATTAATCTCAGGTTATTAAGGCTAAACAAATCTATGGTTATCAACGTTTTTGCAATATGTTTGATAGTTAGGTTCTCTTCAACCTCCCGATGGTTGCGAATTTACTAGAACCCAAAAGCTACAATCCAAAATGAGGGGAAAACCAAATATTTGGCCGAACGGTGCCATAAAAAACTATGCTCTTTCCTTTTTCGCGTGTGCGAAATAAGGAAAATCAGAGGGAAATAGGGGAAGGTTGAATGGGCTGATACTGGACTGTGGAATTTATGGCTCAGTGGTTGGTAACCAGGTTCTGGTAGTGGTGCGTTGATTGCTCCGTTTTCGGTGTTTGCCGATAAGATAAATTTCTGTGCGCCAAAAAGCTAACATTAAATCGAAAACAGCACTCGATTACGTATATGGTAATGATATGATGGGCGCTTTTTGAGGGGGAGAAACCGAAAACCGAAAACCGAATCGAGGTCGTTTTGTCCTTGGCCAAAAACGAATGCTGATACGTGGGAAATACTTTTGGGCGACATATGACTGACGTTGAACGGAAGTGATTTTGATTTTCGCCATATTTTCAGGGGGGAAGTGGACGGCGGGTGTGTTACAGTGGGTCAGTTGGGGCGCGTGCTCTTTATCGGAGGTGTTCACTGTAAAGGCCCTGCTTATGGACATTGGTATGCGTTTCACTTGTCGGTGTTATCGATTAAAAAGCCATAAAGTGCCCCGGGAAAATGTGATAGGGCAGGAAAAGAACACATACCCACAAATATAGAGAGGTAGTGATTACGTGAGTTGTGAGTAATAAAAAAAAATACAGTCGAACTTCGCAAAAAAACAAAAAACAAAAAAAAAGTAAAGATGATGTTGATTTTTTTTAAATTTTTTGTTTAACATTTTGATTTCTAGCTTATCGGTTATTCACTGCACCAGATTCAGTGGCGCCACCTACATCGGGCAGGAGCTCCTCGAGATTCTGCTTGAACTCCTCGATCGTCTGGTGCTGTTCCACGTTGATAATATCGGCCATTATTCCAATGTATATTTGCACGCGAAATTAATTTTATTATTTACGAAATTCCTTCTTGTTTTCGTTGTGAAAATAAACAAACAACAAAAAATTAATTGATTTGCACACAGATACTACACGCACACACAAACACAGTGGTGAAGAGCGCGCCCGAGAAGAACAGATATTAAATTAATCGAGAGAAAGAGACCGAGAGAAAGGGTGCGAGAGAGAAAACGAAAAAGAGAGCCAAGGATATCACTATATTTGTTGTTAAAACTCCTTTTTTTAAATTCTTCTTTTACGTTCTTCTTGCTTTCTTTCTTTTTGGCTGAATCGCTTTCCACGAGCTAAACTTGAGTACTAATTGAGTGGTTCAGTGAAGCGGACTATTTATGCCTTTTCTTTTATCACAAAAAAAGAGGCAAAAAAAAAAAACCAGCACTTGAATCGAACGGTTTCTTATCAGTAAAAAAAAATGCGGAGAGAGCCTCAAAAAAGAGTCAGTGAGTAAGAAGAGAAAACACCTTTAAAAACGAGTCATCCTGAATAACAAAAAAAAACTAATGAAAAGTCACTCACTCAATAAAAGTGCAATTAAATTGGGTATTAAGAACAAAAATAACCTGCCACGAAAGTGTTTTCCATATAAAGCATTTAACAAACGTTCGGAAAAATTCATTTGATTTTCCTGCTCTCTCCTGCTATTGATAAGGTCCACTCTTCGCTCAATTTCTTAGCCCGATAAATCAATTGAGCCACTAACTTTAGCTCTCTCTCTCTCAGGTGCAATTACACTGCAGGGCTGTCAGGTTGACAAAGTACAGAATAATACGAGTTCAGTTAAAATGAACTCAAATTTTAAGCGCGTCTTCAAACAAAACAAGATAAACAATACGTACAATGAAACCCATTATTAGTTACATTTAGATTTATTCACTCGACTTTAAGTGGTGACTCATCCTATGAGGAGAAGTAGTTTTGGCACATTTAGTTTCATTTCAATTGAGTCATCTCCTAATATGCGGTTTGTCCCGTGACGTGGCAACCCTCTTTCGCAACATTCTCAAGACTATAAAATCGTTTTCAGCAAATTGCTTACGCATCAAAAAGTTTTTGGTTAAATGCAATACCACTCGACGGGCAAACTTATAGAGAGATAATGGGGATATGAGTGAAAAACACCTGAGAGAGCGACAGGGTATTTAAACGTAATTGGTTTTTTAATAGCCATTGTATCAGCGAGTGAATTATGTGGCAATTGTCATTTCGGTTAGCTTATAACTTGTAGAACATAAATCTAATTCCATCCTGATAACGACAGTTCGATAAGACAAGGAAATGCGACAATAAAAGTTTAGGACTTTCTCAGAACATAATTGTAAAAAGGGGTTATTATTGACGCGGCTAATAATAAATATTATAGTTTAAGGTCAGAACATCTAACTAATAGTTTCGTGTTCCTTTTTTATCAGTGCAGCTATACACACATGGTCAGTATTATCGATCAGTTACTCGTGATGACTAATCGCCGGACATACAAAGACTTTTGTTGTCTTTTGTACATAAGAAAAACCACTCCCCGATCGACCGATATATCGAACTATAACCCAGCTGAACAAACTGTAGCTTTTGTTATTTCCTCCAGCGATGATAAACCAGTTGTCATTGCATAATACTATCTACAACTTTGTGTAAGTGCAGCTGGGTTTAGTAATATTGTCAAAGCGATCAGATTACCAGCGATCTGTTTTTCAAATTTAGTCATGCTGGGTAAAATCAGGTTTTGCAATGTTTTTAAAATAATCGGTCAATAACCTTATTTGTACTTTAAATGTATACAAATTCGTGATTAGCAACTGCAACAATTTAAAAAAAAAAAACAGAATTTGGTAGAGGGAACTTTGAAGTATATTTTTTTTACTACCAGTATAAATCCAAAGACCAGAACCGCACACGCCTGACCCCAAGCAACTTTCTACGGGTTCACTTTTGGTGTCACCGATGTTTGCTAACCCTTCACCTGCTCTTTTTTTTGTACACTCAGAGAAAAGTTGCGCCAGAATACCAAAAAGTTAACATTACTGATGTTAGTTTAAGTGCTTTCCTATGAATAAATAATTATATTTATTGAAAGGAGTATACTTTAATTAAGCAAAACATTTAATTAGGGAATGAAGAATTTGTGATCTACGAGGTTCGTTTTTATCTAAGTGCAGGTTCTCATCTTTTTGGGAACTCAGAATAGAACTTAGGCGGCAATCATAATTATGACAAACAACGCGCGAAATTTTTGTTAATGAACGTTTTTCCTTGTCTTTTTTGTTTGCTTTTTCATTTTGTTATTTTTTTTTCCAGCGTCAATGTTTGCGCCGCTATTCGGGGCTTAGTCACTGTCATTTAAAGGTAATTTACAGCAAATGAAGTTCATTAGCAGCAGCGAAATATTCGAGAGAGCAAAAAATGCTAAGCGGTGTTTATAGTTTTTAAAGTTTTGTTTGCTCCGGCTTTTAGGGGATCATGTTTGAGTGACGTAATTGCAAATGTCACCTGGCCGAGAAAACACTATTTGTGCCACTTTTTCGCTTTCGTTGAACCGGTTTCGAAGACCAAAAACTGTCATTTCGTATGCCTGGCACGACAAGTGGATTCACCTAGCTTTTGCATATCAAGCAATGCCGTGCGATAATGCAACTATAGTGTTTAAGGCCCCCTCGACCCGCCATTTAACCCATTCCACCCACTTTATCAGTGTGTCGCGACCTCGACAACAAAGGCAACGTTACATCAACATCAACAATAAACCATAAAAAAGGAGGCAACAATACAAC